GCACGATAGTAGAGATAATTACCTGACTCGGGGCTCAAGATCATCTGGACGACCGTAAGTGGCAATCTGATCTATTTTAAACCGTGTGTGGGTGGCAGTACGTTTCGTTATTGCTCACACAAGTATTTCTGATCTTTACTCGTCATTTTGCGTGCTGGCAAACCTCGTTGTAAACACAATTTTTTATTCGGTAGGTATATGACGATGTAATTATTTGAGTTCGTTTACCGCGCAGTAGGTACAGTCTGCAGGTGAGCTGCTATTGATCCACATTCCACTGGAATATTTATGATGAACTTGGGGATGCACTATTTATCTATTGAGTGCGAGAGAGAAAAGATGATAGTGTGTGTCTTTTATATAAAATATAATTCGGGTATATTAAAATAAAAGTGCTTCAAGCCCGTGCCTTTGTTAACCAATGTTCTGTTTTTTTTTTAAACCAAACGGAACGCCAAAGAATACTTTGGCGTACATTTTCAATAAATAGTTTTTTTTTTTCCTTTCAACGCTTAGCTTTAATCTTATACCAACAGTTCTATAAATTACAGCCTTTGAATAACGAGCAATATCAGTTTTGTAATGTGACTTATTACAAAACTGATATTGCTCGTTTGACCCTTCATTTAATTCACTTCTTACGGAAGCTAATTTCAGTAGTTTTAATCGTTTAAAAGTAAAAAAATATTTAGCTTAAAGGACTGAACGTGTTTACTAAATAATTGTTCCTCCATTTAATAGAAGGACTTAATTGATTCTGAATCAAATATACTAGTATATGGCCTTTCATATTTTCATTACTGTAACTTAGTTTGCCTAAAATTTCAGTGGTACCATCTTATAATATATTGCAAATAAATATATTCATAACTACCATTTTAAATTAATATAAACGTCTGTTTTAATTCTGTAAAATAATAATCATTAATTTTTTTTTTTTTCAAAGGCGGAGTTTGGGCATAGATAATAATATTTTTTGGTTTGTTACCAGATTGAGAGCCTCCTTCTCTTTTGAAGACCGTCAAAAAGTAATGTAGGTTTTCTAAAATTTTTTTTTTGTTTCAGAAACGAAGACCCGGCATGGTTATGGAGGCTGATCCGATAGCTGGCAAACACACTGACGGTAAATATAAAATATATCTATCTATATATAATTTTAATATCAAATCGCATTAAAGCTTTATAGAGTTATGACAGATTAACGATCTTCTGTTAATATTGAACTACCTACGTTAAGTTTATAAAAAAGCTTAGACGGGAATCTCTTCAGCTGTTTTTGATTACCATAGATATATTATAAATAGAATCAGAGAAATTGTCTTCTACTTAGTCCGTCTAGTAGTACCTACTGATTTCAAATATTCAAGGTGTCAATTTTGATGTAGGACGCTTGCTTTTACAAATTGTTTACGGTATTCTTTATTGACGTTAATATGAGTAAGAAAAAAATATAAATCCTTTATCGCTTAACCTTAAAATTAAAAATGGCTTTGTAAATTGGTTATTTTAGCCAATATTACAGTAAGTTCATTAATTATAAATACTGTATGATGCTACGCTAGTAACATAATGAAAAATTATAGGAATGTTATTCTTATATTATATATATATATATGTTATTATTGTACTTGTAATGAGAGATAGTTTGAGATAGATTTTTTGCTTTTAGTGCTGTGAAGTTTGAAAAACTGCAGTGTGTTGTGATACATGTCGTCTTATTTGCTTTTAAATAGATTTCCTACTCCACCAATAAGTTCTCTATGGTAAAAACTAATAAGCTATTCAGAATTCGTAGCACGATATGTTCATGGTATTCATTTACATATTCTTGCTACAAATATGCAAATGAGTAAGTTACACGATTGAAATTTTCGACAGTGATGGAATTTCTTTTGAAATAATAACTGCGACTATCGTACCGACTACGTACCCATTTAACCTGTCGGAGATTCAATGCCTGTGAAGGTTTGTTTGTAGAAAGCTACAACTTTCGAATTTTTCAGTCCGTCGGACTGATCTAGGGACTTATGGTTATATTCGAAACATATCCGAGTATACAGTCCTTCTTGTGGGCATTCCGTTTGGACCTTGGACCACAGTAGGGGATCGTTAGCAATTTCAAATTAACTGAATAAACGTAGGTATACCTAAAAGGTCGAATCGGAATCGGCTTTGGAAGGGTTCATGTCAAAGTTTACTGGTATACCGTTTTTTCGTAGTAGTTATCTAGTGTACCTAATGTGTATATTAAGAAGCAGCAAATCAAAATGATGAAAAAGGAGAAGCCGGAATCGGCCACCAAGGTGTCCGTTCAAACTTATATGAAGGTATTTGGTCCATCACGGGAATCAATTCTCGAAGATTATTGCTGGCTTTTTCTGAAAGAAAGGAGAAGATACTTGAGTTTGCCGATCATACTCCCTCAATTTTCAATGTTTACTTGTTCATGTTTTGTTATTGGACTTTTGGTTTGAATTGATTGATTCAACTTTTGGATTTCTTCCTTGATTACCCCTCACCAATGTTCATGTATCAAAAGGAAGTCACCTACAGGTTTTGATTCATCTGCGAGGAAAATATAAAGCTTAAACGGGTTTATGGTTTAATTGTGTTGAAATGAATTTTTACTTTAAATTTCAACTTAATTCTTCTAAGCAAAAGCATTTTAATATTTATTTATTTAATTATTTTTTTTATTTTATTTATTTAATATTATATTTAATATTATTATTTATTTAATAAATAAGCATTTTCGATGAACGGATGATTAATAAAAAGTTATTTAAGAAATATAAGTCTACAACGAATCTTATTTTAGCACTAATCTAACTTTGACAATGAAAGTATTAAAATGCATGAAACTTTGAAAATGAATTTGAATATTTTAAGGTTTTTGATTGCACAATAAATTTTCAACAGCTTAAATACAGTTGCCAAAGTAGCCTACTTTGTGGATCATAAATATTAGCCATCCGAGCCTCCGAGTCAAGACGTCAAAGTCAGTTGTCAGTGATGTAATAATTTTAATTTAAAATCAAACTTTGGCATGTTTTTACTTGGTGCGTAAGCATAATTAAAATTTGTACCTTATATGTTGAAAAACCCTTCAAATTTTTTTTGTTGTATTTAATTTATGAAGGTCGGTCTACCATCAGAAATATGTACCGATATGATGAATGAATGCATAATGAAATAAAAGCCAATAACCTTACAAAATAAAATTAAAATTAAAATGTTACGTCCCATAGAGATATAAGCATTGAGAGAACAAGGGGTAGAGCTGCCTGTACGTGAAAGCGATACAGGCAACGAAAGAGATGGATGCCCTCTGTCTTACGATAAAATTACCGTGCTCACCACACAATATTTGTCTTGGATGGGAATCGAACCCACGACCTCCGACTTAGCCGTCAGGATCACTAACAACTAGACCCATTGGCCCGAATTTATTATTCAACAGCAATCTTTTGCCTTGTTTAATAATTTCCCAGTATACTTTCGCACCATTATCGATCACCATCGCTTGATGTAGTTTCACGCTTAACTGTGAAATGCAATCTAGGAACTCTCTTTCCAATAATTTTTACGTACGTTTTGTGTGATCTCGTGTCTACAACTCATATGTCAAACGCGTCATGTACGGGACCATGACGTAAATTGTCCTATATGCTCACCGTTCCTTATCCGACTTTCACTCCCAACTCCGTGCCCAAGTCGTTGGCCTAAATGTGATCAGCTTGATGGCTTGCTATAAATACTGGACACGTTTCTGCTTTATTTCTAGTTCAAGTTATAAGCAAACGGTTTATATGTACAATGACTTATGTTTACAATAATAGGATTATGGCAGACGCCATTTTCATTGTAATCGATTTGATATCAATTTTTTTTTCCTGGGTCGGTTCGGTTATCGGTTACTCTTAACTACACGACTAGAAATTAGAATCATGAAAATCTAGATATGGAAGATATTGTAATAAAGAGAATTTGAAAATCGTGAATTCATGTAAGTAGAAAATTGTGGCAATAACGAAAAGAAAATTATAAGGAGAGTTACAAAAACAGCGCTAAAATTGACTGACACAATGTTGTTAAAGTCAGGTTTTTATTATAACTGCGAAGCCAAACGAGACCTTTTCATTTTCCACACTGTTGAGGAGAACGTTAACAATTTTACACCAAATAGGTATTACGTACACGTTCCAAACAATAGGTATGGTATTTAATTTGTTTGTGACCAATTTGGTCGACTTCAACACCTATTCTTATGTCATACATAACTATCCAAATAAACAAACTAAAATACAAAGAAAATGATTAGATATACTACCATAAACCGTTTCTGCTCCAAGTAGGTAACTGATAAATGTAATTTATTTTTAAAATACATACAAAATGAGTCATTTTATATCAGTACCAGTTGTCAATCAATAAATCAAATACATTATTCATATACCCTACATTTCTAGCAAATTCTAACGACCTCAAGCTGTTCCAAAACTGTTTTATGTTAGAAGTTTGACGCCCATAAACTGAATTAATTTTAGAATCACCTAATTTGTGGCAACCAACTGTCTGGACACAGAAATGGGAGCGAGACATGACGTAAGCTTTTTGATCTTCGAGAATGTGATTTGAGGCTGACTTAACAAGAAACGTAATAAACCTTCTTATTGAACATTAAGTTCTATTTTCAAATGAATTTTCTTTTTCTAAACAGGCGATGGATAGTTTTTTTTGTAAATATTCTTTTAATATTATAGACGCGAAAGTTTGTGAGGATGAATGTACGGATATTTGTACCTTAATTTGGCATTGAGATAGAATGTAGTCTAGAATAGCACACGGGCTAAAAAATTGATTTACCAAAAGCTTTTTTTAATAAATTACATGTGCTAAACGTAAACGAACTCGTTTTTGTATTTATTGTAATACATAATACACAAGTATCGTTTTCTTTCTAGGTATAGTTGTACTTCTATTCATCTTTTATTACAACAATGACGTCATGTAAGTTCCCTGAGTGACTGAAGTTGTAACTGTAGTTGCAAATGTCCAAGAGCGACGGTAGTCACTTACCATCAGATGACCCGTTTTCTCGTTTGCCCCCAATACCATTAAACATACAAACAATTGCACTTAATTTTGTAGTATACTTTTATTCCAATCATTTTTAAAGTGATAAATATACCTGTATCTGACCCGTCTGTCAAATACAATGTTGATTTTAGCTGTGAAAGGAACAATATCATCATCGCTGAGTAATGAAAATAAACATTGTTAAACATGACACAGCTAAACTATGTAGCCGTAGAATTGACCTTTCAGTTTACAAAGGGTCTCACAAATAATCATAGATCAAAATGTAGACTTCCAAAGTCAGTCGTGCTGTAGACAGCTGATAGTTCTGCTAATAAAAAAGATCAAGATAACAATTAGCATAGTGGTTTAAGTAATTTCAAGGAGTCATATCCGTGTGGTGACGGATTAAGATTACGGAGTGTCACCACCTCTATTCAAGCAAATTCAAGAGAAAACTACGCAGGACAACAGCACTGCAAAGAGAAGGAAAACTTTAAACAAACCCTACACCACAAAATGGAATCATAAAACTGCATTACGAATGCACAAAATTCAATGTAGCATAACGCAACTTGGACTGACGGCTATTATTCGGATTGGTCATTGATGCTGTCAATAAAGGCAAGGCTCCATCGCTTCTATTGTATACTTACAATGTAGTTTTTTTTGTTTTATACCGGAAATGTCGGCTTTGTATGGTTGATGGGATAATTTAACGAATTTAAAATTTAGGTGGGAACATCCTTGACCGATTAACCAACTTCTCGGTTTCATGAATTGAGTTTTTCTATTTCTTTTACACTTTCGTGTATTCGGTCATCAATAAAAAGGCTTGGCTTTGCGGGAATGCCAGATCGATAGATCTAAGAGATTATACAACTTTGAGGTCATTGTATGGTTTAGCAACTAAATACATTTATTCTGTCTTTAACTTTTATTGATAATCTAATTACATTACTCATATGTAGGTAAAATGTTTAATAAATATCCGGAGGTCAACTAGAAAGCTATTTTTTTGATGATAATATCACCAATTACATTCAAACATGATTTAAAATTTGGGCTTGACCTTGACCGATTAAGATTCATTCTCAGTCTCATGGATTGAGCGTTTTTCTATTTCATTTACCGTTTGGTGAATTTGACGGTCTGGTTACCATAATACAGGCTCTGCTTAGTTTGGAATCAGACAGCCGTGTGAGATGTGTGAAGTAAGCACCTCGGGATTTGAGTGTTACCTAGAGATTTTAAGCTTTCTCAACACGAAAAAATCTATTGGTATATTCATATTTATTAATGTTTTGTTATTCATGCTAAACCTGAAAGTACAATGCTACACCGAGAGAAACTAGTCAACATAAACTTCACCGTGAGAAATAATTTATCTATTAATCTACGAAATGCTATCGAGATAAAATTTATATCTAGATTAGAATTATTGTTATTATCTGTCAGTCATTGTGTTAACATACTCCATCCGAGTGATTCATCAAATCAAAATACATCTTCAACTTCGAAATAACATTACACTGTGTATATATACATCTAATTTATCAACGAGCATTTGATGTATTCTATTTACCCTTATAAACATTGCACGTTAACACACACTACCTTTAGTTGGAAAACACCTCTTTATTCAAACGGAAAGCCCGACCATTGTTCGTGACATACATTTATACAAAATGAGCACAGACTAAGTATAAATCGTCATTAAAACAATGGTTTTTTCGTGTCCTATCTCTCTGATTGTGTTATTTTCCTTTCCTTTATTTTCCTTAGCAGGTGTAATATATATTGATATTTTGACATAAAAATTCTCCATTTTATGTCTCTACCACCGTTTACTACTTGTCCAGGCTATTTAATATTTAATTTATAGTCTCACACTTATGACTTTTTAAGCGATCTCTGGATATTTTATTGTGGGAGAGTAATTCTTCGACAGTAAACTGGTGTTAATCAATTCTCTCATTGATTTTCACCTAGTAAGTGAGGTTACCAGAGCTCAAATCAGGAGAGGTTTGGACTCCGGTAACCACCTAATTCTGAAGGCCTTAAAGGGCGACAAAGCACATATGACTCTTCAGTTCCAAGTGTCCACAGGCGGCGGTAGGCAATTACCATCAGGTGAATTAAAAAACTAAAAGGTTCTATTAGCAGTGGCACGGCTATTTACTTATTTCGTGAAATATGATACGTATACAGTACGGCTTCATATAAAAAGCGATCATCAAGGATTTGGCTATATGTAGTTGCATAAGTCACTGTGGAAAGTCGGACAATCTGTAAATAAACTCGTGTACACAGAGAAATATTTTATAAAGCGAATCAGTATTATGTTAATAATAGAAGTATGTTGTACATGCAGAGATAATGCATGTTCATGTCTCTTGCAGCGGTTTATTAAAATAACCTTGACTAAGCTTCTGAGTTATTTTTGGGTATTTTCAAATGACTTTTACAGTACGAATGAATACATTTTGACAAACAAGCAATAAAACGTTACAAAAACATCCTTCATAAACAAACAGACTAGCTTTTCTATACATCTATACAAATAAATAAAATTAAAGCATGATACCTATAAACCAGTTTTTTTTTGTTTCTCCCTCTGTCGGTTTGTTCCGGGTAATCTTCTAAACGGCTGGACCGATGTTGATAATATTTTACTCTCAGGTAGCTGTCTATACAAGGAGTAACTTGGGCTATTTTTCCTCTCGAAAAACCCCTACAAAATTTTGGCCAGTCCGGGAATCGAACCCATTAAAGCAGCGCTTTTCCACAAGAACGAAGTTGCGGGTACCAGCTCGTTTAAAATAAAATAAAAAAATAGGTAATGGATATTAATTATACTGATTCTCAAGTATCTGCTAGCGTGAATTAGGACCGACCGAGAACACATACCCAACGCCAACTATCTGTTGCCGGGATTTCAAAACCCTGCTTTTATTTTTTTATTTTTTTTTCCCCGTGTGGAAATCCCCTCGGATTCCACCTGTCGGTGGCATGTCGGACTCGAACCGACTAAAACCGCACGCCGTCGCCGGGTACTAATAGCCGGGGAACCAGGTATACCCTAGAAAGGAAGTCCCTGGTGCCCCGACATACCTCGGGTCATCTACAGACGAGTAGACGACCCCCCCCGTGTGGGAACCCCATGTTCCCTGTGCTCCCTGGAAGCGAGCGCTCTTCGCAACGCTCAACACTCTGCCAGCGTGTGGAGAGCCGTGTCCACGGAGACCGCGGAGGCCATCGCAGTGGTGGCACTCAGGCGTTGGCTCCTTGCGGATCAGACACAGGTGATCAACGAAACATCCCTTCCCAGTGATCACCTGCGTCAATCGGTATGAGAGGGTCCCGTGACGCCTCTCGAGCCAATCCTCCATAACGGGTCTTACCGCCGCGATGACGGCGTGCCCGGCGCTCGGTTGCCCGAGTCGTTCCCTCCACTCCCCTATGATGACCTGGCGGAGTTGGGATTTCCGGACATCGATTTCTCGAATCTCGGGGCATCGACCTAACTCCTGCGCCTCCTTGCGCCACTGATACAGAGCCGCAAGGGCTCTCGCCTCCAGGTCCCACGCTGGAGTTCCGGCCAGGAGACTCGCCGCCTCAAAGGAGATCGTGCGGTACCCCCTTATGATCCTGATGGCCAGCATTCGCTGCGGTTGTCGCAGTATCGCGACGTTGCTGGCCTTCAGGGCCCCCGCCCATACTGGCACCCGTATGAGAAGTTTATCATTACATGACCCTAGGCACCTATTAATCTTTTTCGATTTTAAATTATTAGTCTGCTTTTGTTACAGAAAGAGTCCACAGTACTTCTCTAAAGGCACGCGCTGGAGGTGACGTCATATCCCCTGAACGCTCGGTTGGAACCCTCGATCTCAACATGTCCTTCACAGCACCTTCAAACCTGGTGTTGACGCCAGCTCCTGAATGTAAGTATTAGATCTTCACATCTCATTAACAGCCTTTAGTAGTCCACTGCTGAACATAAGCCCCTCCTTAGATCTTACGCATATAATAATGACAAACTTAACAGATAGTAAAATAAATATACTTAGAAAAAAATTCATAAGTCCATTGTAAATCGCTATACCCTTAATATAAATACTTTAATAATTTTTAATCAACATTAAACAAATATTTGTTACAAATTAAACATGTGTAAACTTATCGTACATTATTAGTGAAACCGAAAATAACAATACATTTACAAGTTCACAATATAAGGTGACCTTTGATTGTAATAGTTGTTATAAAAACAATCTTTACGAGCTATAGATATCGGTAAACGCTTACCACCAAGCGAACATGCATACAAAATGATTAGCGTGAAATATTTAACGAAGCTTTCTTTTGCTCTCAGGTCGGAAGCTTTCCAGAGGAATTTCTCGCGCGACGGATAATGAGGGCCTGGTATGGGCCCTGCGGAACAACACTGAACCAGAGCCAAACACATTGTCTTCGGACCACATCCTGCTTCTTCCAGATATATCAGTTTACCCACCAGACTTTAGGTAAGTTGAAATACAGGCTTACAAACTTTCAACTTCTTCAAAACATTGTGCGGCTTTTCGCACACAAAATTATATCACAATTCTAAGCTTTTACAATTTGTTTCACATGACGTCATGTCTGGGATAAACTAAGACTTAATAGTTATTATAAAACTAGAAACAAATGAGATGAAAGTATGAAAAGAAAGTGGATTTTCTAAAACTTAGTAGGTATTCTTTGTTCTCCTTGTCTATTTAATAACAGACGTGACACTGTTATTATGACTTAAAAGACGTTTTTTACTTTCTTTTTCTGCAACAAAAATATCAACATTAAAGTCAACAAACTCTTCGTACGCAATACTACCTGCCTCTATTGCAGTTAAGCTTTTAAAACTTAGTAGGTATTCTTTGTTCTCCTTGTCTGTTTGATAACAGACGTGTCATTGTTATTATAACGTATAAGGCGTTTTTACTTTCTTTTTCTGCAACAAAAATATCAATTCGTATGCGACTGCTGTGCTGAGGTCTCGGATCCGATTCCCAGGTCCAACCAAATGTTTGTATGATCTGCAACTATTTATTTCGGAGTTATGATGTTTTCTATGTAAGTTATATATATTTATATGTTAAATATGTATGTAGTTACAAAAAAATACGTACATAAGTATTCAAGGGTTCCGGGACCGCTATTAACTAGGACCGGGGTCCCAGTTGCCGAATCATTTAATTTGAATATCGTTTTTTCGGCGACTGGGACCACCGCCATAAATGAATACAAAATCTGTTGTTCAAGCCAAAAATAGTACAATCAAACGAAAAAATGTTCAAAGTAATAATATAAAAAACAACTCTGATTCAAAAATAAAATGTATTTATAAAATATAATATAAATAACTACCCTTTTATAAATATGTTTCAAACTATTAAAAAAAACTAATTCAACTATGCAGGTAAGTATAATGCTATCCTCTCTAACTCTAGTCCATTTTGCATGTCAAATGCTAAATCTTTATATTATATTTATAAATAAATTGTATTTTTGAATCAAAGTTGTTTTCTTAAATTATTTAAACTTCATACTTTAAACATTTTTCACAAGGTCAATAATGAACATATATGACAAGTTGATGCTTGAATTATATTAACACTACGACCTTGGGGTGATTATCTAAATAAATATTTATAAATATGGATTTGAATTTGTTTATTTCTTACTGTTTACACCATCATTACTGTATCATGGAAAATTTGTGTGCACGTTATCATGGGTACAAAAATCGATAGCTGATAAAAACCTTTTATTTCATTTCCAACCTATTCCGCTGTAAACAGCAAGGTCACGTCAAAAGTTCATAAATAACCATACTTTTGTCAAGGACACCTGGAAAATGCCCATTGTTTACATAGGTACTAGTTCTCCAAACATATTTTAATTTAACAAACCATGTGCGATGTGCATTCGTTTGCCAAAACATAAAATATATCAGCATGACTTGCTAGACAGAAAATAAAAGCGTCTGCTTCAAACACGCCACGGTGAACATTCTGGACTGATGCCCTTTTAAATTTGTCACAAGTTTCGAATATAGAAATTGACAATACGACGTACCACGCATACTTGAAAATGTATTTATATGTTAATGCTTCAACAAATATGATTGAACTGAAAAATGTTTAATTATAATAGAAAGGAAAATACCATCATACCATGGAATAAAAACTACTTGTACGATAGTACGAAGAACTTTTGTGTAGAACAAAGTAGAATGCAGTGGCAGTTCTAACTATGGCAAATTAAATAAAAAATTAAAAAAGAATTCCACTCTTCACCTTTATCGCTTTGTCATTAGATGATATAGCCCGGTCAAATTAGACATAAAAATAGTGATCAAATAACAAAAAACTCCGACCGAGCTGAATTTTTCTAGAGACCTTGGGTACACCAGTAGAAATAAAGTGCTAAAAGTCCCCATCGATCCAATGTGTGCTAAAAAAGTTATTCAAGGTCACAGGTCAAAATTAGCGTTTTTTTTTATTTACACATTAAATGCCCGACTATGTATATGCATACAGTCGCGATATCTTAAAAGTGATTGTTAGGACAAAAATATAAGGACCATTTTTGTAGATCATATATTTTCGCTTTTAAACTTACCCGTTCCTTCTCATATAATGATTGCTAAGAAACGAAAATTAATACAAATAATAGACATAACTTGCCTTTGAGTTGCCCGACGTTTCCATTAGGACTGTTCGCCTATAAACACGGCCAGTGCATCCTACTATATAATCCCGCTAATTCTCGTTCGTAAGCAATGATTTAGGATACCTATAACCCAAACTCGATGAGTTTCTTTGGGAAGGGGATATTTCAACTACATCAGAAGAAGAACACAAACATAGAAAATACAAAACCGTTTATTATCATTACTATTTTCGGTACAAATATTGTTTGAATGGCGTCACAAATTAATACAGATCCGTACTGAACTTTAGACCAAAAAACAAATAAGAATAGACAGTGTGCCAAATACGTGTGTTGAATATTTACTTGGACTAGAAATCGAACAACTGGCGGTCATTTTGGTTGTCTTATTTTACCCTATAACAGTATGACTATAACTGTCATTGTAAAGACATTTGTTTCAGTACAGGTCTTGTAGTGGACACCTATAGTCTTAAGAAGCCGTCATAACATAATTTTTGTTAGTGCGTTTGTTCTACATATAAACTTTAATTATTTCAAAATATATCCGTGTGGTTACGGATGAAGAATACGGAATGTCACCACCCCTATTCATCCCGTGGATGTCGTAAGAGCCGACTAAGGGAGCAAACTACGCAGGACAACAGCACTGCAAAAAAAAAAGGAAAACTTGACACAAACCCGTCTGGCCTGCGTGGTATATTAGGCCAAAACCTCCTTTCTAAGGAGAGGCCTATGTTCAGCAGTGAACTATTAAAGGCTGTTGACGTGAAGATGATTTCGAATATGATATGTTTAAGTGCGCCATATTTGTTTAGAAATGGGGTACAAAGAATTTTCTTTAGAAATTGATATATAGATACTACCTATAGCCTGCTATTAGACTACTATTTTAAAATCACTTACACTGACTGACTTACTGACTGATTTATCAACGCAGAGCTTACACTGTTGCGACTACAAACTTGAATTTTGGCAGTTTATGCTTTTTATGTTGTAAGCAGCCGCTAAGAATGGGTTTTTGGAATTTTCGCCTCAAAGGGGGTAGAAACATAATCATGAAGTGAAGAAGTTCGTCATTTTCAGAATTAGAAACACGTAGTAAGAAATAGCTAGTCACAAATAAATATATATACATGTATGCAAGCGTGTATGTCCGAAGTAATAAAAAATTAAATACCTCACACAAAGTTTTGGCACGCAGCTAGTGTAGATACATATAGTGAATTGTGCACGCAAACGAACCGTTTTGTCCTCCGTTGAACTTTCTGTTATTGTTTACCGTTCTTTAACCTTTACGTGTGTCAAACACATTGATTTTGGCGACAATATTAAACGGCAGCTTATTTCAAGTTATTATCGAATTTATGAAATATTTTTTACTTAATAAAATCAATGGGCTATTCCACGCTGTAATCTATCTGTACTAAATTAATAATTAAACTAAACTAAACTAAATTTGTAATTACTAAACTAAACTAAATTTATAATAATCTTAAATATCTATCCAGAAGCGGCGGCCTAGTGGTTAAGGCATTGGACATGCGATTAAGAGGTCGTGGGTTCTAATCCTGACCAGTACACTACTGACGTGAACCCACTCCTAACACAAGCTATTTAGGTTATCGGGAGGGGTTACAAAGGAGGGGAGTGGTTTTTGGACTAGTAAAGGCTGTTGATGATGATGATGGGAAGGGTTAACGGGAATACCAGTTATTTCAGTTGCTAGTAGATCTTTAAAAATATATATATATTTATAAATGCGAAAGTGTGTCTGCCTGTCTGTCTGTTACCTCTTCACGCTTAAACCGCTAAACCGATTTAGATGATAGTCAGAGTGCCGGGAAAGGACATAGGGTAGTTTTTATCACAGATATCATCCTTTAAGGGGTAAATTGTGTAGTGTTTAAAAATGTGTTTCATTAAAAAATATGTAATACCTTTCTTTAAACAGATGTTTAATCTTTTAACCACCCGGCTTTTACTTATTGGAGTGCCCCATGCGCCCAGCTCTCGAATCAGAAAATAAATACTTCAACCTGTTCGTCAGTATTTAATATAGCTGGCATTCTGTGGTGTAACCAACTCAGAATATTATTGGATTCCATTGTAATTACAGAGTATGAATAATAATGAAAGTAAAACCTTCGTAATTATTCCAAATATAACACTCCTCCGTACGCGATATTTACTTTAAAAAAGCACACATAGAATTCTGTTCACCAATTATAAGGTAAATTGTTGCTGGAACAAATACAACCTATATAATTATTACTAACGAACGGGAATTAACTCGATTAATTGGTATTACCTTTGAATTGTCTGACGTTGACGTTGACGTATTTACATGACGATCCACGACGATTTCGTTGACGTACTTATTAAGGTGCTGATGGACTTAAGCATTCACTTGTTATGAGCATTCTAGAAAATGTAAGTTCACAAAAAATAAACTTTAGCGTTTTAAGCGAGCATATTAGCTTCGTGATTTTTGCCGCGTCGAGCAATTTTGTTGTTTTAATTGTAACATTAATGTACTATTTCATTCTATTCAAAGATTTTGTTAAAGGAGAGCTGTACCTGGGGATTGCAATTCTGAAAACCGGTCCAGAAACAATTGCAATCCGTAGCTTTACCCCTTATACAAGTGAAATATTTGCTTAAATGGAGGTTCACCATGATCTAACAGACACAACTAAAACAATGTATTGAATAAAACAAACAATTTTGATTGGATTTATTTTAGAGATAGACTGATTAAAGCTTGGCTACTGACCATACATATAAAATGAAGTATTGCCGTCAAGGCTGTTCAAAGAGCTGATTTTTTTCTTTAAATTAATTACTTATGAACTGTGTCAACCTTGACTTAGCTGGATCGATCAAACACTCCGACGATTTTTTGTAGCTTTGACAATAATTGCCAAAACTATCAATGCGATTAATATGACCATGACCGGTTTACTCATAATTACAAGATTACACAATTAAAATCATAAACATAGTCATCACCTTCCTGACCTTCTCCTCACCAATGTTATTTGGAGTCCGCGCAAAGTGAACATTGTTTGGAGGAACGGGTGACATGACTTCCATCACAAAGGGAGGATCGAAATGATCATGCCTAGCGGGCCGTGCCCTGATGATTGATGTTGGGAAATTGTATTACTAATCGGCGCTAGAACTTTCATTGCGCGATTCAGGATTAGTAGTTTCGCCGTAATTCGGTGTGTCATTGCTAGATGGTACTGAAGTCAGTTTCTGTCACGTTAAATAGCCTGAGCCGGGACAAAAGAAAATGGGTTATTGGAGTGAGGAAATCTGTTAGGGCACGAAGCTAGGGTAACGGATATCGGGTATTGGAAACGGGAGCGATATTGCAGTAATTTGAAGTTAGAGGCTTGAACCTACATATATGTCCGTTCGGAAATTGGAGAGGCCAGTGGGACGGGAATAATATAAATATTATCATCGGTTTGTTCTAGATTTCGTTCACAGAATAATTCTATTTCAAATGAACTGCTATAATAACAGTGCACGTGAAAGTATACTATCTGACCCGCGTAACTTTGTCTGCTTCTTTCAAAAGGAATAAATTTTCCCCGAAACATTTTTCATTGATTCTCGGCTACTATTCCTCGTAACGCGATGTTATATATAGCCTATCCACTAAAATAATTTTTCAATTCACACCAATAAGTTCTTCAGATTAGAGCGTTCGACCAAACAAATCTACTCTTTAGCCTAATAATATTAGTAGGTATAAATGTGTTGTTTTTAATTGTTAGATATATTTATATCATTGCGTTATTGCTCCTTTCAGAACATTCTTAGAAAAGGATCTACTTGAGACAGCCACCTTAGTGACATTGGAATCAGCCAACATATTAAATTGGTGGAAACAATATGGCCGTGTGCCTGGATCAGCTCGTCTGTTACCGTTGGCAACTTCAGGGGACGGAAATTGTCTACCTCATGCTGCATCACTAGCTGCTTACGGGTTCCATGATAGACTGTTAGCCTTAAGAACGAAGGTACAGGCGTTACTGTCTGGAGAAGGAGGCGAGGTTTTAACAAGTGAGTCCTAATAGATTTAAACGGTTACATGTATATCAATAATCTTAATTGAGACAAAAAAATACATAAGGCGGTCTTCTCTCTTACTGAACTTTACCTACGTAGGTATGTCAGTATATACTAAGAGTATGTTTGAAGTTTTTGTTACTACCCGAGTCACATAAAAACTATGGGTCGTTGTCCTCGCATTATAGTCAATCGAAAGGTTAAACCGCGCATCGTAATCACTAGCGTCAAAATAAATATATGAAAGTAACTTATCTAATATTAATCATGGAGAGACCTGAACGACATTAAATGTTAGGCGTCTCCAACATAAATGTTACATAACTTTTATGTAACTTTAAACTTAAAAAGCGGCATATCGGGCCTGTTGGTCTAGTGGTTAGTGACCCTGACTGCTGAGCCGGAGGTCGTGGGTTCGATTCCCACCCAGGACAAATATTGTGTGATGAGCACGATCTTTTATTATGTGTCTGGGTGTATTTATCTATAATATGTATGTATTTAGAAATATAAAAGTATGGTTATCAGCAGTCTGGTTACTATAGCACAGGCTCTGCCTAGTTTGGGATCAGACGACCGTGTGTGAGATTTATTATTACTATATCTTAAAGTAAATAAAAAACAAATTTAAAGCGGCCTGTACATAGGTACCAGTTAACTGCGATAAGCTTATTGATTAACCAACGTATAAGAACATGAGAACAATTACTAAAACAACTTTTTTTTGTCTAAAGCCGCATTTTCATTAGGCCTATTGACTATATTATGCGCGCTTTCCAGACGCGATAAAGCGACGCTGGCGCTGGTCGGAGAGTATATCACTGCGTTCAGCGGGACTGACGCCGACAGAGGCGGAGTGGGAGCGGGAATGGAGCGGGTGCGTGGTGGCTGCCTCGCCTGAGCCCGCTCGAGCGACGCCTCAGGCCGCGCCGCACTACTCCGCACTCGAGCACCTGCACGTGTTTGCGCTCGCACACGTCATGCGCAGACCGGTCATCGTCTTCGCTGATGTCGCTCTCAGAGTAAGTCTTATATAAGCCTCTCAATTCACATTCACATCATCAAAATATACGGTTTTAGTCACGTATGTATTTTGGTGATACCCGATTTCGACGTCTAAGGCTCAAGTGTAGTAGTAGTAAAGGCAGACGCCAGCACAGCGCGACAGGTAGCGTGACGCTACCTGTCGCGCTGTGCTGGCGTCTGCCTTTACTTAATATGAGTACTACTTACATAAGCTTTTTTTTTGTCTCGTAATTACTTAGGTTTATAGCTACATTCTAATGCCGCAATAACACCTAGTGATCAGACTAAGTACTTAAGGACTAATTCTAAATACCGCAGCGCAATAAAACATACTTGGCGTAACTCGACTGCACGGATGGCGTAGTGGTTTAAGCGGTCGCCACGCCGCTTCCTACTACGCCGAGTGTTGTGGGTTCAAACCCCACATGGGACGACACTTTGTGTGATCCACAAATTGTTGTTCTGAGTCTGGGTGTTCTTTGTGTCCGTTTCATGTATGTTTGTAAAGTCCCCCGCGACACAGGATTTATTCCTAATGCGGGAGTTGTATAAAAAAAAAAAAAAAATAACCAAAAAAAAAAAAAAAAAAAAAAAAAAAATAACTTGGCGTAACAACTCCACCACAGCTGTCTAAATACTGCGTCATTCTTTTAATACTTTAATAATAACATTTTATTCAGCAACAAGTGTTTGAGTAGGCGCCATAGAAGGTGACTTCTAGAAACCCCCTATAAAGTACAAAATAGCCTGCAAAAAATATGTGGCTTGCCCTCCAAGCACATATTGCATTGATGCGAAATTGTTATCATTGTGAGTGACATTTAATTTATGTAATAAAAATATCTCTTTCATCATCATCATCAGACAAAAATGGAAAGTGAAAAAATGATCACGGTTAATAGAATGGCGGCCGGTTAATATGATTTAAGCAATTTATTGTGTGTACCTACTTATTGCCTATTCTATCCTCACGCGCAGAAATACGAATTTGTATTTGTCGAAAAAGAACAAGCTGGTGAGCATTCTTTTACGGATATCGTGATTAAAGCAACGGTCATTGGTGTTTTTTTATTAGTTTTCTTGTAATATCACAGCTAATACATGATATTTGTTTCGGTAATAATAATAACGACTTGTCACATTTCACAGAGGACCGTCTGATCCCAATCTAGGCACAGCCTGTGCTTTGATAACCAGACTGCTGATAAACATATTGATATATCTAAATACATACATAAACAGATATATTACACCTAGACACAGAACAAATGATCGTGCTCATCACAACATTATTTGTAGTTAGCTTAGCAGTCAGGGTCATTAAACTACCAACAGGCCAGTCAATTCATTTATCAGGAGGTTTCTAATGAGTCCAGTCGAAATCTAAATAACCTAAAATAAAAAATTAAATGACGTGATCTGATTCTTCACTGTTTGAATTTCAGGATTTCCGAGGTGACCCGATAGCACCGATCCCGTTCGGCGGCATATATCTCCCGCTAGAACTGCCTCCAGATCAATGCAGTAAAACTCCTATACTCCTAGCGTATGATGCTGGACATTTTTCCGCACTGGTGCCTTGCGAACCGTTACCCACAGACGGTGCAAGAGTGCCGTTAGAAGACCACGCTGGCAACCCTATGCCGATCAGGTGAGAGATGAGTGTAAAAATCACACACACATTAACCAAGAACTCGCAATATAATAGAATAGTGAATTAATTTCTTAATATAGATATAATATAGACTAAAAATAGCAAAATTCTGTTACGTTCTCAACCTACCAAGTAACTGTGGTATTTGATATGATCTCAAAACCAGAATATTTAAATTTTAATTCAATCAGAATTAAGCAAGAAATGGGGATCACTGCAATAAGTCCAAACTCTTTGAGAACTTCCTAAATTGCCTCCGAAAATAATATTACATTGACTGATGACTTAAAATTGTTTCAGATTCAACGTGGATCCAGGCGAAGACTTCCGTTGGGATGTAGAGCCAGACCAGAAGACAATTAATAATCTCCTACCAGATGAATATCAGCGATCCTCAATGTTAGCCGCTTATTTAGATCTGGAAAGAGTCGATTCAGTAATACACACACAACCTCCCGAAGAACTCCGAAGATCTCTCGACGCATTATCGACCAAAAGTTCAAAGCAGATGAACTCTGTGGCTAAACAATTCGGTAGCATCGGCAGGTCTATGAGTAGCAAAATTAAGAAGAACTTCGGGTCAATGGCCAAGTTGACCGGAAAGAGTGGCAGCCATAGTAATCCTGAAGAAACTTTGACGCGAAATCCATCTACTTGTGAGGTGCTGTGTTGCAGGGTACTCGCTGCCCGAGCGCCAGTACAAGAGGAGATGGTGAAGAATTATTTGAACGAGGCTTGGATAGGGTAAATATCTTTTATCTCGTAAATATCTGATAGTTTAGTTAGAGGGCAAGGCTAAGGTAGTCGATTGATAAAATAAATTCTGATCCTCTTTATCGAGTGTTAAAACGATACGTTCTGTAAAAAATTGATAATAATTTATTGACGTATAAGTTGGTACACATATGATTGAGAATCCACTGACTCCTGCGCTAGTTTAAACTGTATTGTAGGAGATAAAAAGGATTTGTTGGTAATACCAATTTATGACGTCATACTTTGGTCATTAGCTTTAGGTGTGTAGACGCCGGTAGTCTGGTCGAAAAGTTGAAACGTTCATGAAAATAAATATGCAAGTAAATAATTACTTGAACGAGGCCTCGATTATGTTAATTTCCAAAACTTTTAAACGACAGCTACACCGCCGAGAAAAATCGCAAAGAGCCGGTCCAGCCGAGCCAGCCGCGGTACGGCACGGGCCGCTCGCAGTTCTACGCGGAGGCGGAGCGGACGGAGCGGACGGCGGGCGACAGCGCGCGCGGCGCCAGCAGCCCGCGGCAGACGGACCGCACGCTGTACCTCAGCAAGTCCACGTTCTACGACGACCGCCCCGCCGAGCCCAAGCCGTGCCGCGCGCCGCTGTGCATGTACTACGGCAGCGCCGCCAACCACGACTACTGCAGCCGCTGCGCCCGCCTGCAGTGACTCCCTCTCCTCCTCTCTCCTTTCCTCTCGGTTCACTTTAATTGCTGGTGACGATTTTTAATAGGATTTTTTTAGAGTGACGTCGGGTACTTTCATTTTACTAAAATTACTTTTTAATCATTTCTTTTTTTTTGCAGAGAACTTAATGTGTCGACTTATTGATTTAAAATAGTCTACTGATACGATAGTAAATAGGTCTGATGATACTGATACATAGAAAAAGATATCCTAACAACTTTAGTCTGTCCTATAATACTACTAAATGAATAAACTTTTCGTTTTTAAAGAAAGAAAGATTTAAATTACATAAATATTATTTTCTCCAGTAAATAACATAAATGAACATTCTGGAAGTCAATGGAAGTAGCTTTTCGTTTATTTCTTGCATATCTATAATTCTATATTTACGATTACGAAGTACACTCACGGATAGCACTCCAGTTTTCTACTGTTCAACCGACCGCTCTCTACGTGATAATACTAAATTACCGTTCAGCTACTTATCGCACTCAATAAATAATCTGAACTCGAAAACTAAATTTTCATGACATAAACATGTTTATAGGTTATTATAACTTTTAGAAAAGGTTATATTTTGTACTTACGTGTTTCTTTGACACGGCCGTCGATGGCGCGATCTCTACGGCATAAGAAAAGATTTGTTTTTTACTATTTTACGAACATCATTCGTATTCTCATTCTAATCTGTAAAATAAATAGATTAATAATCGTTAATATTTTAAATTAGGCTTATTGTTTTAATAATTATTAGTATCGTTTGCGTTGGTGAAACTTTTTATTGTTACATAGATATAGTAAGTCACCATTATGTTTTGCCCCACCATTAATGATGTATGCATAATAATAAGTAACTACAGAGGTGGTTTTAATCATTATAATATCATATTAAAAAAATTACCACAGATGTATGCAAAATATTTAATAAAAAGACACAACTAAATAACTATATATTCCGTCGTTGAAATTAAAAAAAAAAACGTTAGGTTGGTATTTTGAAGTTTACTAATTATTGAATCTGAAAACTAGTTATACCCTATTCAATGATGAAAACTGAGTAGTACCAATGAAGGAACTATATCATCCTTCGCAAGAACAGGACATTTCAAGTTGCTCTTTTGAATTTCCCTTCAGTAGTTAGTGTCAAAATAGCACAGGCAGCCACCGCTGCCTTGCTTCTTTGTACACGCCCGTAGTATTAACAATGCGACTGTTATATTTATAATACAAGTGCCAAAAAGTGGCTTCTAAACGTATTTTACAAAGTATTCGAAAATGGTAATGTTCGTATGTTTAGCGTAACATATGTGTTCAAAATTCAGTGCCAGCTTATAAACAGAACGTAAATTTTGGACAATACGACAACTTAAATGTGTTTCACACGTTATATTGTTATGTGGAGGAAATGTTTGAGTGTTTAAATATAAAAGTAATTAAAAATTACGGATTACACCAGCATTTCACCATCTTGTACATTTTAAAATTATTGATGCCTTCAATTTAATTTAAAAAAAAAACTATTCAATACAAATAAATATACATTGCTTTTTTTTGTCACTTAGTAACAAAAAAAAGCAATCTTAGACTAACCTTTTCAGTAACTAAAGCAGTCCAATTGATCTTACATTAAACTATTATACATCTGAACTAGATATAGGACTTTTTGTGTTGAAGAGATCATATTAGTTTATATTTTTTACAGATATAAATATCATTTTCAGACATTTCCCCCATATAACCAGAATGATTAGAATTGAATGTATTTAAGAGAAGAGACTTTACAACAGGGTAGAATCTGTTCAGACATCTACGGTATAGCATAAAAGTCTGTTGCCTTTGTAATTGTGTCTTCTCCCATTAAAATTTTTACCATGAGTATTTTTATTAGGTATATATTTTCATTGAAGGTTTAGCGTGTAAGGTGAACAGATGTATTGACAGCGGAATATAAGGAGTTAAGAATATTTAAATATCTGAGAGACACAAAGCTCGCTTTTATTTCCCGTCTTAAAATTTAAAAATAATATCCTTCATATTAACCACTTTGAAACAATGTGAACAAATATTTGTAAATGTAATGCTAACACAAACCAATGCCGTTTTCTAGAGCCTCATCCGTGATCATCTTGGGACTACCGTTTGGGACCAATTCTAAAATATCACCTTTCGGACCACAACGGTTCCAACTAAACTAGGCTCGGTCTGTCTCCTAGTCTATTGACCAATTAAAAGTAGATGGCGCCACCTTTTCATATATATCTGGTTACTTAAAAACGCTCAGAAACAAAAATTTGTTGCCGTCTTTTACCAAATTGATAAAGTAATAGTGCGATCATTTCTTCGTATTTTCTATCATTATAATTATCATCAAATCAAATTGGTCTAGTAATAGAAAACATTTTTTAACGGTATAAAAGCATGTTTTGGACCGTAAATAATCAAGGTATCATCCTGAAAACAACAAAAAAGTGTTGAGAATTATATTTTTAATATACATTTAAGTAAACATTAAATACCAACATTAAAGAAAATAAAAGACCTACTTAAAGAAGTGAAGAGCAGCTTCTAACCATAGCCTTGGAATTGTGACTTAGAGGTTATGTACCTACAGAGACTTATATTTTTTCATTTCAAGTCCGACTACCTCATTGAGCCAGCAGTTTAGTGTTAAAAAAAGAACATTAGAACTGTTTGATTGAGACATTATTACAGTGAATAGTGCTTCCATAATTGTCAGGTTTTTCATAATGTACACTCGGACTGTTTCCTGTATACCTATGTACATATGTGTCTAATTAAAAGTACGTACTTACATGGTAGTACATTAGTGATGTAAATAAAATGAACCAAGGCTTAATTCCTAAAATAAAATCAGTTTTAAAGTATGTGACTACTAATGTAATTCTGTTGTTTACCATTTGAATAAGTTTTATTAAAAACGTTTTTTTTTAATAGTCTATTATCTATTACTTACTTTAAAGTTGTTTACAATTGCACATCATATTATTTATACTTGAAACAAGTATTTTAAAAGTATTTGAGATTGAATTGATTGAAGGAACACTCATCAAGATTAGGTACAATAATATTAGACTCAAAAAGAAACAATTATTTTCCTAACTGTCACTTTCACAGCTTTTGATCGTCTCTTTACGACAATAGATTGTTCGACCAAATTTATATATCAAAAACTATATATGTATGTATTTCTAAAGTACATAACATAATTAGATCTAGCGTATTGTGTGTTAATAAATTGGTATTTTTAAGTACTTACTTAAATAACCCGATTTGCTGTATAAGTTCTTTTTTTTATATATTTTCAGTTTAACTGGTGTCATTCATTCTATATTCATAATATGATTTGGACTCAGGGTAAAATTGAGTGTATTAAAACCTCTAAGATATTAAATTTAATGAGTCATTAATAAATCTTAAACGAGCTTGGAGTGTAACTCAACTGTTGTGTTGCTCGTAGAATTTTGAATATCCTTACAAAGTAACTTTAATCATGTAAAATTAATGACATGATTATGTTGTAGAAAAACCAGGCACTTATAATATTTTTGATCTTCTAGTCCGATATGATAGAATAAGTTAGTTTTAAAATTAGTCTTAAGCGATGTAATTAAACCGATTATATTTACAAAAAGTTTTAAGCTATCAGTTTCATAGTGCCCTTGTTTGTTTCTATATCATTGTTAATTATCAACCTGTTTATTGTCTGCTAATGTATCTAATGTAACATTAGACTTAATAGACTTATAGATCTGCAAAATACTTAACTTGTTTGTGAGATGTAATAAATAATTGTTACATAAAAAAGTGTACACATAATATATTATCTCATGTTAAAATAAAGATGAATGTTATATATTTTCATATGTTTAACAATATAGAGACAGCATATCATGTTTTGTAGAAATATAAATTGATATTACAGATTCAAATCTAATGAAAATGTCTTTTAATTTTACCCATTTCGGCAAAAGAGCGCGTTCATCGAGATTTTGTTTCAGTGCCCCGAGCACGAACAACTTGCGAAAAAGTATTCGTATCGTCTTCGACAAAAATTTGTACAACATTTCTGCAGCGCCCCTATCGTGCGTAAAAGTAACTAATTTTGGCAGCACGAACGTTTCGAATTTACTTTCGTATCGTAAACGTATCGTCAAGCATTCGATACGTTACACTTTATAAAGAAAATTGGCCACGAATGAAATTTTGACGTACGTTCGAAGGCTGGCTATCGAGCACCTGTCGAGCTTAGTCGAAAAAAGTTTCGAAATAATCAATTTCGTGTGCGTTACCCCAGCAAAATAATGTCGAAAATGGTCATTTAAACTTTATAGATAATTAGTTGCTCCCCTTCTGTAATTGTTAAGCACATTTTTAAATTTGTTTCACTTAAACTTTTTTAGTTATTTCAAAAAAACATTTCCTGCTGGAGTAACGTTTGAAACGTTACCGCAGCCAGACATTTTCTTTTTTAATTGTAATATTGAAATAAATTTTAGCTAAATAATTAGTTATCTGGACTAGGTAAATGTTACAACTTATTTGGTATTTGTATTTTCTTCGGTTGCGAAGTTATTCGAAATCCTGCTGGAGTAACGTTTGTGGGTTTGCTGGATCTCTGAAACGGGTAAGCGGATTGTAACCATCTTTTGTACATAACTTCTTAAGGATTAGTTTTAATTTGTTCGACAATAAAATAACAAAAATAATGGACCGTTTAAAAATTATTTAGGTAAGTATGAAAACACTTAAATACGTCCTAACACTTTAAATAAGACCTCTTAAGACTTACTTGAAACGTTATTCTATTGCTTGTAACTACCTTCAAATGTATACGAATTTTCGTAAGAATACTGTAAGTGACTAAAAAGTTATGATGAAATGTAGCTCTCCACGTTCACGATCACAATGTGTGCGGCCTTTTTTGGCCACCGATAAACCTGTGTGTGGATATATAAACTGAATGTTATGCCAATAATTAGTTGTTTAGTTCAGTTGACTACCTGTAAAATTTCAGCGTAGTACATATAATAATTTACGAGATAATTAAATAAAAGTCATTAGAAGGTGCAAGACCGTGGTAACCCGACCATGTTTAGGTGGTTACAAAAAAGCGATCACCCAGTACATTGTGCTGGCTTTTAAAATATGTAGGATATTATTTGCAAGTTTACTACGGATATGTACATAAGTGTTACAAAAAACTACATGTTTTTTAAATATTTTTTATTTAGGATTGTTTATTGCATAATTAGTAATCAGCCGGGAGATTAGGTATTGTTTTGAATGCTTTTGTTTTCTCGTAATGTTTAGGTGAATTGTTTATAGTTGTTCATAGAATTGGTACCTGCGTAGTATTTGTTAATTGAAGTTTAATTTTAGGGTAGGTATAGGTAATTTAAGAAATATGAAATGAAATGATAAGTTTTGAAGAGTGTAACGTATGCGTTGTAAATAGGTATTTTGTGAATAGATGGGGATTTTTTTAAGTGATGAATCGACTTAGGCTAGCATATCGCGAACAAACTCTGTATTGCATTATTTCTGTAATAATGTTGGAGAAAATAAAATATTTGATCACAAAATCGCGGTGAGTTAAATTATAATAAAATAAATTATTTATGTAAAATTAGTAATAAGTGATATACCTACCTAAGAGTTATGATCGTTTTTAATTTGTTCACCCTGAACGAAATTTCAATATTAGCATTAGTAATTAATATCCTAAGACAAGAATTGACAATTACTTAAATTGAATCGAATTAGCATTAATGCCTATTATTAGTAATTAGGTACACACATATTGAAGAACTCTCAAGAATACGATAAATATTTGCAAAAATAGAAAGCGGAATCGCACACGTACTTTACAACACGTATATTATCCGCCTAAGGGTCAAGTTTAGTGCACTAGATGCAAATTGCAAACAACGAAGTATCCCTTTGCCCCTCCCCTCCCGCGTTCTAGCGAAGGATGTATTATCAGCGATTCTTGATTGACAAATATTATCTGACCAATAATTTTATCTATAAAAATGTATCACTTTCACTCGATAAATTAAATTACCGTTATTATATCAAAATATCATTCAACAACTGTTCGTTTTTAACAGAAATCAACAGTAACGGGCTCAACGCTTAACGTTAGGTACATAGGTATAGATAATTCTCGGTTCTAGGTATAGACCACAGAACAATATTACCTACTCTTACGAGGTACACGTCTGTTGGGCGATGCAATGTTGATGCATTCTAATTTACAACTTCTTCTAATTTATTCTAATTTATTCTTCTACTATTCGGTCTATTTTAACTTATTGTAGATAACTTGTTGCTTTAAATATTTTGATGCATTCAAGTCTAAGCTCTACACACCCCAAAATAAAATACAATTACTTTAGTGTTATTTCTTTACAAAAAAAAATCAAAGAAATGAAACGATTTCTTATTGGTTTAAATTTTCGTTTTATTGCAGTCAGGTGAATCGTTCATACATGTATCTACATATTTATAATTTTAGCGGACCAGTGCAGATTTTCTGTTGATTGTAGCTCCGGTAGTAAAAAAGACTAAATAAATTTTAAGTAAAGAAACTAGTGCTTAAGATCAATTAGGGGAAAAAACAAAATAAATAATAGGTAATAATAATGAATAAATATTTAATGTATTTAACACTGTACGCAACTGTACCGAAATCGTAAGGTGTATTACACTAAACATTTTAAAAGACAGCGCAATGTACTGGGTGATCGCTTTTTTGTAACCACCTAAACATGGTCGGATTACCACGGTCTTGCACCTTCTAATGACTTTTATTTAATTATCTCGTAAATTATTACATGTACGACGCTGAAATTCTACAGGTAGACAACTGAACTAAACAACTAATTATTGGCATAACATTCAGTTTATATATCCACACACAGGTTTATCGGTGGCCAAAAAAGGCCGCACACATTTTGATCGTGAACGTGGAGAGCTACATTTCATCATAACTTTTTAGTCACTTACAGTATTCCTACGAAAATTCGTATACATTTGAAGGTAGTTACAAGCAATAGAATAACGTTTCAAATAAGTCTTAAGAGGTCTTATTTAAAGTGTTGGTGAATCAATGAAACGTTAAGAAATAGGTCTTACACCTTAGCCAGACTGTATTCCTCGTTCATAATTTTATACATATACACACAATTTTAATTTAATTTTCTATATCTGTGATGTAATCTTACAGCCGGATCTTAACAATATAAATCAATAAGATTTTTTTCCATAGTTTATATTTTAATTATATTGTAGGATTCAGGATCACCTACTGCACTACAGGCTCTTGGAACAGTAATTATATCATCTCAGTGAGGTACAGCTTTTAAGAAAATGTTTAATTTTTAATAATTTTTACGTACTTACTTACACGTTACTTTAAAGCTGTTTATAGGTACATTAATTACTATTTTAACCAACTTCAAAAAAGAAGGAGGTTCTCGACTCGTTGGGATCATTTTTTTAAATTTATAACATTATGTACTTGTGTACATCTGCGGACTTCATGCCCTGGGCATTCTCTACCAACCTATGGTGTAAAAATCTGGTCATGATAGATTTTAAATGTCGCTGGTTCGATCCCCGCTCAAGTCAAACACTTGTGTGCATGAACATTGTGGTCTGGGTGTTTCTATGTTTAGTATGTATGTATTTACAAAAAAGTATTTATGTAATTATGTCAGTTGTCTGGCTAGTATCCATAGTACTACTAGTAGCTCTACTTAGTTTGGGATTAGACGGCGCTGTGTGAATGTGATAGAATTAAAATCCATTTTTTTTTCAATTGATATATCGAAGATAAATAGGTGGCCGACAATCAACAAAGATAATTGAAGGGAACTGAATGTTATTTTGTTACTTTTCAAGTTATAAAAACTGAAGATTTATGAGCGATTAAAGACAAAACAATTGATATTTCATAGACTACTTTTATAATAAGACGTAGTATATTTATAGTATTTAAAAGAATATAATGACCAACAAAACGAAAGGAAAAATAACATATATGTAACAAAACAATCCGAACTTTATTCCTCATTTCTTTTGTTTACATTTTAATATACAATTCATTGACAAAATCAACAAGAAATCGACTAAAATGTTCTTTCTAACTTCTTTCAATGGCTCCATCGGAGCCTAAAATGTTAGTCAAGAATGAAGTAAATCAATTGATCGTTTCTAAACGAATACTAAAATGTCAGTGACGCTTTGTCCCATTCCTGTGGGAGAAAGATGCTTTTTGTTACAATAATACAAATGACATAGAATAGTAAATAAAACTAAATTTTAAGATGTCCGGAGGTCTCATAGATAAAGTCTACATTGGCCTGGACAATGCGCCGGCAGCCTTCGATATAAAAGCCCGAATTTTGGGACCAGTAAGTTTCTATACTACTCTGCAAATTTCCGCATACTTGTAGTAAAATACTAATAATACGAACCTATTTTTTTCAGAATGGCACTAATTTAGAATATATTAGATCAGAAACTGGTGTCGTAGCTGTATTAAAAGTTGATAAAATAGAACCACTGCATTTGGCGCTACACCATACCAGGTCTGAAGCATTAGCGGCAGCGAGGTCGCTCGCTCAAAATTTGATTGAAACTATACGCGCAGAACTAGCTCAGTGGAGTGCTGCGCAAGCAGGAGGACCACCGCCCACTATAAACGTGCCGCCACCGCCACTCACTAGCACGAATACTACAAGCGCACAGCCACCCGCTCCCCCACCTGTCGTAACTGCCTCACTGTCCACACCCCCCGCATTAACGTCTACATCTCAACAAACTATCGTCCCCCCAGTAGTAAGTGTAGCACCCGCAACCACTCCATTTATGACTGTTCGACAACCCACAGTATTTCAATTCCTACAACCTCAGCAGCAATATGTTTTAAATCAAGAAAACGGGCAGCTTATACCTATAGTCCAACCTGGGATGCAAGTTTCCAATACCAATTTCACATCACTGCCTATAGGGCAACATTTAAGTTTGCAGCAACCTAACTTCGGAACTCAAATTGTAGACATATCCAATATGCAACCAGTAAATGTAACTCAATTACGATTAAGTGGTGTGCCATCATCTATGTCAATGATACTTCCGAATGGACTAACATTTCCTCAAGCTAGTCTCACAACTACAGATTCCACAACTGTTAGTTCGGCAACTTCCACACCAGTAGTGTGTGCGGCTCAGAGCACAAATTCATCACAAAAGATTCTATATAGCACCGACAAGGGAGATAAAGATGTGAAATACCATATACAAGGAACGGACACAATGCAATGGACTGTCCCAGGTTCCCAAACAATGTTGATACCTTATCAACAACTGCAGGATCTAACATCAAATCAGCAGGGATTACAGGGATTAACTAATTTGCAGCCGCAACAATTTGTTTCTGTAAGTAACTTATTTCTTAAAGAGTTAATAGCTCTCGCTAGGTATATAAACATGCAATAGAATCAATCTAGGTATATTATAAATTAAAATACACATTTAAAAATAGTTATACATTTTAAACAATTTGTGGTCATGAAAATGTGTGTTATTGCATTTTTAGTGCACAGTGCTAAAATATTATATCAATATGAGTTGAAAAAAAATATTGTTCAATTCAGTACACAAAGCTACATAAGTCCAATGTATATTTTAACCTGTCATGGTATGTAAGTGCGAACTACACAATTGAACAGGAGAAGTATGGGACAGTTCTCCCTTCTAGCCTTTCTAAGTATACATACATATTTCTGACACCTCATGTTACATAAATGTTTATACAAAGAAAGTTCGAATTATGTTGGTCAATAATATAAAACATAACATTAAAATCCAATTTAGTCTTTAGGACAGTCTAGTATTAAAAAGTAAGGGTTATTGAAATATCATCATCAACAGCCTTTAGTAGTTGACTACTTGACATAGGCCTCTCCTTAGAAAAGAGACTGATCTACTATACCACTCTGGCCAGACGGATTAGTATAGGGTTTCTGTCAAATTTTCCTTCTCTTTGCAGTGCTGTTGTCCCTTAGTCAGCTCTTAAGACACCTAGGGGATGAATAGGGGTGGTGACATCTGTATTCTTAATCCATCACCACCGACAATATATGTTTTAATTCAATTATCACACCCAACCCAAATAATGTACAATATTGAAATCTACATCTTTGTTTAGCAAAAATTACAAGTTGCTTATCAGGACTTAAATTAATGTGACTAATATGTACTTTTACAGATAGCACCAGCGGGAGGACTTCCACAAACTTCTCTTCCATTGACAGCTTCTCAGTTACAGCAACTACAGGCCACTGGTACAATTATGCAGCTAAATCAAAAGGTATACACTACTTCATAATTTGCTGGCTGCTATAGGACTGCTTAGCAGTGACAAGAATTGTTTATTCTTATTAATAAATGTTGTCTTACCTTAATTGTAAGAACATTTAATAAATATAAAAAATTCTGACTGTGTTTCTTGAGGCTTTATTTTCAGGCAGTTGCCAGTTGAAGCCTTAATAAAAGCACAAAAAAATGACGTATCCAAATAGTCATAAGACTATGATAGTAAAAGAGATATTTTATTTATTTATAGAATTGAAAAGTATTTACTTTACTGTAAAATTTGTTGAACTGTACTTTGCACTACATGTCATAGTTTAAGTGCCAGTTATCAAAAAATTTAAATCTATAGGTGACAGGTGACATATAAATTAAATATCAAACATAAATGCAAGTATATGACTAAGAAAGATATAATATAAAAATGACAATGTATTTTTCCCAACAGCCAATAGCCAGCAGTGGTTCTTTGATAAACATAATATCGACGGGACAAGCATCATCACCACAAATATTATCTGTGAGCATTAGCATATAGCACCAAATAATGATGCTTCCTCCTCACAAACCTGTGGTGTTTTGGTTTCAGGGTTTAATTTTATAATTTTTTTAACTATTCTCTATGTTTTTTTATCATTTTCACATATCTTTATTTATGGCAAGGGGTTTTAGCTCCTCTTTTTCTTCCATTTAATTTGACCGAGACCAGTGCCGGCTTACTATATGACCTCTCTGTCTAACGTCCAGTCCAGGCTTTGTTGCAAAGTTACCAAAAAGGTAATACAATACACATTAATCGAAAATAGACTGACCAAGATACTACATACTACACACGGTATTTACAGTACACTGATGAATTTGGAATACCACAGATTTTTTTATATTAATTTTAAATCAAATAATTTGAAGTCTTATTGTATCTAAATGTCTCATTAAATTCCTTACCACCCTGCTAGGCTCTGGACCTTTATAAGGGAATAAATCTGTAATACACTGTTTTTATAAAACTACTGGTTTACTCCCAGTCGGTATTCGTTTTTCTGTTATCTTCCACAACCTTTTTTGGAATATATCACTTTCATTTCATAGAGGAACAGACGCGATGACATTTTTTTTTTGGAACAGAGTCAGGTCAGTCAAGTCAAAATTTCTAAAATAACAGAATAATAAAAACAAACCTCAATTTACATTTCTTGGAGTCCGTTCTCGTAAATTGGGCGAGTAATTTGTTCATATATATTTAAAAGAACTGCCATTTGAACATGGTGGTAAGGTCACAAATTCTAGAAAAGAATATAAAACTAATTCTGGTACTTGGGCAAAGGCGTGATACCCCCCAGAGCTTTTCAAGGAATCCGGCATTGTGTAACATATCTATTCACCGCTTCTTCCTTATAATTTCAGCTTCGAATTGATATAAAAATTCTACCTTGCTGCCTATGTCTTCTCCTTCATTTATGTTTTTTTAAATTATCACCTGCTTAGATGTCCTGCTTTTTTATGTTGTGTTATGTAGTAAACTTTAATAACTAATTTTCAGAGTACATCAACTCCTACAAAGAACGTTAGCAGTCAAGAGTCTAGAGGTCAGAAAAGAATGTCTGATGGGACTCCGAGTCAATTGCAGCTTAGACCGATAGCGCCCGCTGGGTAATGTTAAAAGATTATTATTAGTTAGCTAGGTATTGGTAATGCCTTTTTTTTCAGACAAGACTACATACAGTAATACAAACGAAAAGGTATTTGGCATAACTAAAATTTGTTATAAAGAAGTAATGTTGCACATCATATTTTATAAATATATTCTTATAATATCAGTCAACATTTTAGAAATCGGACATCAAATGTGATGGACATCAAATATTTATGGTCTTCAAAAGTTATCTTTATACATATTTAAATGTACAGCGCACTTTAAAACGCATGAAGTCATTTGATTATAATAAAAACAAAAAGGAGACAACAACCATCTCGGTTATTGCCTATTAATTTTGCCTTAATTTTTGTTTTATACAAACAAATAGCCCTAAAACTAAATATTTTCGATTTTGTTACAACGGATTACAGTAATAACATACTGTAGTTAAAGCGAAACAGATAGCAATTTTCTTTTTTTTTTCAAAAATGTATTAGTTTTATTTTATAAAAAAAAATCTTACTACTTTTCTTTTTGTGATTCTGATCGTGATTTATGTTTTTTTTTCTGATTATTGTCCAATTTCCTAATAATACAGTACAGATGCCGATGCCTTCAGTGCAGATGCTTTTAATCCAAATGCCTTAGCAGCTATATTTTAATATTTGCAGACCAAAATACAAAAATTGATATATTTCTGTTATCTTATTATTGACCAATATTTCAAAGCAATTGGCGTTATTGAAAATAACCGTTTCTGCAAAAATTAAGATACAGTATACATATGATCCGGCTCCGGAGAGTTTATTTGAAGACTGGTTTTGTTTTATAACCAGTGTACGCCGTGTACCACATTATTAATATCAAGCTTAATGTTGAAATTAAAATAGTATCGGAGCTGTCTTAAAATGAATCAAATACAGCCAGTCAATGTAGAGGGAATGGATCATTTTCTAAATCAATTCAGACTTGAAACAGTTTGTAATTAGAATTGTTAAATCCCAATAGGCAGGAGGATCCGCCGTTTTCCACGCGTGGTGGCGCCACTGTGATCGGAGGTCATAATGTCTACTAAGAAATTTTCTAGTGTGATTGAGAGTTCGATGCAGACTGGCTCGTTAAGTTCATATAACTTGGTTCATATTATACTCGTAATTGGCTCCTTTTAAGTTGGTAATGACTGTGGCTTTTAGTGTTTTTACACCTTTTTTTAAAATTCATGGTTATCATGACAACAAGATACTATTGATTTAAAGATACAACTTTTACTTACATTTATCCGTAATTTAGGAATGATAAAATAGTTTCAGGCCCGAATCAAGTCGGAAATCGTTATTATTTATTGAAATGAAAAAAAACGAGTATTTTTCTTAAACAATGAATAAAAATATAAAGATAATTTAATTTCTTCTGCCATTGATTACCTTCTTTTAAGTGCATCTACCTGATGCTTTCTCTGCATCTCCTAATCAGTGGACTGGTAGATTCTCTAGCCTTAGGCATTAAGTCCGCCGATGCCTAAACTTGTTTATGAAGTTAATTAAATAATAATAATAATATAACTTTAATAATGTAATGTGCATTATTTTAGGAATAGCCTAAATTGGAAAAAATCCTTCTACCCTATAATAATAATATGCTCTGAGTCTAAGTCATTAAAATATAACCTTTTTTTTCTATTTCCTGTTATAAACGCTATCTGCGTCGGGCCTCTCAATTTTCCTCATAGTGATCTCACAATTTGTTTTACTGTGTTGTGTGTACTGACTGATATGCTACCGCAGGTCGCATGTGTCACACGACAAGAGCTCTTCGAGAGAGTCGCGCACCTGGACCGCGACACCAGGTATATTGAAGATGCAAGATGATATTGGCACACGAGATGATTTGGTTTTTATCTCACCCACTTATTTGCCTCGAAAACTGATTTTAGTACACCAAACGACTCATTCTAGAAAAGGGAATAAATATATTTGTTCATAAGTTATTATTTACTTAGTCGATGTATATTTTTTTAATTCAATTTAATCCAAAGAATATTGGATGAATTTAGTAGAAAATGAATTTAATGAGTTTAAGTACGAATTGTTCTTTTTTTAATATTTTTATTATTATAAAAATATAATGCTTTTGTTTGCCGTTGGGGTGTTCTGCGAACTGAGTGGCTTCAAGAGGTATTTGAAAATTCGAGCTACATAGGACGAGTAACAAATAGTTCAGTTGGCAGAGCGTCCTAACTGCATCAGGATTGGCACGTGACGTATTTCAAATTATCAGCAAATACAGATGAAATATAATAGTGTATAATAATATAATTAAATTTCATTCGTTGTTGTACGTATCAAATGAGTCGAAACTTCAAGTCATCTCGTGTGCATACTCTTATATTTATTGTAAATATTCTTAAGTTGTATAATAATAAGGCAGCAGCTGCGTAAATTACTCTAGTTTTATTCTGTTTTTAATTTTTTTTAGCGCACAAAGTCTCGGTCGTGAGCCTAGCGTATAATCGCAGTTATTGGCGTAAATTTAGCGCATTAGCTGAAATTATTGCAATTATTCTGCGTAGATTACAATAAATCATACTCACTTCACTCAGTTCACTCCCTCTCCTTCTCACTTTCTCACCCTTTTTTTTCCGTGCGGACACCACCATGGCATGGTGGCATGTTGGACTCGAACCGACTAAAACCGCACGCCGTCTCGGGTACTAATAGCCGGGGAACCAGGTATACCCTTGAAAGAAACTCCCTGGTGCCCCGACATACCTCGGGCCATCTACAACAACAGGTAGACGATGCTCCCTGGAAGCGAGCGCGCTTCGTAACGCTCGTGACAGATGGTCTCACCTGTCACCCCCAGGCCCGAACTTATGGAGGACGGAGGTTGTTCTGCGACCTCCGGCGCCTGAGTTGCCTGCGGTATCTGGCCCGTTCCCGGGCCTGGCGGGCCGGGAGAGTCCTAAACCTCTCCCGGTCCTGCTCCGCCGTCTCCGCACTTCCTCACCCTAAGTCCGCTTTTCTCTCTGATTTATATTTCTAAGTAGCAAATATTTTTTGTTTTTCTTTGCAATGCGATCGAATCACTAAATACTACTCTAAGGTAAGTAACAAAACATTTGTAAATATTGCAGTAATATTATGCAATCGCACTATTTTAAGTTACCGTCTCTCATCTTTGTAATCTGTGCATCTTTTTAAAGATAACTCCCGCACTAGGAATATATCCTGTGTCGCGGATGACAAACGTACATTAAATGGACAATAGAACACCCAGACTCAGAACAACAATTTGTGAATCACACAAAGTGTTGTTCCATGTGGGGATCGGACCCACAACACTCAGCGCAGTAGGAAGCGGCGAGGTGACCGCTTAAACCACTACGCCATTCGTGCATTGATGTATACAGTATAATTTTGCCGTGTAGAGCCATGCTTCGATACAAACAGACCTGTGTGAGACCACGGCCTTACAGAAAACATGTATTAAGGATTTTTTTCGTTAGATTTCACCGAGTGAGTGAAACAACCGGAGCCCGGATTCAAAGGGTGTTTGTTAAGCACTCTGTGATTCTTAAAGTGCAGGTGACCATGGGCGGCGGTAGTCACTTACCGTCAGGTGACCCGTAAGCCCCTATATGAAAAAAATAAAAACCCCTATAAAAAAAGAATACAGGGATGAGAAAAGGTGAGGGTATATTTAGCGCAACAGTCTAACCCTAAACGAAAGAACGCAGGGAAGTAGAAACTAACTTGCACCGTACATTATATCCATGAATGATGGTTACCTACGAGATACAGCTTCACCATGGATTGGGGGCTTAGAGAACTATTTTACATAAATTGTCATTCCTAACCTCTTTTCTGACCTAAAGTCCGCAGCCATGTCTTGAGAGCGACCAGTCCAGAGCTGGAATGCTGTGACTAGAATCGTGTTACTGTAATGTTTCACACCCAATACATACATACGTAGACTACCTGGCATCCTTTGATTTAAGAAGGAAATTGAAGTCTCCTATTTCATAATCAGCTGGTCGCAGTTTTTGTAAATGTACCTAATATTAATTATGCTTTAATTATTCTCTTCACGCAAGTAACAGCATGGGATGGAGGAAATAACGGACTGTTATTAACTTTATATTTTCATGGTATCAAACTTTATTATAGGTTTGAGGGGTTAAAAACAGGCTACAGATAAAAATGTTTGCGTAAGTAGTTTAACTTTGATTAGTTGATGGCTCAGTCTTAAAGGATGGAGGATACGTGACCCTGATCTCTTCCAGCAGTAGCAGCATAGCATTCCTGAAGAAGTTTAGTAGAGTAGTTCTGCTCCCAGAGTAGGCCGCTTGAGACCGTCTGTCTTTAGTGAAAACACCACATAGCCACTGCTGTCCAAGGACCCGAAGATCCGAAAGGATTTTCCACCCCTTTAAAAAAAGGTAGTTTAATCGCCCTTACCTAAATTGACCTTCTGTCTTTGTCTGAAGAACGTCTGGAAGCGTACATTCCCAAGCACGCTTGACGTCTGCAATTTGCAATATCAGACATTCCGTCGGTCGATCAATCTTAAATTATATTGGGATAGCTTGCAAATGTCATTGCATTGCATCAATTTAATGTCGGATCTTTTATTGACGTCCCTCGAAACACACAGAAGCTGATCATATATGGTAATAGAACCCGCAATACTCGACTCTAGTTAGGAAGATTGAGTGACATCATGGCAGGCAAGGACACATCAGCAGAAAATATTGAAGGTTCTGTTGGTATTATGCCATCATCGTCTTGCCCTTACATCAATTTAATGTTTTATTTGTTAACATGTTTTTTTTTACTTTTTACTCATGATAAGTAACACATTTGCGTAGTTTATTCGCGTTTCTACTTTGTCAGGTTTTCATTTTCCCATACATCATCGGCAAAGGACTATCAACTTTAAAAGAAATGACAGGCATTACGCGCTACATGTTTTTGCTTTCAGACAGTTTGGAGCAGAAGCTGAATACCTATTTATCGTTAACATCACAACATACATATTTTTTTTTTACGAAAATACTCAATCCTTATGAACAGTGGTGTTGGATTGTTTATCATTTTTTAACTTTTTCCAGATATGATTGCCCCAATTAGCAACTCGCTACAGTTACAGTTTACATTGTTTAATTAAATCAATGCAGAGTGATTTCTATTTATGTAATGCAGTTTCTTTATATTTTAAGAGATAAAGGAGGACAGATTTTAGACATTTCACATCGACAGCCTTTAATAGTCCACTGCTGGAGTATTAAAGGCTGTTAGGAGAAAGAAAGAAGGTTTTGGGCTACTATACCATGATGGCTACCAGACATTAGACATTTACTGTATTTTAATTGAAATATTCAGTAGAAAACTAGTAAAAAATATTTTGCGTAATTTCAAAATATATTTACAAATGCGAAGCACCTTGCGAGGAAAATCTACCCGAAATATCTTTAAATGTGCGTACAAATAGCGAGCATTAGCGTAGCTATATTGTAGATAGTCTTATTTCCAAGGCCAAGCGTATCACTTAGTGTTCAACTTGAAAATAGGTCTCAAGCAATTTCCATTCGTGCTGATCTAGACGGACCACCTCGCAGTTTTTACTAAATATTCTTTACTTTCAGAACTATGAGTGACTGATCTTTATGATGAAACTTATAAGCACGTGACTTCCACTTGCACATACATTTCAGGGACATCATCCACACTCTGAACACTTATATAGCCTACACATACGTATTTAACGCATCATTTACAGGTTCCGGTCACCGATGAGAGATAAGCTATATATTTCTCTATCATTTAAGTGGTCTCAACAGAATTCAGAAAACAAACATACTTCACTACGCTATTAGGCATTTTATCCAATTTTTCAGATGTTTCTATCCAGTGTATTCCAACTTCATTACATTAGCCCGGCCAACATAGACACGTTGTTGCTGCAGAAGACTTACTAATCTTCTATTTTGTAGTTTTAAGCTCGTTGCGATCGCTATAGTTATCGAAACTACATCACCGAGTGCACATGCGTAAGATTGCAAAAGCGATAATATTTTTTAATCTTCAATAAACTACAGCTTATTATCTTTTAACAGTTAAAGACAACACTATTGTCAGTATGGGAATGAAAATCAACCCTGCTCACGGCACGATCATCCAAGTTTCCTCCGGACAACAGACAAAGTAAGACAATCGCAAAATAGATAAAAATTCTACAGAATATTTAAATTCTTCCTCTAATAAATTTTTGTCTCTTGTAGTGTCTCAGCTCAACCAGGAGTTGGCCAGGAAGCTACGGGAATGTACATAAGACAAATAGACCGAAACTCAATTCAAATACAAACCAACAAAGACGGGCAGAAACAAGACTTGAGCAAGATCCAAAATACTGCTCAGAATGTTCAAATGATCACGATGCCTTCTGGCATGACAGTGTTACAGAACCCTCTTAATTTAAGCCAAATGCCTATGCTCGGTCAACCCAATAGCCAAGTATATATGATACCGGCAAATCATCCGAGTCTAGTTCAAAGCGGGTTACCTTCTGGACTAATCGGACAGCAAGTATTGCAATCTGGTCAAAACGTTACTGTAATGCAGCCTAACCAGTTGGGCATGCCAGGTGGAGTTCAGTATAACATGCCATTGATGCCAATGAACATGCCAACTTCATCACAATATATGCCTACTGGAATAAACCTGAATACGCAGCTATCAGCGCAGCAGCTAAATGCAGCTTTAGCAGGACACCAACTAAACCCCAACTTGGGTAGTATACCCATAGTCCAAGCACCCCCTCCCTCTTCTCCAATGACTAATCCAGGTCAGACAATCCCTATCTCACAACCCCCACCACTGCCTCAGTTACTACCTAATTCCTTCTTAACCCCTACATCACAATATGCTGGAATGCCGCAACAATATATGATGCAAGGCAACTCGGGAACAATCACTGTTCCCACTAATGCTAATGTCCAATACAGTATACCAGCTAGTCAGAATAGTTCAAACAACGGTACAACACAAGCTGCTTCAACAGACACAGAAACTAATGGAGCTAACAACCAAACTAACTATATTACGTCGTCATCACAAGAAAATGGTTACTCAATAACGGGCACTGTTCAAAACCAGCAGACTTTTACGCCAGAAAATGGCACAACGCCGCCTACTGCAGGATTTACACCTGCCAACCAGACTGTGACACCTACATATTCTTCTAATGGCAGTCAGAATACAGCTTACAACGTCAGTCAAACAACCACAACACAACCACCTCCCACTTACAACCCAACAAACGGATCGAGCCAAACAACCAACCAGAATTATCCATCATCAAATACGCCCAGCTCGCAAAATTCTCAAACTGGTTTCTCCCCATCAACAACCCCAGCCCCCAATCAGTCATATCCGACACAAAATATGCCGAATATGCCAAATCTCGCGTTCCCGCCTAGTCAGAACCCACAAAACCCTTACCCAAATGCTACTGGACAGAATTTGGCCGCTTACGCCAGTAATCAATATCAGTACACAAGTAGACCATGGTTCAGACCGCGGTACGGGTCTCCGCAAGGGTCCCCGTACAGTTCAGGAGCTGGTCCCCCTCCAAACGGACCTCCGATGCCAGTTCCACCGCCTTCTGGAAACTACAATTATTGGCCGGACAGCTGAGATTTGGAGAGTATTATTATTGATGCTGAATTTGAAGTGATAATTAGTATTTAATAATGTTAGGTTAAGAGAGACTGCTTTATTAATTAATACATTTATGAAATGTAAAGTATTTAGAATGTATATGAAATAATTACTATTTCGTACTTTCGTTGTTTTATTTCCGATGTAGAAAGCCTTGTTCCTTGCCTTGAAAAATAAAAGACTATCACAACAATTAGTGTGTACTTACTGAGTTTCATACAATAAAACTAGCTTTTATTCATGTGTTGTCAGATTATAATCTATCTGGTCTGAACTTCATCAGATCTGGAGGTCATTTAGTCGTTCCGACCGTGCTGATCCAAACTGACCGTGACAAAAATTGTTATCTGTTTGTTCCGGCTAACTTTCAAAACGGCTGGACTGATTTTGATAATATTTTACTACCAGGTAGCTGTCTATATGAGGAGTAACAAATGCTATTTTTGAACTCATAAACCCAAATAAAATTTTGCCCGGTCCGGGAATCGAACCCGAGGCCTCATGGACTGCAGTCGTGTACACCACTAAGGCAGCGCTTTCGTTAGTTATACTTAATATTTGTATATATTATATTATTATTTGAACAAACATTATCAATTCAAATTCCACGCTAACGAAGACGTGGGAACCAGCTAGTTTTAAATAAAAATATCCAACACTAACTTTATATTGCTCAAATAAATAAATATTATTATTTAGTGTGCGTTGCCCCAGTTAAAAAGTTCCAATTTTAATACTTAAGTTTAACAGCAGTCCCAGCGGCACATTTTTATACTATGGACGTAGAAGAAAAAATGTTTTCTAAAATTACTGAATGACGTTAGGTAATTGTGTATATTCAAGTTTCTAATGCGACAACGTTTGACCGTTTGCTAGATTTCATATAAAACGCTTTGGAGTAGATTTTTTCATACGTTTTTTTGAATTTGATTATACTGTTTTGTAAAAACTGATTTTAAAAAACCATACTATTCAGAAGATATAAATATAAACGTAAAATAACGTGTTTAGGTCCTACTACTTAATGCTTATGCACTAGGGTCTACTTTATAACGTTTATACATACTTTGTAAGCATCTACAACATCTTTATTATATATTTTTTCTAAGATATATGGTCTGCCTATAAATATGCAATGAATTGCCCATTATGAATTTTGGCAATTATTATTTTTTTGTCATAAATATACTGATTTTAAGAATCGTACTGCATTAACCAAATATGCTGAACACAGTAGTTGCAGAAAAAGCAAGCGACCTAATGTCTATTTCGCCCAATTTTATTCAAGAATTGTGTAACACCTATACCAGTTCAATACCGTATTATACTGTAAGTTTCATACACTAATTTCATGTCATACACTAATTTTTGAAACCATTTTTTTTCTTCTACGTCCATAGGATGCTGTTTCTGCTGGGACAACCTTGTCCCAGCAGAAACAGTTTTTCGTAAATATCTCCCCAATGGTTGGATGCATAAATTTTTACTTAACATACACTAAATATATGTTAAACTTAAATAATTACGCACACATTATTTATGTAATTTGATAAAATATGAACGATATAGTCAGTCCTCCTGTCCAATTACTATCCTCGAACCTCGTCACATAAATCAGAAGCCAAATATATACTTACCTATAAATTAGCAGTTGACTTTCGTGCGTTCTGTTCCAGAGAATCTGTATGGTAGGTACAGATAATTGTGAGTATTAATAATTTTCAACTTCGTCGGCCTCCGTCCTTATATTTTGCAACTGTGAAATTGAATTAGACGTGTATGATTTTAAGACCTATAACGTTAAAATTGTCACTCGTAAGACGCTCCAAAACCTGAAAAACTATTAACAAGTTTTTTTTAGTAAAGTATATTTGTAATGAAAAACAACAACAAACATCAGTTGACTGAAAGAGGAAAAAAACGGTTCTGAAGCCGTTATTTTCTCTTTAAGTCAACTGATGTTTTCTTTGTTAAATAGGTACCTATAGGTTTAGTTTTATAATTTTAAATTAAATCACAATGGTTTAACCGAGGATTGAAAAACCGGCCCTTAGTCTAATAGCATAACAATCTATGCTATACACTAATAAGTTTATGGTCAAAATACCTTCATATTTCTATCCTTTCAACCATTTCACGTCACATTGACGTTAAAATTCTTGGTGCCCGTTCATTTTTCTTTAAAGTTGGTAGGAAGGAAAAAGTAAATCACTAAGTATGCACGCAGAAAATAGATATCCAGTTACTGCATCTTTATTCATGTTAAAAGAGATTAAACATCGCCAAGAACAAGTTAACCGTGGTTACCAGCTTCTTAAACGGAAGGCTGAAGCCCTTCGCATGAGAGGAAGGCAAGCCGCCCTTGAATTGTCATCTACTCAAGCCATGTTAGGCCATACATTGAGGGAGGCTTATATATCGCTGGCAGCTATTAAATTTACTAACGGAGAATCCAATGCATTAGTTTTAGAAAATGTGGGACAAGTAAGTCAAGATCTTTTACCCCTGATTACAATCGCATCAAACAAAACTCGATGATTTTGGTATGAAATCCTTTAGCATAGAGGAAAACTGAGATGTCTCTTTTGTACCAGGCCCAAGTTCGAGTTCAACGGATTCCGGAAAATATATCTGGTGTATCTACGGTGGCTCTTCAAGCCTTAGAGGATCCAGGTGCTGGAGATGCATTGCGGTACGCTGGACTCGGGGCCGGCGGTCATCGTACCGGGGAGGCTAAGAAAGCGTTCCGAGAAGCCGTCCTAATCCTCATTAAATTTGCGTCCCTAAGAAACACTTGCATATTGTTGGATACATCTATTAGATCCACCTTAAGGTACTTTTATTTTATCAATATGATCTACCCAAATGACAGCCTACAGTACCTACACATGAGTTCATTACAGTGTGCTGAATTGCGCTAGTCTCTACAATATACTACAGGCATGCAGCCGCATGCAAGGCGAGGTCTGCAGGTGACAGGGAAGGTTTGCGGTTGTCAGGGGGAGGTTGACAGGAGAGATTCGCGAGTGGAAATAGCCGGTTGGAGATGTCCCCGTCACCTCAGGCCAGCTGAACGTAATCGGAGGCCTATAAATGCTGCACCGAATGAAAAGTCAATATCTATGTCATAAAAAAAAACTTTTCGTCTTAAATAATCGTACCAGTGTCACAAATGACACTGATCTGAAGATTACTAGTGTTGGTAGCCCAATTTCCTGTATTCTATGCCTTTTTCAATACATTTGAATGTAAATATTTATTATTTATGTGTGCACTCTATAAATCATGACTGACATGAATCTTTCGCAAATGAGATTTTTCTTTTTCTTGTTTAATGAAATAGCGTTCTTAATATCCTTACAGAAAAGTGAACGGTATAGAAAAAGTAATCATGCCGAAACTACGTAACACTGAAAACTATATTTTGACGGAAATGGATGAAAGGGTAACTAATACTAGTTAATAGCATTATAATCCACAAAATAGTGTATATTTTTTATCGTATATCTAAATCTATCGTGAAGTGGGCATGGTTGTGATCATAGAACAGGGGGGAGATTAGAAATTTCCCCAGCAAACCACAGAGCTCGACTAGAAAGAGATCTATCTCTTTCTAGTCGAGCTCTACGAGAGAGATGGATAATAAATAGTTCCCTCTAGGGAACTATTTATTATCCATCTCTCTCGTTGCCTATATTGCAAGATTGGGGCTCTTGTTCAATCACTCTATACTTATATATCTATGGTTGCCACCCTGTAAACGCCTCTGCCCGATAGAGGGGAGGGGTGGTTTCGATAAAATCATTTACCTTATATTTTATACCTTTTATATTAAACTAGCGATCCGCTCCGGCTTCGCATGGGTGCAATGTAGATACTACTAATAGTAGTCAGTGTGGAGTAATACTATTATTATGATAGGACTATACAACAGGACATCTTTAAATGCAGTATTATAGACCCGCTCCGATCCAGCCGGCCGCTGCCACCCGGGACGGACGTACGGCTCGACGGTCGTTGGGCCCTCGCATTTCAAAGCTCTAATATCTTCTAAAATATTCATTAGAATGATATGCTGTAAAGAACTATTTTAATCTTCATTAAATACACAATGTATCTAACGTATTTAATTGGATAAGGAATAATAATGTATTGTTTAAAAAGCTTCGTATATAATCTATTATTTATTTGGAATACTTAAGGAGCGGACTTTTTTGTACATCTTTTTAAGATGTAGTAGACAATTCCGTAGTACCTTATTTTGGTCTATCTCGTAAGCAGTATCGGATTTACCAGCAGGCTCAGTAGCCTGGTGCCTAGGGCGGCAAGTTTGGGTCTATTTTATTTATCTTAGAGAAATAAAACATAAAATACAGGAAAAAAAGTCGTAAAGAACAAAAATTACTAGATTTAACTATATTTAGGCACTCTGTGTATCGGTGTCCGGGACGTGCTCTGCACAAGGCGTCATTTTCAATAGAGCGACAAAACAGATATCGAAACGAAAACGAAACTCTCAGAATTTGTATGTTTATTATATTTTTATTAAGTTTTAATACCTAATGACATCTATTGATCAGTGTACAAAAATACATTCAAATATTTAAAAAAAATGCTTTATAAACGTATATATAGTTTGAGTCATTCGGAGCGCAGGCGCGAGTGGTGTTTCCAAGATCTCCCACACCGGCCGATAGTTTTACGTTCGGGAAATCGTGGGGCGGCTTGATTCGGGCACGCCGTTATTGCGGCAGTAAGGCCTCACAGACAGAGACGAAGGCCGTAGCGCATCGCATGTGACGTGGCGTATCGCGGCGAGTCGGAAGTTTTTTCTGTTTACGAAGCGGCGGCGTGTAAAGCGGCAATATACGACGTTGACGACGACGTTCGACGTTCATAGATACGCGAGATGGGAAGAGCTGTGAATCCTGAAGCGCGTAGCAAAACACGCAGCGGGCATCGCTGCCGCTGCCGCGCACGCGGGATACTCAACCAAAAATCAACTTATTAATATAAAAATTAATAATATAAAAAACAAATTAACATAGAATTTTCATCTAAAAATCATATCATATCATACTCCACTGACGGTGAATACGTCTGCGTTCTGCGATTTCCAAATAAGACGCAGAAGGTTCCATCGCGGGCATCGCTTCACCGAGAATAGGCGCCGCGTGCGCCTCGCATAATAAACGCTCACAAAATCGGTTTCCGTAAACGCACTCACACCATATGTTTGAATTCAATGCGGGCCGTGCCGCCCAATGCAACGCGCGATGTTCCGCGTCTCCGTGAATGAGGCCTAAGATCCCTTACGGAAGATTGGCTCGGAAGAAAACACGGTACCCTCTCATACCAGCACACGCAGGTGATCACCGAGAAAGGACGCTTCATAAGTCACCTGTGTCTGATCCGCAAGAAGCCAATGTCTGGGTGCCAATACTGCGATTGCTAGAGCGCTCAACACGCGGGCAGAATACTCGGTGTGGACGAAGCAAAGGCGTCACCTCGTGACGGCCGACGGAACTTGAGTTCGCTTGCTAACTGCCATGATTGCGGCAGTGGTATGGAGCGAAAGGGCATGGAACTCCCACCAACTCATTCTGCGAGCAACTTATGCTCGCGAAGAAGAGGGCGGATTGAAGCCGATAGAAGTTTAGTTCTCCCACGGTCCGGCAGGCCCTCCATAAGCCCAAGCAGGTAATAAGTATCAGGTGGTGACGCTCTTTAGAGGTAGGAAAGGATCACCGTAGTCACCAGATACAATGGGGCCATCTGCAGTTAACTCGGGGTTGGGTGGAGTACCAGAGATTTACTTTCTAGGTTAAACCTGGTTCATCGGTTACTGGTGCCCGAGACGGCGCTTGGTTTTAGTCGGTTCGAGTCCGACATGACCGTCCCGGCGCGCGTCATCCGATAGGGGGTATCCGATGGGGGATTTCTGCACGGAAAAAAGGACGTCTTAATCGGCATTGCACGCCGGCGCTCAAACAGCAAGGGCCGGGTCTGTATATACTTATATTCCATACTCTAGTGGCGTACTCAGTGTGAACACAATAATGGTGCGACCCTCGCGGTGGCCATTGGCGTGGGAAACCTCTCTCTAGAGACCATGGTACAAAGTAAGAGTGCTTGGGGTGCCACCTCTTCTTTTTGTGAATAAGTGATGTTCCCTAAACAGAAAACGGGAGAGATCCAGTACAGAAGTGGCACCAGGCGCCTGACAGCGCAAAACGATCTCCGAGTTCCATGAGTGATTCGCAAAAGGTGATTTTGGAACTGAGATTGAAGACGAGATAAGAAGGCATAAATATTATTACTTAATCATCGATTCAACATCGGATATATCACGCGTGGATCAACTTCCTTTTGTCATAAGATACGTTTTGGAATTTGGCAAACCGTGTGAAAGATTTCTCAAGTTTTTGCCGTCTCGTCATACTGGGACCAAAAGCTGAAAAAATGTTTTGTGACAATATTTTGGAACTCAAATCACTGAGCATAAAATTGCAAAGGAACATATCGAGCATGTACAATGGCTTGCAGGCGAAAATTCAAAACATAGCACCTTTCGCCTTTTACGTGCCTTGTTCTGTCCATTCTTTGAATATAGTGACAACTACAGGTGCGGAATCGCGTACAGTAGCTTGTCGCTTTTTCATGATGCTACAGGAAATCTATGTTTTTTTTTGGAAGCTCGCGACAACGCTAACAAAAATTAATTAGTATTAGTTCTTAAAACTTTGGAATATAATCAAAGACTACCAAAATGCCTGTACGTGACAAAAAGCATTGAGAATATTTCGAGATTTGGAAACTAGAAACGACAGTAATATTTGTTATGTGAATTTCACTGAATGGGATAGCGATAACAGTCTGATCCAATTTCAAGTACCTCGGCTCCCTCTTACAATGTAATGGTGAGATGAATCGACCTGTACAGCATCGACTCAATACGGGATGGATGAAGTGGCGGCAGGTAACAGGAACAATTTGTAACCCCAGTTTCCCCTTAACACTGAAGGGATACATTTATAAAACTATCATCAGACTTGCCGTCCTGTATAGTTCTGAAAGTTGGCCCATTAAGAGAACGGATGAGAGACGCCTGAACGTAGCCGAAATGCGAATGCTGAGATGGGTGTGATGTGTGACTTGGATAGACAAGGGAGTCTGAAAGTAGCGCCATTGGATAAAAAGTTATGAAGTAATAGGTTATCTTGGTATGGACATGTCATACGGAGTGATGAAGAAAATGTGGCAAAGAAAGTATTAGGTAACGAAGTTAAAGGGTACAAGAGAAGAGGAAGACCAAAGAGAAGGTGGATGGACTGTGTGAGTGAGGATATGGCTAGGAAAGGAGTACACAGTGAGATGACCAATGAATGAGTAGAATGGAAGAATCATACTTACTGCGCCGCCCCAAATAAAATTGAGGTAAGGGCAGCCAGATGCTGATGATTTAAAATGGGTGAAAATGAACATATTTAATATTTTAATGAACAATAAAAAATTGTAATATAAGATGTAAATCGAAGAAAATCATTCAGCACCCGAAATAGAAATAGATTTTTAATAAAATAATAAATTTCGACTTGTAAAATATTATGTAAGAATGGGTTTTAATCCCCTCCCTCCCCCCCTCCCCAAGATAAGGGCATGTAGAGATTTTTTTAATCCCCGACCCCTAATTAATAGATGGCCCCTAAGAACAATCATGGAACTGACACAATGATATCTTAGTTCACAATTCTACCATATAATAAGTGGAAAAGCTGATGTAATGATGAAAATAGTACACAAATCATGGAAGCACAATTTCATTGACAAAGAAAAAGTAGTTAAGTGAAATGCTTATGAATTAAGGGATTGAATATCAAGTTAGTAGGGGCGTAATAAAATTGAATAGCCCACTGGCGGCAAATGTGTAAATCCGCCACTGCTCGTAAGGTTTAGACAGCGTTTGCAATGTAAGCCCAGAAAAACATGGTTTTTACAATACTATAATATTCATACATGGGGTTCAAAATCTTGGTGAAAACCTCATTGAAATCCGTCGCTTAGTTTAAAGATCTAAGCGTACAATAAAAAAAGCGAATTTATTTTATACTATGTAAAGAAGAAGGATTTATTATATGTATTTAGCAGAACCCGGCCACGCTCCGAAATGGCAAATTAATGAGAAATGACAAACAAAACTTGACGCAAAAAATACAAAATAACACGGTGCAGAACTTTTTGAGTTCTTGAAGCGTACACACACCAACTTAAAATTTATATCTACATGGATTGGGTAAAATAACGGAACACACATTCATACCAAACATGGTCCCAGTTATTTTTTTTTTTACAAATACTCATCAGTTTTATGCTTACTATTTACAACTGTTCTTTTTATAGGAGAGAGAAGAGTTCCATCGCTTGAAGATGGTGAAAGCGAAAAAGATTAGAAACCAAGTGCGTAGTATTGTGCGGCAAGATGACAGCAATGTTGGCGGAGGAGAGTCGACGGGCATGTACCATTTCAACATGGTGGGCGTAGCCATGGTGGGGCAGATGGGCCACTTGTTCCCGCCTATGTCATTGGCAAGTAAACAATTATATACATTTTTGTCTAAATGTTTATACCTATTTTCCTGGCTACGCCCATACTTAGCTATTTTATTGGGCAATGAAGGGTTATCTACACACACTCGGGATGAACTGAATACCCGGATCATCTTGACTCTTATAGTTGGGATCGTGTCATCCTACATGAGCTAGCGCTCGAGTCATATTAATAATTTTGTTGTATCAGCTACAATAGCCGAAATATAACTTAGTTTATACTCATTAAAGATACAGTTGTCCTCAAGCGCGTATTTCGAAGATTCTACTAGTTTCTGAACTCTTCACTCCTTGAAAAAGGGTATCCGACTAGTCATGTATCTTTAATAATATCGCCGGCAACAAACTTTTAACGGACGCCAATCAAAATTAATGTTTTGTTTTTAATGTATTTAAGGTAAACCAACCAAGTGACTCAGTACTCAAAACAGAAAGTTAATACATCATCATCATCAACAGCCTTCAATAATCCATTACTGAACATAGGCCTCTTTTTAGAAAGGAGGCTTTGGCCTACTATACCACGCTGGCCAGACGGGTTGGCATAGAGTTTGTGTCAAGTTTACCTTCTGTTCGCAGTGATTTTGTCCTGCACAGTTTGCTCCTTTAGTCGACTCTTACGACACCCACGGGATGAACGGAAATGGTGACACTCAGTATTCTTAATCCGTCGCCACACGGATGAAAGTTAATTATCATACTGTAAACCAGATTTGTTATTAAACAATTGGTATCCTTCTTCTAAGTACAATATATTTATTTTAATCTACAATCAATAAATACTTCTTATCATACAAGTAAATCAAAATTTGTGCTTATGTTAAAATTAAACTGTACCTATAGATATAGAGCCTTGATGAACTGAAGAACTAAATATTTTGTAGAATTTTGCCGGAATTCAAGATGTTACTGGGCCACGATGTGTGTCGATAGCCCCTCGAATAATCGTTATATTATTGCAAGTAGTTCCATCTCTAATTTCCCTTAGTGTGGCTATGATAAAAAATGACGATGTTGTAATAACTGCCGCGAAGCTAGATCTATCTCTAAGAGCATACAGGTTAGAAAATCTGGCGAGTTTGATTGTATTAATTTACAGTATCTATTACTAGTTTTTTTTTATCTTACTTTACTTTCTGCGCCTTTGAAATGACCGAAGCAATTTTAGTTTACCGTTGAAATATAGGTAGGTACATTGTTTTCCTTAGCAAAGCTGCAATATCAGTTATTGCATCTATAGGCTGTTACGTATGGATACAATAACTACAATAGCTTGGTTATGTGGCATTGATGTTTCTTTTTGTTTCGACATAAGCCTACCACAATGCAACGTAACATGTAAAATTTCATGATGAACGGTTGAGTAGTTAGTAGAGAACGGTAGTAAGCCGTGAAAACGTAACAAAACTAAAATATTATTTTATATAATTATAAATCTCATTTTACAGAGCTTGCCCTCGAATCAACAACGCTGTCAGTTAGCTTCAGTACTGTAGAATACTTCAGGAGTATTCTGGCTTGTAAATCGTCGCTTTCCATGTCTTCAGAGTCTGGGGACCTTAAGCCCATCTGCCTGCCTCATAACTGGGATGATGACGACTTATTATTTTAAAATATTAACTTTTTCTGTTGCCGGGTATCTACTATGTTTATGATAGTTTCCCTGTCACTCGAAGGATGGCGCAACATTCACGAGCGACAATTTGAATCAATGTCTACTTGCGAACAGCATCATTTTGGTATTGCCAACCATAAAACAAGTGATGTTGTCTATTACAGTATAGTAAAAGTTAATAGTAGTAAAATACCATTAGATTGACCAGTCAGACGGCCAACAAGCAGCCCTTTGAACATACGTTCTTTTGAATTGCCTGTGTCATTGTTGCTTTACCGAAATATGATTCGTCATTGCTAATTGTTCTCAAATACAGTAACTGTTATTGAAGTCAAACATGTAACACAGGGTAGTTATTTTTCTAAATATTTTTGTGTTGCTAACAATGACGCCGAAGAAAAGAGAAAGAATAATTAACATGAACCTTTTTATAATTTGAGGGCAGCTAGGTCGCTTAGTAGACAGACCGCAGCAATGGGAGCAACGAATATGCATCTTCATTTAATTATCAAGGAATGGGACTTCGGTGCCAACTTTTGCGTAGGGTTTGTAGTTATTAATTGTTGTCAATGGAGAAGTAGGTGATATAATTCCTATTAGAACATAGTAGATACCTAGTCCTAGACTATGTACTTGTTTTTATTGATAATAAAGTCGTAAATTACAATTGTGTTTACTGAACCTACGTACATTAAAAGTGTCGGATCATACACTAAATGTCAAACAAGCATAAAGTCAAAAGCCACAAAAAGTCAAACATGCACAAAGACAAAATTCAAACGTAGGTACTAATTCAAACACGCATAGTTAATGAAGAAGGCAATAAAATCAGAGCCATCATTATGAATCAAAACATGATATATTGAATTATTTTACTTTACTAGACTAAGAAAAGTGCGAAGAAAAATAGGTACGATTGTGGTATTGGTATTTATTAATACCAACTCCACAATCTTAAACTTCCCTGATTGCTAGGACAGACTGTTTGTAAAATAATATCAAATCTCATTAATATTTATGAAAAACGTTAAAAAATTAGAATTTTGCATATATTGACCATTTAAGAGTTAGACATTTTGCCGTTTGCCGTATTTGACAATATACGTGTTTGACAATATACGTATTTGACCTTTTTGCGAAAACTTACATCCTATTGATTTGATTTAACCTATGTATATGGTATGATTCGAAGTGTCTTTTGATTTTTTTTTAGTACCTTACTACATCTCCAATCTAACCTCTCTACCAGAACGAAAAACGGTGTGAATAACTCAGTTTTTAATGATATGTCAAGAGTAAGTCATCGGCAAGTACTGCGGCGTCCTCAACAGTACCAAATCGATTATGTTCATCGACCGTTTTGCTATTGACATACGTAATCAATGTGTCTTCTAGATAAAACGTTATGTTAAAAGTGAGTACCTACATACATTTTGGGTGCCGTGTACGAACACGGCACCCAAAATTGTCGTCACAAAAAAAACTGCAAACACAAGTTTGCAGTTTTTTTTTTTGGCGTTATCTGCAATCAATAGAATGAAACTAGTAATAGTCCATTTACTTTTAATTTCAAACCGAATTTAGTTCTTAAATAACCTACAAAACCCAGCCATTATCCAATCTTTCTTCCATAGGCTTTGTAAAATATTGACATCGGCGAAATTTTTCCAAAATTTCTCCCTGAAAACAAAATAGGTAACTTAATTTTTATGCAGTGAATCTGACTTAACACATACACAGCATAATAATATCCTAATTTTGCTAATAAGACCTGTGTGTTTTATGATAAGTAATGGATTGAAAGTTCTATTTCAAAACATCCAATGGAATAATAATAATATAAATAATAACGAATAATAGTGAAACGAGTCATGCTACCCTTCTACATTTTTTTGGGCTTTCTTGAAAAACGGTTCATGTCATAAAAACAATTTTGATGGTATAAAATTTATAAATGGAACTCCATGTAAAAGTTTATTTTAGTTTGTTCGAATTCCTTCTTTTAACGTTTTATGGCAGTGACTTATTGATTAAATATTTTCCTCGTTTGTCTCTCCCTTAAAAGAAGAAGCTCCCTTATTACAAATTCATTTTATAAGCAATCCAATTAGCCAAACTAAGCCCTCCTAATAAAATATTGGTTTCTAAAAAATAGTTCCATGGGCAGAGCGGAATACTCCTATGTTTTTAGTGTTTGTAGAATTCAGAAAAATTACAGATTACTAAACTTACAGGGCCAGTCTTCTTTATATTCTCACTGTAGTAAGTGACTGCGCTAGACCCAGTGCCGTACAATGGATACTTCAAATGCATCTGTAATAAAATGCATTATAGAAACTTAGTGATAATTAGAAATAGGTTATTTAAATATAGAAAAATAAAAAATAATAAATAGGTATTAGTATAACGGACAAAGAAAGAACGTGACCAGTACTTCGATATTTTAGTAGCACATGAATCTGAACACGAATAAATTATGAAGATCGCCGTCTTTCGCATAGTAATACTTATATTATATACTAAAGGTCAAACAAGCATAAAGTCAAAAGTCAAACACCTACTAAGTCAAACACGCACAGTTACAGAACAAGGTAATAAAATCAGAGACACCATTTTAAATTAAAACATTATATAGTATCTAACTTTATAATTTTTTTAATATCGATTTTGATTTTAATAAAGTCAATAATGATGAAATCAATAATCTAATAATCACATCTAACAATTTAACAGACTGTTCGTGTAATAGTATCAAATTTCGTTATTTATTTTGTTAAAAAATACGAATCTTGCGTAAATATCAAACCATTTGGCGTTTTTGACAATATACGTTTGGCAATATACGTATCTGACATTTTGCGAAAACTTGCATGCTCTTGGTATTTTGAGTATTTGACCTACAAACATTGATATAATACTTACACGTATAATACGTGTTGTTTTAACTCAATGCCTACAACATAATTATGATTTCAATATAGCCTTCAGCAGCTTCGAATGGCTTCGAATAGGAAAATTAATTAAAAATACCCTCCAAGACCAAATTCTATTGATTCATGTACCTTTCATACCTGTGGTAAATTTAAAATTGCACTTACGTTTTTATCAGCAGTAACTAATAAGCTACGTGGCTCAAAATTTTCTTTCACATAATTAGCATTCTGCTCAGTGCAGTACTCCACAACAGGTTCCGCTGTTGCTAGTTCTTCGATGACCTCATCCAGCATTTGCTCCCAAAAGAAATCGGTTAACATCCGCTTTCGAATGCCTAAGGAATAACAACAGGAAACATAGGAACAACAAGGAAACATATTTGGCATCATGTATTAGGTACATTATTGCGCCGCTCCCAGTTGGCTGCGCTGGCAGTTACTGGTTAAAGGATTCCAATTAGTGGTAGCCAATAAATGTTTACCTTTGGTTAAGTACTATATGAGAGTTTCTGGAAACTGGAAGTTTAGTACAAAGAACAAACCTTCTCCGACATGGGCCTTTTTTGGAATTTTGTACTGATGGCGCATTTCACTTCCTACTTCAGGAGGTGGTCGGCCGTCTTGTAAGATCCACGGTCGACTAAAATTCTTTCCTTTTCCATATGCTGATGGTTCGACGGGAACTTTTGGGTGTCGTATTATACGTTCGAGTGGTCTAATTTTTAAAGTGGGTTCTTCGCCATCTGGCTCTGGTATGTCGGCTTGAACACCAGCGTCAGTTGTTGGATCTTCTAGCATTTTTCCACTAGACTTTTATGTAAAAATATAATGAACTCAAAACAAGTTCTGGTTGTCATGGATACGCATTTCACAGAATTTGGTATTCTCTGAAGTTTTGTTTTTAATCAAACGCTTTGGACTAATAAAACGTTGTAACTTGTCAAAGTCAAACAAAATGTACTCTGTGAACAAAATTCAGGCTGTCAGTTGCGAGATATATTTGTCACTTTGTTTGTAGGTCAATTTTGTATAATGGCTGAAACCTGTCAGATAGCCCGTAAGCAAGATTTGCCCCCTCCGGGGGGCTATAAACCAATTCCATATAAAAGGATCCCTGCAAAAACATTCTTCAGCGGTAAGCGCAATCCAGAAAAAACATAACTTTTATTTGTAAACACTGTTAGAAGAAGATTATGTAACTTACTTTTAGGTTACATTTTACCTAGTTTACACCATTTAATTATAATGTTATATCAACGAAGAAACGTTGTATTTAAATAGATATTCCTCCCTTTCCATGTAGCAACATTGACACAAAATGAATATCTTAATACTTTTTTTTTTTTCTTCTTTCAAAAGTTTCCTTGCCTGCCACAATAATATTTAAAAGTCAATTATTTTCAGGATATACCATATTTGCCGGCTACCTTGGGGTTACAGCAGCCGCCATCTACCTGTACAATATAAACTATAAACAAGTTGTAAAGGATCGGATAGAGATGCGCTCAGCCAAGATGGCAATATACCCGATGTTGGTTGCAGAACGAGATAGAGAATATCTGAAGCAACTCCGTAGAAACCGAGATGCTGAAGAGAAGCTCATGGCTGATGTTCCATGTTGGGAGGTATGCAATCAGATTTATTTTTATATTATACCTATTATTAAAGTAAACATATAAGTCTTTTAAATTCCATTACCTAAAAAGTTTAGGAAACCATGCTCTAGAGAATGACAATATGTTTTTAGTAATATAACATACAAGACTGATCTTGACTCAGACCCAAATTGAATTTAAGAATATAAACATAAACCATTAGTTGTTAAGATTTAATATTTTAGGATCTCTTTAATTTTTTAAATAAATTCAAGAAAATTGAAAATTTGATCAGGATAGTCTTGAAAGCACACAATTTGTCTGGAGTATAAAATCATTATTATATTAATTCAATAATGTTTATTATTCTAATCATATATATTATTTCAATTCAATTCGAGAAATTCAAGTTGAGACATAAATATTGTGTATCAACTTTACTGTAGCATATTCTTCACCAAGCTGGCTAGGCTTGTCTGAATGCAATATAAAAATAAGTTAAAAGAGTAATTTTAAGTATAATTATTGAATTTAACCCTAATTACATTTCTGTGATTGTTTCAGGTTGGCACATACTATGGTGAAAAAGTGTACAATCTTTCCCCCAAAGATACGCTCCACGAGCCCATCTTCCATGAATACTATGTGCACTCCAATCCTTATGACTGGTTCCAGCGTGCACACCTTAAACTGCGCTCATAAGTTAATACAACAAAGATTCATACCGCTAAATTCGAGAGCAATCCACAATTTAAAATAGTTCAATCCAAATTGTGTTTGGGATAAGAATTTCATGTTGTCTGCCATTGTGTTTAAGGTATTAATTGTGTTTTTAAGATATGTAGGGGGATATTCCCTGATTGCTCTCATGTGCTAAGATTATAAGTTGATGTTGTTTGTATAAACAAACTATATACATTGCTTGTGAAGTGCAAAAGTAACCATTTATCTAGGAGGATGAAATTGATTCAATAAAGTGTAGTAAAATATGACGCATTTTAATTTCTTATACATTTTAACCTTTTCAACAATGATTTATAATGATTAGCCAGATTCCTTTTAAAATAATAATAATATTCTACCACATTTACACAATGACCATCTAGTCTCAAACTAAACAAAGCTTGTACTTTGGCTACTAGATAACTGATATAAATACATACATACATACCTTTTTTTGTAAATACATAGAAACACCCAGACCAAATCAAACATTAAATGTTCATGCACACAAATGTTTGACTTGAGCGGGACTTGAACCCGCGTCCTTTAGAATAGCAGTCCGTTACACAAACCACTACGCCATTATTATTATTTCATTATTCAGTAACATGAAAGAGAGATGCCGTTGTGACAAAATGGTTTATATGAGGAACTATATTTAGTGACTGACTGAAGGTTCGGTTCCAACATTGGCCGAAACCTTCGGCCGCGTGTCACTGAACCTGGCTTGGCCACCATCATGGCTTTTAATTTTGATACCACAAAAATTTAGTCGCTAATTAGTCGTAATTTGTAGCCAAATATCAGAATTTGTCGGCAGCTGGTTCAAAAGTTATAGAAGCGGTTATAGGTGGCCATGTTGGGGTGGGTCTCAAAGCTTGACCAAGCTTGTATCTCAAAAACCTAGCACCTAGCGAAGATCTGTTTCCTCCCAAATTTAGTTGCATATTAGTCGGAATTTCTCGCCAAACATCAAATTTGTCGGTCACAGGTTTAAAGTTATAAGCGTTTATAGGGGCCCTGCTGGGGAGACTGACCCGTGCAGGGCCACGCTTGTATGTGAAAAACTAGGGCAAATGTTCATTGGCCAATATTTACACCAGATCCTACGGCTTTTTTTCTTTCTGATTTTTTCCATAACAATGCTAGTACAATAGCTAATGTACGATGTAACTACATCTATAACGGTACAGTCAAATCGTAACGATTTCTCGTAGCGTTTGTGGAGGCCTTAACGCGGAGCGGTGTCGGCATAAGTTTCGAAATCGATACACAGCCGGTCAAGCTACCAGAGGAGTGACGCACTGTATGGACAGACATTTAATTTGTAATCTATTTCTACAGGTTTTTTGAGCACATGAATATTTAAACTGCCACAACGTTACCGCTGCTGCATTAGGTCGTAAATACCTTATATTACGCTTCCTTTTCAGTTAAAAAAAACTGCGAGGCTTGTAAGGATGAGTAACAACTTTTTTTTTCAAAGACAGCTGCATTAGGAGTATATCCTGTGTCGCGGGGGACTTACAAACATACATGAAACGGACACAAAGAACACCCAGACTCAGAACAATAACACAACACTCAGCGTAGTAGGAAGCGGCGTGGCGACCGTTTAAACCACTACGCCATCCGTGCAGTCAATTTCACTTACCTGCACTACACCTGTACGGGCAATGCACCCGCACATTGTCGTGTCAGCATATTACGCCAACACGTACATTTTACTCATTAGCAATAAGCAGTACATATCAAGCTTCGTACTCAAACGGTTGACCTAACAAGAGTCATTAACCCGTATCATTTTAGATTTAGTTAGATTTAGCTAAATACAATAAATAGTTAAAACAAGTTAACTAATTATCCAGCATTTTATTTCTTGGTGTAAATACCTTACACCACTTTTGACGACCAACTCTATAAACGGGAGTGATCATTAGTCAGATAAAAATCATGTTTCCTTGACTTCCTATTACATTCTCATTTGTTTTCAACTCACACCTACATACTGCAAGAGAGTGAGAATGAAGTTCAAGGTTTGTGGTGTGTAAATAGTTCATTCAATGAACTATTTACACACCACAAACCATGCACTTCGGCTGTGTCACCTATGTGGTAGTTGTTGCGAGTTGTGGGTGAGCTGAAAATAAATGAGAATATTGCAGGAAGTCAGGGAAAAATTATTTTTGTCAAGTGTTCACAAAAATAAATAAAACAGCACTTCCCATTTCATAAATAAACCATTTATTATCTTTCACCATTCAGTATACAAAAATGTAAACTTAATCCTTAATAATAATTTGCCATACATATATTACTATAATTGTGTCAATAACTAAAACAAAACATTGACGTTTTAAGGACTTGCCCACAAACATTTGCAAATTAGACTACAAAGCAGTTACTAGCTTCATTGTAGTAACCTTTATGCAGTAGGTTTAAAAAAGGTTTCTTTATAAGGTTTTATTTACCTATATTGAATACAAGGCATTGTTTGTTTTGAAAGTTGTTTACAGTTGTAATTGGACTTCAGGTTCGCTAACTGCGTATTAATAAGGCTACTCATTGTATGTCTTGATCTGTTGTCTGTATCTGTGCCTATTGAATAAAATAAAATAGTTAAATTTGTTCTAAGTGGGAATCGATCCCGACGAACTCAATCTAGTCTAGTCAACCTAGTCCGATCAATTTTATATACAAAATAACATGTACATACTTAAAAACAAATGAAATCTATTATAGATTCCACATTCATGTATACGCAGCCTTACACACACTTACAACAGTCAGCTTTACTCGCCCTTATAGACATACTATTGTTAATATTTTACTTATATTCAAATGAACATAATTTATTAAATTACATACTTTTGTAGCCAAATTTGTAAATATCACAACACAGCCTTAAAAGGCAATGTGAAAACATAAAGTCATAATTTAAATGCAAAATTAACATCACAAAGTTGACGAATGCAAATAAAAATCAGCTTGCGTTCACTACACACAACAAATACGTGCAAAGACTTACATTCAACTACGATATTGTTTACGTTATTTTATGACATGGAATTTTTACGACTGGTAACATTTAAATTGATCTTAAACTAGTAGATTTTATTCCGACGAGACCGAATAATTTATTATTTACTTCTATTAAATATAAGTAATTAAGTTAGCACTAGCACGATTAAACCTGCGATTCCCAACACGTTGCCGTTGTGTCACAAAATTTTATGTACGAGGTAAAAATATATTAAATACTTTCTTTTTTTGTGTATAAGATGACGTCACAAAAGTTGAGATTTACATCGAGACATTTTCTGATGGATTATAAAAAAATTCAAACATTACATATATATACCCATAGATATACATATATAAAACTTATCGTAACTTATGGCGTTGCTATAGATACGGACCAAAATCATTAATTTAATATATCCAAAGTTCTGATTTAATACTATTTGTCTAACAAGTAATCCAACACCTCTAAATCCCGATCTCCTAACAAGTATTTAGACAAAAAAAAACAAATTTGAGCCCATTTTATGTCAACCCTTTTGTCAGTTTATTCTTTCAGAGCTTTAAAAACAAAGTTTGAACCACAGACAATCAACATATTAACATAGACAAACAACAATTTTTTTGATCATAGGTATATCCATTCAGCGTGTTACACCTATCCATTACAAAAATCTTTGGTACGAAAATGAGGGTAGACTTTCCTATTTAGATTTCTTTATAACCACTTTGGATTTGAGCTTGACCGCCCTAAGCCTTTGCATGTGCTTCATGACGAAGAACATGCCAGGGACGGTGAGGAACAGTAAATATACGCGTAGGAATGTTGGCAAGTGGAATGCAAAGTTCCATTCGTTTGGCATAGATATGGTGAACTTCTGGGTTTCCTCGAAGTATGGTATGTTGCGTAATATGACGATAGCTTCGCACATGATGCCTAGAGGGTAGAGAGGGATCCACATCGTGTACCTAAGCCATGTCAGTATGTAGATCTCCTTTTTGTACAATTGGGATATGTAGAACGGATACCTGGAAATAATTTTTTTATTTATTTATACAAACTCACTATGTAAGTTAAATATATGAAACTAGTTATGTATTATAATATTTTATTCGACACAGAAAAGAAGTACAGAGTTTACAAACATACATATTATCATAAAAACATTATTAAAAACTAAAGTAGTTGAGCTATGGTACCCATCGTAAGATTTAACTTGAGTCATGGGCACCAGTTCCTCTCACAATTGAGGACTTATGACAAGACGTGTATGTGCGTGCGTGTGTGTATTGTGTCTGTATTTATCCAATAACTATTATTATCTTTTTACTAATTTATGTAGAAAAAGTTGTACAATGAACTTTAACTTGAAACCTCGTAACTGACTGATAAGACTGATGGTAAAAGGGATTAATCTCAAAATAACATCGTATGGAAATCATACTATGGCGCGTTAAGTGAAGTTAAGAAGCGTTTGCCCATGGCCTGACCCACGTTTCTGGATAGTTTTCTGTACCCCTAATAACGTGCTTGCGAAATTTCATACTGATCAGGTTGTTAAGGAGCAAACAAACCAAAACCAATAGGCCAAAACCTCCTTTCTAAGGAGAGACCTATGGCCAGCGGTGGACTATTAAAGGCTGTTGACGAAACCAAAATTTGCATCAAATATTAGTTAGGAAAAAGTTTCTTACCTGACCACTTCAATCACACTCCAGATAACGAACAGGTAAAACACGACAGGCTTCGTGTGCATGCGAGACTCGGCCTCAATCATAGCGAACAACACGAACGCTCGGCCGCTCACTTGCAGGAACGGAACTAGCACTCCACCCTGCATAATTAAAAATAAAACAATTAAGGAGGTTCGTCAATTGAGAAACATAATATAATTATATAAATAAAAAGGTTAAAACAATCAACAATCGTTAAAAATGCATTCGTGTAATTCTTCTACAAAGCGTCATCTGTTCAGGAACAGTAATCTATTCTAATATTATAAAGTTGAATAGTTTGTTTGAACGCGATAATCACAGGAACTATTGGTCCGATTTGAAAAAATCTTTCAATGTTAGATAGCCTATTTATCTAGGAAGGATATTAGGCTATATATCATCACGCTAAGACCAATAGGAGCGGAGCACCAACAAAGAATGTTGCGAAAACGGGGAAAAATTATTTCTTTTAAAAGACGCAGACGAAAAATATATAAGTATTATATAAATATAGTCTCTACTTCTTTAAGTACAATAAAAGAAAATTAGAACAGCAGGAAGTCCATACGTCCTTCATTTTGTTTTTCCTTTCTTTATAAGTTTGATTGTATTAAAGTTAGACTGAAATGGCTAATGTCTGACCATTTAAAATGTAGGTAAAAAATTAAATTCAACTTGTTTTTTTTTTTAAATTAAACATTGATTAATGATTGTTAACGTAAAGCCGAATAATGGCTGATTGAATGAGCTTTAAGCAACAAATCTGCTTTGAAGGAGTTATGATACTTGAAATTAGCCGGAATAATAATATAATCAATCCCTATGTAATTGACTTCTTAAAGGACATCAACCCTTTAGATGTTTAACGAAAATTGAAACATTCGAGTTTCAACTTTATCCGAATCCGACGGTTACCAAGTTTAAAATTAGAAAATATATGTAGTCCTACATACCCTCGTATAGCCAAATAGTGGATGCATGACTTCCAAGTACTGCAAGAGCTGCAGAAACTTCATTGCTCCACCGACGTTCTCGTATGTGTCAGCGACAGAATCATAGCCATATCTGATATAGCGGATACCGATCACCGTGAGGACGTACGTGAAGCCCACGAATTGGAAAAGGTTGTATAACACCAAGTACACCTTTTTGAAGTCTTCTAAAAATAAGAATACATTAAAGTTATTAGACTGGCTTTTTATGTGGCATATATTTTATTCACGTGTGGCATATATTAATATTATGAATGCAAAAGTGTGTGTCTATCTATCTGTCTGTCTATTAAGTCTTTACGTTTAAACCGCTGCACCGATTTAGATTAAATTTGGTATAGAGATAGTTTGAGTCCCAGGCAAGGACATAAGATAGTTTTTATCCCGGAAATCATCCTATAAGGAGGTGAAAGGGCGAGGAACTTTGTATGGGGAATCAATAACTGCTAAACCGATTTAGATCAAATTTGGTATTCAGATAGTTTGATTCATGTGGAGGATTACCACTATAACCGGCATACACGTGGGCAGAGGCTAGGGCAAAAGATAGTTTGAATAAATATTTGTAGTCTGTCTATGTTCTGTCTTATACTGTGATATTTCAATGTGTTAAGTCTTCTATACTATAATTAATCTTTGAACCTTATTGTTCTGTCAGCAACATTAATTATATCACACAAGGTTGATGTACAATATGTAGTAATAGTAAACCTATTTATTGAATAGGAGGTCAAACAGTGATTAATCTATAAATATGTACTGGGTAACCAGTTAAATCCATATTGTATCTCAATGACATCATAAAAGACGATTTCAAATAATTTTAAGCAATTTTATGATATGAATATATTTTGAGTTTGAGTTTTAGAGCCATGATTTGATACAGAGTGATGGCACATCCTCACTGTTGTATTCCTCACATGATGTGAAGAATATCATAGCTTTTCACTGAGCATATGAAGTTAACGGAGGCCTAGGGAAGCTTTTGTTTCTTATAAGTGGCAGTGTCCATTGTCACCTTATCATCGGGCGACCCAATTTTAAGGAGAAGGCTATTAAAAAAAGATTTGAAAAAAATAGATCAGTATTATCGTTTTCCTGGAAACCAGAATATACATGAGGAATAAATAATTTAAAATTGTATTAGAAACAACTTATTTGAGAATATATACAGAATAAAAAAAATTAAACTGAAAATTTGATTGCTGTACCTCAAAGGCCGTGATTATCTTACTAGTAACAACAATGAATACTAACTTAACACACCTCTTCTGTACCCCAATTCTTCTTTGTGCAACTTGTCATACATGCCTGGGTAGTCTTTCATGACGTCACGCTTCTCGTCATCACTGTCTGGACCATCTTCGGTTTTCCATAGATCAAAGTTTATCTATAACAATACACAATACCAATACCACAGGTCTAGATAAAGAGTAGCACAATTGAGAATATCTCTTTTTTCAGGCACAAAAATCGTTATACTCTATTTCTATTTTAAAATATTAAAAATCTTCAGTTTTCTTCTATATAATTTTATGATTATATTTATTTGATTCATGGTTTGTCATTAAATCAGACGCAAAACACATATTGACTGACAAAAATGGAGATGGACAGGGCATATGCTCCGTTGTAAGCATGAAAAATGGAGCAAACAGGTAACGGTCTGGTATCCAAGAGATGGGTCAAGGAGCCGAGGTCGCAAAGGTCCCCTTAGGCTAAGAATTGCAACCGATAGGAAACAGTGGAAGAAGTTGGAGGAGGCCTATGCCGTAAGGCACACCGAACTTAGGAACATATTATGACTAATGTACTAGGGATTGAAAAACTGTATAACTTCGGAATTAAAGACTGATTATTATTATTATTATATTTTTCATTAAATAGCAGTATTATTGAATAGTTTGATTTTTAGTGTCAGATTAGTAATCATGACAAAGTTGTTGTTTAATAATTTTTCCAACTCAATAATGATTTTACTACAGCACATATAAAAATAACATAGATATTATTATAATCACACTTTAAGCAATTAAATTTTAACATACTGACTGTAATCCTTTGTTTATTAAGAAATCGTCTAGTTTATAACAGATACTCACCTTCCAAAAAAAGGCTACTCTACATTCTAATTAAAATACTTGTTTATAATTTTCTTCCTTACAAACAAAAATAAAAATGGCTAAAGTTCTTACTTTTAGCCATGCCGGTTTCTGTGGCTGTGCAGTTAACCGAGGCCACCATGACCGTGTAGCTTTTTGTAGGACGAGATCCACTCTGTTGTCAAATACACGCAAAGAGATTGCTTGCTCCTCTCCCTATAAAAAGCAAGTTATTTTAAAAGAAAATTGCAGTAATAAAGTTAAAAACATGCTTAAAGATTAATAAAAAAAAATTGCCGGCTTAAAAATTAATAAAAAAAAATCTTTAATTTGACTACAGTAATCTACCTCTTTATCAGGACATTAAGCGATAGATTGGGCACAAACATGTAGGTTGTGAGCAGGGATGTGGACAGTGCCGTACCCTATTCTAGTTTAATGTGCTGTTCTGAAATACAACTAAAGTATTTTCAGACTGTTGTCCATAAGAGGTTTGGCCAATATATTTGGGTGATTTAATATTCTGTCCCTGTATGCCTTAGTGTGTTAGTTATTTCCTGCCTGATTGTAAGCATTTTCAGATCGTTGTGCAGTTATTTATTAGTCATCCACCATGGGCCACCAGTAACTATGAATAGCATTTTGTTTTGAATATGTTGTATGATTTCTATGTTGGAGTGTGATGCAGTTCCCCATACTTGTATGCTGTATGTTGTTTAGTAGCAGTTTGTTTTCCATTGATAACTGGGATTTACAACCAATGAGCCAGTAGTTTTCTTTGCTGCAGACCAAGCTGTTTTCTCTTGGTAAGAATGTGTTTCTTCCAGTTAGGATGTTTATTGAGGTACAGATAATGGGCTCAAAGATGTATGTGTTTAATTCAAAGTTCACATTAGAAACAAGAGATTCTTATAAAGCAAAAGTCAAATGTGTCAATATTATCATCATCACCCTATCCCAGTCTACTGCTGGACCTCTCCTTCTTGCATCCAACTCTTGGCAGCCATTTTGTGCAAATCATCACTCTACCTGGCCTGTAGGTGTCCTACAATACATTTGCCTAGATGCAGTCACCGCTCAATTAAGTAATAATTACTATTTCACATATTTTGTCAAATGCCTCTACGGTTCCTACTCTACATAATGAGAGCAAGGGTGCCTATTTTAGACCTTAAAGTATTTTGCAACCTTTTTAATATGCTTCACTATTTTATTGATTTAGAAAAGGTCTTAATACAAGGGTGAAATTATAATATATATATATTAGAAAATTTGTCTCAAACTGCCTGTCTGCATCAGCTGTTTATGCATATACATTGTCCACTATGTAAGTATGTCACAACGCACAATTAATATGCTTTCAACAAAGTTCATATCACAGTGATTAGAAGACATGGTCAAAGGTTAAATATATCCAAAACTCTTTACAATACTATTAAGTTTAAAAATCTGATAAATTTGTAAAATTAATGCACTGTCAGATAGTCTACAATCATAACTTAAGGGTATCTAAGCATGGAATTTTATTTAGGACATTGTTATATCTTGTTCTGTTAAACCATGAATATAAAATACTAGGTACTTACTGTCTTCACATAAGAAAATAGATCTAAGCTAAATTCATACTGACTTTCACCTCGAGCCCCAACGCCCAGAGCTGAAAATTTCACATTGTTTTCCAGAACTTTCACGACAGGTTTATCAACATTTTTTAATTCAATTTTTAAAGACACTGCACTCTCAGTTTGCGCCCAATAAACAAATGGACTTGGAATAATCATTTTACATACAACTTTCAGTGATCATACGAAGAAAATAATACTTGGTTGAGTTTTTCCTTCTTCTCTAATTCAAAGGTACAGGTAAAGGTTACTTTAACCTATTCAAATCTTAATTCAGACCAAGTCACTGAAAATATTTGACAAAAAAATCCTATCAGTAGTGTCAGCCACAGACTACAAACAAATACTGTCAATCCTACTTTCGAGAACAATGCTGCCCTTTTCACAAATAGATAAACTACTAATTGCTGTTGTTTGTTGAGGTTTTTACCTAGCTAAGATTTTTTTCTAGTATCTTTAGATAATTCTATCAAAATAATAATAAGTCATAGAGAGTCAACTCATGATTTTAATAGAACACAGTCATTCCAACGGAATAAGTTAGTTTTATCCCGGCAAGGAGCAATTTTGTTGTAAATTTTGTTGTAAATTTCTTTTTGTAAGCTTAGCTCAAACTAATTACTTCGATAGATAAAAAATCATAAATGGAAACCTTGACGCACATCACTAAATAGTCGATTTGGTTATAATCTATTCAACAAATTTTCATTCTGTGTCAGTCTGTCAAAAAGCCGTTTGCTGCTGTTGATGGGTGTTGAGTTTTGTAAATTTCTGCTTTAATTCGCCTTTCTCGGTGGTTCATTATATTTCTTGTTTACTAAAAATGGTGTAAATAGTATTACGTATAATAAATTAAATACAGTGCTTATTCTCTGACTCAGCTGACCCTGGTAGAAGTTGTAAACAAATCCAATATGTCCGTTCCGACCACAGGATTGAGCAAATTGAAGAAGAAACACATTCGTGTAAAACATCAAAAAGTGAAATTGTTTCGTGCAAATGAACCATTACTGTCAGTGTTTATGTGGGGTGTAAATCACACGGTAATTACTTCATATTTTATGCACTAATTGCAGTAGTATGGCGGGGTTTTAGTCATATTTGAAGCAGTCTCGGCGAATGAAGCGTTATTATGTCATTTACTTCACAACTGGTTTGTTGTGGTTTTGCTGTTTACATTTTTAATACACTCATGAAAAAATAATTTGCGTACAACATATAAAACTTAATGTAATTTCTGGCACTATGTCAATACAAGTACTTTTTATCCGTCACATTGCCATTGAATATAAATAGACTATTAAATTATATTGCGTTTGAAATAGATCCGATGCTTATCCGCATGCTAGACATGTCCACATTAATTTACATACAAGTTTAGTATGAAGTGGACAAAAGTTTGACATTAAATCTTTTTTTTTTCAGATAAATGAGCTCAGTCATGTTTCAATACCTGTTATGCTGCTGCCAGATGACTTCAGGGCGTATTCCAAGCTCAAAGTCGATAATCATTTATTCAACAAGTAAGATTGTTAAACAATATTAAGAAGTATAATATTATTAAACATTTTAAAACTATTTAAAACCTATCAAGTTATCAATTGTGCTAAGCGAAATGGGTTTGAATCCCAGAAAGGGTAAAAAATATAAAATTAATATAACTCGTATGAATTATTGGTACCTATTTTATCTAAGCCAATTTCGCTGTGGTAAAGTGTACCACAATCACCATGTACGCTTGAAATCTTATATCAGGCTTTGCCAAAAGCCATTTAAGTCACCTAGCACTTGGTCACATCATCTAAAGTGTTGCTATCGACACGATAAGAAGAAGAAGACGAAATATGCTCAATAAAGTGGTAATGTGCAAATTACTAGGTACCAACTGCGGGACTATACTATGTATAGACCGCAGAGTATAATAATGTCTTACATTATTATTATATACATATGTCTCCCAAAGGGTTAGTGTGTCACTCACACGAGTTGGTCTGTTCAACCAATAATAATAATGTCTGGGGTTCTAAGCACCAGACTTGAATATAGTCTGTGAGTGAACTCAGTTCTTGGTTCTGCCACTCCATATTCAATTCTCTAGTATTTTTATTTCGGAGTTCAGCTTCAGTCTACTATGACACAGTTGAATTTAGATTTTTACATGGAGTGCCTGCCAATAATGCTCCACAATCCTAGTACTAGGCGATATTGAAGTTCTGTAGATAGACTGTCGGACTTTTTAGGGCTCTTACTACTTCTAACGATTGCCACAAATGTTCATATCTCAACTGAGACTGATGTTAATGTAACATATTCTTTGAGGCACAGATGGGTTTCAATGTCTTAAGAATCACCTGGCCATAGTCTGACCAGGCGAGGGTTGTTTAACTTTGCAATGTGCTTACCTATAAATATGTTTATATAGGGAACCTGTTTAACATATGGACTATACATGCATGGATCAAAAGATTACTTCATATCATAACCTAGTGGTAGCAGTTCCAGAAGGTTGGCAGAATTGCCACATTAAATGTCAATAATAATTCTTTATGCTAGAAAAGTGGCTCTTTTTTACACAAAACAAGCACTCTCCTTGATTTCGAAACATGGAGCAACACTACCTGTGTTCGGAAGTGCGAAGTGCTCTACCGTGTTACTGTATGTTTCGAACGACTCAGAAACTTAATTACCGATTAAAATTTGTGTTTACGCTTTATGAGTCCTGCGTATATAGCAGTAGGGGGAAGTCCCCTAGTGCCGGACACATAAGGTTTTCATAAAATAAAATTAAAACTACATCGAGAAATATGTATTTATTTATGAATTACTTAAATTAACAAAACATAAAATCAAAATCAAATAACAAAAATACAAATTCTGCGTAAACATAGTTTAGGAGTGTTAAATAAGTTTTGGTAAAAAAATAAAGGACTTTGACATTGGCACCTAGTGCCGGACGGGTTAATCTTCAAACCCCAAGCGCCGGACATTCTAAAACTTTTAGCATCTATCACATATGTAGGCATCTCCACATTCTGGAACGTCTGCACATGCTTCATGAGCCCATTATTGGCATCTGGAGCATTGTATCCAGTCCTCGTCGTGGTCTTCTAAACACACTACACAAGTCGTTTTTTCTATATTTGATACTTCAGTTAACGGCTCCTTTTTGTTGTCGTTATTGCCACGTTTGGTTTGTTTACTCATGGGGAATCTTCATAGCTTCAGCCAAGTCGTAAGCTAACTTCAAAAACTCGTTTTTCATCAGGGGCAGACATCTATTAGACAAATCTCTTATGTGGTCCACTAAAACTTGCTCATACTCGGGTGAGAAGGTTTTTGTGAATCTACCAACTTATGGTTGCAACGTGACTTCTTTTCCACTGCTCAATGTCGTTATTTTATCATGTAGAGTACTTTTTGGAACATTGTAACGTGACGAAGCTGCCCTCAAACTCATTTTTTTGGACAAAATCTTGTTCATCGCAGTTTTTAAACTTTGCTGATCCCATTTTCCTTTTTTTTTTCTCTCTTGCATTTTCAAATATCTCTCTCCTTCTATCCTGTAAAACAACAAACAATCATCATTACAATAAGTACAAATGCTTCATAAAAAAGCTAACCTATAAACTGTCCGGTGGTAAGGGACACCTTTGTGTCCGAAAGTAGGGGACAGGAAACGTCCAAAATTACGTATTTCATACTAAAACTGTTTAGGTATTTAATAAAAACTTTCTCAATATAATAATTATAGTGAAACACTGTCTTTATTAACAAATAACAAAAACAATTAAGGATAAAACCATAGCAGTAATACTTACTTGAAATTTACGTGACGCAACGCTTTCCCACCAAAAACAGCAATTCACGGCTTCCACCACGACTGTGCGCCTCACTGGCAAATCGCGTTGCGTGATCCTGTCTCGCTACGTTCCCCCGCAGCCCTTTCACCGATTTATAAATAGATCGCGTTGACGTTTGTCAAAATAGTATGAGTGTCCGGCGCTAGGTGCCGTCCGGCGCTACGGGACTTCCCCCTATTCGTATAATACTGTTCTAGGAAGTGTAATATTTTGAGGTCGAGATAGACAACCTGCACTTTTAACACTAGAAAGGTCATGATAGCCGAGACCAAATGTACTATCGTCCAACAAGGTGCGTATTTCGGGCCATGGTAGTGCCTGAATTCATATGCCTAATTTCCATTACAAGGTTCAATGTCGTTTCAATTAATCTAGCCCGTTTTTTTAATATATAGCGACGCGTCCCATAGCCTTTTGAGAGAGTGAATTAACAGGCAACATAGTACTGGCACAAGCCATGCGCCAAATGACATCGGTTTAAGACACTTCAGAAATAACCAGTGTTTTTGTTAAAATTTTCTTGATTAAATCTTCTGTGCCCGCTCTAACTCTTCTCGTCCCGCTATGTTTATATTTTTCTTGTAAGATAAACTTAAAAAACATTTCAAAAAATTTGTAATTTTCAATTTAGTATGCACCACCAGGTCCGGCATTGGGTTTATGATTTGTTTATCAGATTAACTAATCTAGGAAATGAATCACGACGAATCTGACGTATTTATGTCGTAGTTTTGATTGGCTCATAAATGTCTTGGCAAGGTTACATAGCATGACATACAATCTGTTATTTGTTGAAGTCACAATGAACTTAAAAATTAATCAATATATCACACAAGCACACTTGCAGTGGTAATATTGAGAACATTAATATTTAATTTAATATGATTATTTCCCATTAAAATCAAAAATATTAAATTGTCAGCGAATAAAGCGGATGTTAATTCGCAATAATCGCACACTCAATAACATTATTTATAAAGTGTCATTTTATATGCTCTGGGATAATAATCTTTTACCTGGCCTTTATTAGTTTAGGTAGATCAGGGACTTCCTTTCTAGGGTATACCTGGTTCCCCGGCTATTAGTACCCGAGACGGCCTGCAGTTTTAGTCGGTTCGAGTCCGACATGCCACCGATAGGTGCTATCCGAGGGGATTTCCGCACGGAAAAAAAAAGGTAGACTGTTAGCTTAACTCATAGTACTTAATTCAAATTCACATATGTATATCGATTACTATTGATATAAGTGATAAAATAAAAAGCCTTAACTTTGCTAAGTCCTGAAGAACAGCACAAATAAACCGAGAGGTGGCGAGCTTGACCTCAGCTATCGTTCCTGTCTGAGACCGGACAGACTTACGGCCTTGCGATTCTAATCGTGTTCAATTCCTTCAAACGAAAACACAATTTTATTACGTTTACTTTTTTTTGTCAATAAAGACCTATACCCAACCAGGGTTATAGTTGTGTGAACCCACATTATTACAAGAGTATACACAGCACATTATTCGTAAGTAGGTACCACGGTTCATGAGGCAATTAAAAACTCAATCAATGCGTCAATTTATGAAGATGGATGATTTCCCCTGTTTCGTATCTGTCTTATTATAAGACAGATACGAAAAAGGGGAAATCATCCATCTTCATAACATCTTCATCCATACGTTTGTCATCGTATAAGACTCTTATACGATGATAAACGTATGGATTTTCACATATACTTAACATATGTGTATATGTATGTTAAGTATATGTACATATCCATAATATATATTTTATAGATAAAAATATAGCTTTATCGAATTCCTTTCTTTAAAATATGTCCTTTTCTATTTGGTAAATTGATCATTAATTTTCACTTGTGATGGTAGTAGACACAATTAATTAATTATTAATCGTTGTAGTCACAATTAACAAAAGGATTATTTTTTTTAAATCTATGCATAATATTTTTAAATGACAATAATTCACATTTCCGACAAAGAAAACAACAAGTTTTTTTTTATTTCAAACTCGCTACTGTTTTTGCGTTTGACCGTTGCCTTCCGCGCACAACACTGTGTTGCCATCACAAAACTGTAAGTTACCTTGACGAACGCTGAGGTACTTTTGACAAAAATATTTAAGGGAGGAATAAACTAAACATAAAAAGAACTTAAAAAAAATAGGCTCTAATAAGTACTCTAAATTATAAATGCAAAATGTATCCAAATGTAAATGTAAACATATTATTAAATGGACATATTATCTGTGTATGGTATCTCTATCGTTTTGGCAACACTTGGAACGAACACGTCGTTTGCTTTATATGGTAACTTATTAGAAGTATTAGCTACTATGTATCATCACTACTTATTTCTTAGAAATTAAATGAAATATCAGAATATGCGCTAATATTTGTAAAAGTGTACGACCTGCGTAACTTGTAGAAAAGACTAAACTTTATTGTACACCGAAAAAATATTGTTCTTATAAGAATAGATGAATATGTATATGCAAATGGTGGCCTTATCGCTACAGAGTAATTTATTACTGGCAACCTTTAGATGGAAAAATCGACAGTATATAGATGAATTCTTCGGCAGTTTCGGTGTAAAAGAATCATAAAATATTTATACTTGTACTGAATAACAAACAGGATCATAATTCTTTTATGTTAGTTGTATCAAGATACAATAAATTTTGGTGTGATAGCATCACGGACACTGCAAAAGAAGACACGTTGGTCGAAAGATGGCGCGGGTATTGTCATCCATAAAAATCAAATTGCTTTCAAGAACAATCAATGCGATTTCTACGTGAGGTATTTTGTACTGCGATATATTTTCAACACGGACTGATATTGTGCTGTTTAAGTTATTTCGTTAGATGTTCCGTTTTGGCATACACGTGTTTCTTTAGGAGAAGTTTTGTCTTCAAAACAATAACATGACCTTGCAGACGTCGATCATTATTACAAGGGGATATCGTAATTATTCAACTTATTATTCTTAAAAAATAGGTAGTAACGGGTATGGAAAATGTCATGAGAATTTGTATGGTTCAAATCCTTAAAAGACCCTTATACGACCACTTCTTTCCTGTCTGTCTGTATCTGTCAAAACCCTTGTTCTCAAGACATTGAAGTTTGAAAACCGAATACTTATGTCTGGATTTCATTAAAACTATAGAATCTGTTATTTAAGTCCTAAATATTAATGGTAGGTTCACCAAAATTGTGCGGAGTTTAAGGTAAAACATAAAAATGCGTACCTAGCTTTTTCCCATGCTTATGGTCATATGATCCTTTCTTGTCTGATTCGCCTTTTAGGGCCGTGGCTAGTATCACCTTAAAAAAAACTCCCTTAAAAAAATTTGTCCTTCAGTCGAAAGATGTCCACTGCTGTAAAAACGGCTTCCCCCAAGGCTTTCCACAACAACGGTCCTGCCCGTGACCTTCACCAGGTTGTCGGACCACCTTGGTCTACCCACGCTCCGTCTTCCGGTACGTCGTCGGCACTCCAGAACTTTTTGGCCGGCCGTCTTTTCTGCGAGCAACCTTGCCCACTGACACTTAAGTTTGGCAATTCTTCGGGCAATGTCAGTGACCTTGGTTCGTCTGCGGATCTTCTCATTCTTCTTTTGATCACGCAGAGAAACTCCGAATAATATTGCCCTCTTCATTGCTCTTTGGTTGACTGAACCTCCTTAGCTTAGTCTTAGCTATAGGGGTCAAGTATTTGATCTGTCATGATACAAAGCCTATACAATGATATATGATGTTCAAAACGTTCGAAATTTTGCAGATAGGCAGCGCATCGGTCGTTCTAGTATAAGTTTATATTTTTTTATTATATTATTTATTTAACCGATTTAATAATGCGCGTAAAAGTATTGAGTGGTTTTGTAGGCTAAACTTAACCATAATGGGTATTTTTGACCTAATGAAAAATTACTAAATATCCTGTGTTGTGCGATATCTTCGCCATTTGTGAACGCATTTATTTATTTTAAATGAAGTGGTTGAGTTCATGTTGATTAATAAACCTTAAACAAAAATAGTTTTAAAAAACTAAAAAACACGCTTTCTATAGAAAACCAAACTATAAAATCGAAAATAAATTTGGTAAAAAAGCGTTGGGTGCCTGTTGTTAATAGTAACAAGCACCCCACGCTTTTTTTCAAATTTATTTTCTATTTTTTAGTTTGGTTTTCTATAGAAAGCGTGTTTTTTTTTGTTTTATTAAACTATATTTTTTTTAATTAGTGTATTGTCATCGGTCCTCAATATATCTACAAAGTTTGAAAGAATTCTGACCGTTTGAAGTCAGTCAAAATCACGCCCAAAGGAGTCGGTTACAAACATACAAGTGAAGCTAATATAAAGCGTGTAATATTATTCAATAATAAAACTATTCACCTCAAAGGCGGAAACTTTACAAATTGAAGAATGTAGTTTATTATTTTATTATAGTTTCAAGTCAGGGATATTTTCTTGTCTTTGATTTCACACATATACATACGCATTCATACTTAAATTATAAATGTGAAAGTGTACATTTTCACGCTTAAACTGATTAAAAAAATCTTTCCCCAATGGAAAGCTACATTATCAGCGATTAACATAGGCTACTTTTTACAACGATAACCGACAAATACGCGAGCAGAGCCGCGGTCAAAAGCTACTACCTTATAAACACACTCAAAATTCAGTTAGTTTCCCGGATAGAAAAACATGCAATTTTAATAAAGTCAAATTGCGAAACTACGTAGGTATATGAATATGGTTAAAATAATAAAATGTTTACTTATATTTAACACTGTTTTAAGACAATATTTAAATAAAAGTATATAACTATCAACTATTTAGTGATTTATCAGAAATTATGTGTAGTTAATTAGCTCCAAATAGTAATTTTTTCTTCAGAATGTTACTATAGATTCGATCTGAGAGTATAAAGAAACTTAAACCACAATGACGTGAGTTTGAGAATAGAGCCAGTTAGTCTATTATAACTCCTTTCTTAGGTACTAATTTTAATGTTAAGATATGAACGAAGTGGACATACTTACAGGAGGACATAAAAGTTTATCGATCTTTATTGATATTACGAGGGCTGCTTTTTATGTATCCGGAACTGGCCAGTTACAGAACAATATTAAAAAGTAATTATAACATTTAAAAATTGAACTCTTTTGCCGAAGAATACAATTTGTTTCATGTAGCTGTCATTTGTGGCGTCATTTTGAAAATTTTAAAGCAACTTCCAAACTTTATTTGAAATAAAGTTTTAAAGCAAAGATTATGAAGACACGTTTTGTTTTGACGTCACTTATCAAAATAAAGCGTTTTAGATTTATAAGTTTTCGATTTCAATACGGGGATTTATTTCAATTTCAATAGCGGGACTTATTAGTTTACATTCGGTTCCATTTTCGTATATTTTTTATACCGTACCTATAATTTTTAGTGGTAAAACCTGCTATCAATCTAATACACACTCTGATTAAACCCCTCTGTTAATTCTAACTGATAGAACACTATCGTATAACGATTAACAATAAGGATAACGATTATTTTTGCTTATTTAGAATCTATCATACATAATTTAGGGGCATTGAAGTCACTGATATTTTTGAAAAGTAAACTATGATAGTAATGCTTTTAAAGTATTTTTTCTACTTAACATGTATTTACGTAATTATCCTTGTTGTATATAACAAAAAACTCTTACTTCTTCTTCTTTATTATGTATAATAAAGTAGTAAGAGTTTAGCACTTCTTTCGCACTCCAGAACGAATTTTAAGTGTAGGTACTCTTGCAGTGGATTTAAAATGAAAGTAAAATAAACACCTTTTATCATTTCTTCCGACCAGATATATTATATTTTCTCAGATATAGAATATTCCTTGAATCATCTCTTTCGACTCTTTGTGTGTCATTGTGACTACAAATAAAATAATTTCATCAGTTTTGATGATAAACCATTGCGTCATTTGTACTGATAAATAGGATGTGAATAATATAACATGTAATTAGTTAATAATAGGACTACGGAGTAAGGAATACGGACACCAGCAAGATTTGATAAAATTCTCTTATCATCATGCGTTATAAAAGTTAACTGCTGTTATTAGCATTGGTTATATTACTACCTACCTAATATTTTTTATTCAAATGCTCAAATTCAAAGCTTAATACACAAAAATCGTAAAACCAAAACAAAATTTATTTCTCTCGATGTTGCATTGAGCTTTACTGTCAAACTGCTTTCAATGCCCCTTTTACACGAGTTTGAATCGTTCACTCGGGTTATAACTTGTCGTTCGTAATTCGAGTACTGTCCGGCATTACCGAACTTCCCTCCTAAATCCGGTAAAGACTGAGACCCTAACGGCTATCAATCTATATCCACATGGATCTACTTACAGCAAACAGTAGCTGCTGATATACTGAGCTTTTTATATTTTGTTTCAGAGAAAACATGCCATCCCATTTCAAAGTTAAAGAGTATTGCCCCCTGGTGTTCAGGAACCTAAGAGAAAGGTTCGGGATCGACGATATCGACTACAAGGAGTCACTCACAAGGTAACAACTCCAATATAATTTGTTTTGTAAAACGTGAACATACAAATAAAGATTTTTATTAGGCACGTGTGGTCAATAATGTTATTTTTCTTTATTAATTATGTATTTATTTATTATGTTTATTTTTATTCCCAAATTATATTATCGCATCCTCCCCATCCTGTCCCATGGTCCTTAGGTTTACAAAGCCAGATAACTACCTGTGTTCGAGGGTCCAGAAGCGGCCTAGTTCCATGCTGCGGCGGTCGGCGACGGCGCCCACCGGGGTTGCCAACATGAAAAACGAAACACATCAGGAGAGCATTTTCCACGATGCGAGTGCTTTCGTCAAGCGCGGCTTGACAATTAAACGCCTGAGGTCAGCGGAGTTTTAATAGCAGCTGTACGATTTTGTTTCATTTGTCTTTTTCAGTTCCTTTTTCAAATAACAGTATGTAGTGTGCCTTTCGAACTGACACGGCGAGCATTAATTAGCATATCCCACAATCACTGGCTGTATTGTGAAGTCATTTTCTTCTCTAACCGCTTGTGGAGGCCGTATAAAAGTTTGCCTCCAGTTTTGAATTTTGACGTTTTTGTTCGATTTTGTTTTTTTTTTTCTGTGTATCCGAGGCCCTGTTTCCTATTCCAGTTTAGGTACAAGCGGGTATCAAGTGCCTACACGATCCTTAATTGACCGTGACCTCGTTTTATGATCCTTAACCTTTAATTGTCCCGTATGTGTCAGTTATTTAACATATATATCGTATATACTCGTATGTATATTTTGACATTAACACGGACACAGTGCACTAAATGCTCAGCACTTATTTGTGCACTTTCACTGAGAATGGTGAGTATTTTATCAATAATTGCAACTATTTCGCACTACACACAATAGGTAAAGTATGACACAAATTACACATTACACTATCACATAAAATAATAAAATTACAGTCACTAAGATATAAGTCTTATTTTTTTACGCATATTTACTTAAATAGGTGTCCTAGGTTAGGATTTAAATGTCAAAAGGTCTGCGTTAAATCTACTTACGATTGATTGTATGAAAGCGAAGTGTGCTTATAGCATTTCTACTAAGTAAGTAACTTATAGCATTATGTATTAAAGTCAATGTATTTTTTACAGTATACTGTTCACCAAAGTAATATTTTTTTGCATTTACTTGTAAAATGTAATAACGTGTATAATGACGTAAAATGTTTTTTTGTCATTAATCCCATCGTGTAGGAAGTAGTAAGGATCGTTGAAAACGTTTTACAAAATCATTTTGGAAGCGTGGAGACTATTCTTGGATGCAGTCATCCTTTTACGTGGTATTAAACTGTAAAATGGCGGGTCAAGTGTGTGTCGCTCCTCTTACAAGCTAAACTGTTGCCTTGAAAACTTGGAATAATGAACGATGGTAAAATATATAAAGAATTAAGAACAAAAAGTATCACGCCTAAGTTAGCTCTGTTAGTTATGCGTCTTCCAACTTAAGTAAGGTTATTGTTAAAACAAAATTGTTAAAACAAATTTTAGATGAAGTTGGTACTTCTCTTAAAATAGGCCGTAATCTTACAAATAAATAAAATTGTAGTGTATGTTTGTAATATCAAAATAATAGGTTTTGGTAATGCTAACACGGTTATTTGCATGATACCTATGCCCAAAAACCAGTTTAAATGTTTTTAGTCTGTCTGTCTGTTTGTTTCGTGTAATTTTAAAACCGCTGAATCGATTTTAATAATAATATACCACCAGGTAGCTGTCTATAAAAGGAGTAACTTAGGCTATTTTTCCTCTCAAAAAACCGGGTTTGATAATCGAACCCGAGGCCACATCTTGCAGTCGCGTACCGTAACACACCACAAAGGTAGCGCTTTTCAAACTCCACGCTAACGAAGTAATACCAGCTAGTAAATTATAAAACACTAGCTGACCCGTGCCCACTTCGTTGGGCATAATGTTAATAATCCTTTTTTAGTACAGAGTATTATGTTTTAATTTCTAACTGCAAAAAGGAGGGTTATACGTAGGTATAGTTTGTATTTGCATGCTAATACAAAATTCTAAAGTAACTCTGTCCGAAAGAAAAAACATTTTCTGCGGGATTTGCGTTGAACGAATTCCATGAGGACCAAGTCGCGGGAAAAGTTAGTTTGGTTATGGTAATTTTAATTGTTCTATATTAATGGTAATTTTAATGGTAATTTTAACTATATTGGATGTAATGTTATCATTTGGTAGCAAAATATATTGTCTATCAGGAGTTCCAACCTGAGATAAGCCAACATATAACTGCCCATGGGAAAAACACGACTTTCTTAGGTCAATGCCCACCAGAGAGAATGTTTGACCTTGGGACTTGTTAATAGTGAGGGCAAAAGAGATCTTCACTGGAAACTGTAGCCTTTTAAACGGTATGGGTAAATCAGTGGGAATCATGGGTATCCGCGGAATATAAGCCAGTTGTCCCACTGCTGGCCCTGTGAGAATGGTCGCCACGATTATATTGTCCCGTAACTCTTTTGTAAGCAGCCTTGTCCCATTACACATGTTGGGGGGGCTCAAGTTTCTTAATAGCACGACAGGAATGCCATTTTTTAACACAAGGTCGTGAGGAGGTAAGCCAGAAGGGTTCAAAGAGTTTAAAAATTCTTGGGGATAGTGCACTCTATCCTCAATATTACACACCGTATCAATAGACTTATAGTGTTTGACCTGACCGGGAATTTTCTCTAAAATGAGTTTATTTATTTCATTCACTGTATCGTTTCTGGGTGACACTATTGCCCTAAAACAAAGCCAATGATAATCTCTCTGCAATAAATTTTCAAGACCGGGATATATTGCGTCAATAAGATGTTCCAACCTGTGCAATATGTGTCCTAATGTCTCGTCAAGTTTAATGTAATTGCTGTTGGTGTTAGGAGAGACAATTTTTCCTTCGCCAAGATTGAGTAGTTGACGCGAAAAGTCGTCATCGTCATCGTCGCTCAAATGGGCTCTCATGTTTGTTCGTAAATTGAGAGATGCAACCGAACTCCATAAGTGAGATGATTTTAAGCATGCTCTGATGACATCGGCGCGTGTTCCTTTTGTTACTACAGGCAGTGTTTGCCGAAAATCGCCGAAAATCGAAAACGAAAGTAACGCCACCCATTACAGCATCAGAGTTTCTGAGGTCTTTGAGCGCTCGGTTTACTGCTTCAACATGAGCTCTATGACTCCTGGTACATTCGTCCCATATAATTAAAGATGTTTCTTGTAAAAGTTTCCCGAGTGGTACATTTTTACGTATGGAACAAACTGACTGTTGCTCTAGTGAGACTGTCAGAGGTAGCTTAAAGGTGGAGTGCTCCTTTTTGTAACTTAAATATAAAAGTTAGACGTATGCTGTCGTTGACTTTTTTTGTAGGCATTTTCAAGCTCCACATCTTTTTTATAGCACTCAAAAATATATCTTTCATAGTTAAGGCAGCGTTCGTAAGAAACGCTTTCATTCGACCGTTTTTTCTGCGATTCACTTTGCAAAACGGATTACCACGCAAAAGCCTTTTTATTTTTCGGTTTTTTATATAACCGATGACACACAGCAATAATGTGGCTTTCTATTGGTGAAAGAATTTTTTAAATCGGTTCAGTAGATCCCGAGATTACCCCTTACAATTTAACAAATATACAAACACACAAACTTTACTTCTTTATAATATTAGTATAGATTATTGCTGCGCGTGGCCCGACACACCCACATAAATATTTTAAATTTTATTGATTGTTTGACTGGAGTCACAAATACATATAATTAAATAAATAGGACAGTATTAACGGAGACCGAAATTATTCCTAGACATTAACTTATGCCGTTTAGAAATCAATTTTGACAAATCGACAGTATCATTACAATAGTACATGCTCTACCTAGTTTGAAAACTGACTGTGACCGTGACTCAAGTTACTAAAGTTAAGTTTTTTCTGCATCGACTTCACATCTTAAAATTTTAAATACTGAAAAATCCATAGTCAGTTTCGAAGACAACGAAGACCGAATATGTGGGTCGAATACTTGAAGGAACTGAAGACTTAATCGCGCAATCGAATTAAACAATTAGTCACACGCATTATGTACTGACCGAGTCCGAAAGATGTCTGAGGGTCAAGGTTGACATGCCCACTACGAATTTAGTACTAATAACATTTTTATTAACACTTACCATTAGTAGGTTAGTAGTTAGGTATAACCTACCAAAAAGGTCTACATTTGTAACTGTTTTCGAACATAAAACGTTATATTATATTAATTTTAGAAATGAGTTACTGGATTTCCCGTTAAAATTATTCATAACATTAAAAGCTGGACCTGTATTTATAAAGCCAACCTGTCTATTAAGAGACTGTATGCGACGACCTATGAACTTATTTTCGTCCTCGTTTTCACAGAAACTTATTAGATTTGTAGTTAATATTTTAGCACGGCTTCTATACTGTTTAATATACTTATACTTGGATATATGTAATGTAAAGTACATACATCTTATATGCCTTTGTGATAAAACACAATGGGATTTTACGACACTTGATAAGTATTTATTTGTTTATCAAACTAGTATCTTTACCTTGAAAAATATGGGATACAATATTTTAGTATCAACACGTTAAGCGAAATTTAATTAAAAAATAGATACATGTTTACATTTGTTTTTATGACTGCGAGACATTACAAATACAGTAAAGAATGTATCACAATAATATTTTTAACGGTCGATTTATTGTTTTTTTTTATTGTTAGAACTTGTTAGCTTGTATAAATAAGTTATTTCGAGGTTTCTCTTATGAAAATTATCCTGTCGTTTCTATTTTTTATGTTTATTTAAAAGTCGTTTATATCATTGTTTAAAATTTATACTTAGATTCTTTTTTATAGGGACTAAACTCTCCCACATGACTCCTGTACACCGTGTTGTGACACTCGGGACGTCCTTTTAGAATTAGATTACTATAAATAAATTTCTAAAGCTGAATTCAGAGGTGGTAATTCAACACATTCAAATAGGTACTAGTTTATAAAGACTACTGTAATTAATGTAAAAAAAGTTTTCTAAATTTAATATAACCATTATTATTTATTAAGTCGACTCTCGACACTATATGTGCTATAAGTGACAGTGAGAAGTGATTGTATTGTACCGAATATCATATTATTATCAATATCTTAATAACTATCTCATAAATCAGGTCATAATTCCACCGTGATAATTACTACGCGACTATTAATTACGCGTCAGTGTTGTGGAGCCTTTAGATGTCTATGATGTCCAACATAGTGTGTACGACTATTGAATAGACGTCACATTATTTTCTCATCAGATACAAGCCATATACTTTAGATAGCGTCTAATACTTACATAGATAAATTTTAAGTACATATCTTAAATGTGATTCATCGCCATTCTGAATTCAATGGAAATGCATTATACAGGCTGTATGGCTGTGTAAATGGTTTATATGTCAATCGTGCTACAATTTGTGGTGACCCCACAGTATGTATAATTAGATACGGTAGCCAATGGCCTGAAGGTCAATTCTCGTAATAAAAAACTTGTTCAAAATTCAGTTCCGATCTACACTTGATCTCACAAATGTCATAAAAGCTATTCTCGTAGTAAAGTATTAAACATTCAACGTTGACTGTAAGTGATTATATCTTATTGTGACAAAGGTTGAATCGGTATTTGTTATTCTTAGTAACACTACGAGATAGAGAGTACATTCAAACGTGTGTGATACCTAAATCGCCTAAATTTCCGTTTAAAATCGACCCAGAGTAGATCGGAACTGAATTTTTAACGAATTTTTATTACTGATGTAATCTATCAAACTTAGGCCAATAACGCCTTGAAGTTTTCAAATACATTAATCATATATTCTTAGCCCTATCCATATTCCAATGAATGTGAGAAGACGGTTTTACTTAAATCTGATTTCCATCGTTTCTTTAGTGTGGGATATTTCCTTGTGAATAGGCAGTGTCCGGCACGGCATTGATGCTTTTTTACTTTGTATGTTGTTACTTGTTTGTTGCTGGTATCTTTTAAACTTTGTCATACAGGTATTTCTTGTATGTGACTTTCCTTGAATTACCTGCATAAGAAGTAACTTTGTGGTTTTTGTCGTAACACCATTAAATCCATGATAAAAAAATGTGTTGTCTTATATAATTTTAGTACTCCTTTTAAACAAAATGAATGATGGGAAACGAAACGTACTTAATTTATACTTAATTTGATCTTACGAATTATGGTTTCAATGACTTTAATAATTCCTTACAGAGTTCAGTGGCACACCGCCGCCAATCTTGATAAACACGTAATAATGATTCCTTCGTCTCCAATTTTTTTTTTAAAGGCAACTCCCGCACTAGGAATATATCCTGTGTCGCGGGGGACTTTACAAACATTCATGTAACGGACAATAGAACACCTAGACTCAGAACAACAATTTGTGGATCATACAAAGTGTTGTTCCATGTGGGGATCGAACTCACAACACTCAGCGCAGTTAGGAAGCGGCGAGGTGACCGATTAAACCACTACGCCATCCGTGCAGTAAAGTTCTTTGACCGATCATCATTTGTTGATTGTTGTCAGATCTCAGCCGATTCCTGATGATTCGTCAGGCAAATCTGGCGCGAAGTTCTACCAGAGTTACGACAGGCTGTTCATTCTCAAGACCCTGACTTCGGAGGAAGTAGAGAGGATGCACTCGTTTCTCAAGCATTACCATCCTGTAAGTAATAACGTAATTAAAGTTAAAGAAACGACAATTCTATCTTCTTATTCTTTTTAAAATTAGTGGAGGGATTCTGGTTTTTCGGAAAAGGTGTTTTTTTTTTTAAATTGGAACAGTGGAGCTGCCGGTGAAGGCCTGCCACTGTAATATAATAACAAGATACGTCATGTTGTATTTTTACTGCCGAATAGGTTATGACACCATCAGGCGAGTTTGTTTTTAGCTACAAACTTTATTCTGTAAAAAAAACTAAATCTATACTAATATTATAAAGCTGAAGAGTTTGTTTGTTTGAACGCGCTAATCTCAGGAACTACTGGTCCGATTTGAAAAATTCTTTTAGTGTTAGATAGCCCATTTATCGAGGAAGGCTATAGGCTATATATCATCACGCTAAGACCAATAGGAGCGGAGCACCAATGAAGAATGTTTCAAAAACGGAGAAAATTTATTACTATTGAGAGACGCAGACGAAGTTGCGCGGGTCAGCTAGTAGAATATATACATGTACTAAGGTGTATATTTAGGTAGTCATTTTTACCAGCAAAGTAATAAATTCAAATGACTGATTTCATTTACCGAATCACGGTTGTGGTCGGAATTCCGTTTATTAATAAAATTAAGACTGCCGCGAAAATTCCTAGTAATTGTTGAAAAATATATGCAGGTATGTTATTCAAGGAAATTAGGCATCACAAACCTCTATACTGTTGCAGTGTGATATTTCTTTGTAATGAATCAGTATATTTATGTAGATGAAGTAATTAATTTATATATAAAAACACGTGTTCTGACGCAACGCCTCTAGTAATTATTTGCGAAGTATTTAGACGGATGAGGATTAAAAATTATTGAGGATAGAACTATTTATAGCAAAAGATACAATTTTATTACTAATCTTTTGCTATCAATAGGACTCTAAAGTCCTTTTTGTTATTATAAGAAAAGAGTATAATATAATATATAAGTATATTTAACCTCAAACACTGATAAATTTTTCAACAATGTATTTGTAGTAAAAAGTTTATTTATTTTTTTATTTATTTAAGCTTGCTTCATTAAAATGAAAAATCATTTTAATGAAGCAAGCTTTTAATTTAATGCGCTAAAAAAGAAACAATATAAAGCGTAAACAGCTATAGACCTGTTGAAAATATCAAATACCTTGAGCGCCAACCGCTTCAGTGACGTTAATAGCCTTCCTAATTTCGTAACGACGTACCTACATATATTTAGCGAAAATACGTCGATGTCCAAATTTATTTATTTTGACGGAAAGGGGATTCCCCTAATACGAGTATAGTGGTAGCACTCTAAGCGTTGAAAGATGATATATTATGTAGTTTTTGTAGCTATGGTCTGAAGTTTGGTTTACTTTTAAAAGCTTTTTCTTGCAATTTTCGTAATACTACTACAAATACCCCAAGCTCCAATGTCCTTTACCATACCATAAATAAATATTCAATTTATGTCTCATCAAAATTCTAAGAGTAAAGAGATAGTGGATATCATTGACAAGTTATCAATTTTTATGTAAATAAACTTTACAACACAGTGCTATCTAATCTGTACGTAATCTGTGACTTATGATAATTTATAAAGCTGATTATAAACTTTAATGATACACTGAGAAAACTAAGTAAAGGAAAATAAAATAAAAATGATATATGCAGAGATATATATATAAATATATCTCATAATTTTTCCCCAAAGGGTAAACAAGGTTATATTTTTTTTCCAGCTATAGTTAGGGTCCACTCGCGTAATAGGGACAAGCCTATCGTCATATTCAATTGTCAAAATCTGGCAATTGAAGATGACTATATATTAAAACTACATAATAACGGCCGATTATGAAACGGGATATTGTTTTTTTTTATCCCCCACACAGGGAATGGGGAGGGGTTGGGTTTGGGCTCCGTTAACCTAGCTGGCGGACCTCCGTGCGGCCTGTACACATGCCCGGAGGTCCTACACGCGCAGTCGGCGGCGTCACCGTGGAGACGGTGAGGAGGACCGGCTTCATGAGGAGTACCGACGGGCGCGGAAAACTCTGAAGCTGGCCATTAGCCGCGCCAAAGAAGAAAAAAGACAGGAGATGCTGGAGGGTCTTAATCGTGACCCCTGGGGTCGCCCTTACCGCGCGGTGCGACAAAAGCTCCGCGCGTCGGGCCCCCCCCTTACGGAGACTCTCCAGCCCAGCTTCCTGCGAGAAGTGGTTGAGGGCCTTTTCCCACAACGGGCGGAACACACTCCCCCGTCGATGGCCTCCCTGGCCGGAGACGAGGGGGAGCACGGGGAGGACAATGTTCCGCCCGTCCGGGATTCGGAGGTAGGGGCGGCTGTTCTACGGATCCGTTCCAAGAACACCGCCCCTGGGCCAGACGGGGTACCGGCCCGAGTGCTGGCCCTGGCCCTCAACCACATGGCAGACCGCCTCGGGGAGGTGTTCGACGCTAGCTTGGCGTCGGGGACGCTTCCCTGAGTGCTGGAAGAGCGGGAAGCTGGTCCTATTGAGGAAGCCGGGACGGCCTGCCGATTCGGTCGCGGCCTATAGGCCCATCGTGCTGCTGGACGAGGCGGGCAAATTGTTTGAGAGGGTTCTTTCTGCCCGCATCGTCCGGCACCTCTGCGAGGTGGGCCCCGATCTGTCGGACGCCCAATTTGGTTTTCGGGCGGGGCGTTCGACAGTCGACGCCGTGTTGCGCCTGAGGGCCGTGACCGAAGAGGCCGTGAGCTGTGGCGGCGTGCTGTTGGCGGTGTCATTGGACATCGCCAACGCATTCAATAGTCTGCCATTCAGCTGCATCAGGGAAGCACTCCACTATCATGGGGTGCCAAAGTACCTGAGGCGGCTGGTGGCAGACTATTTAGAGGAGCGTACCGTCGTGTACGAGGACCGAGAAGGTTATTTGAGGTGTCGGCCCATGTCGTGCGGTGTTCCACAGGGGTCTGTTCTTGGACCCCTCTTGTGGAACATAGGGTACGACTGGGCCCTTCGCGCCGATTTCCCCCCCGGGCTGGGTGTAATCTGTTACGCAGACGACACCCTGGTGACAGCCCGGGGGCAAACTTCCAAGAGGCGGCGCGCCTGGCCACAGGGGGAGTCTCCCTGGTGGTCGGGCGCATTGAGGCGCTGGGCTTACGGGTGGCCCTAGATAAGACGGAGGCCCTGTTATTTCATGGGCCCCGTCGTGGTCCACCCCCTGGCGCCTCCATCGTGGTCAACTCGGTCCTCGTACCGGTTCGGGCCCAGATGAAATATCTGGGCCTGATCCTCGACGGGAGGTGGCTCTTCGACGAGCACTTCCGACAGCTTGCTCCAAAGCTGGTCGGCGCTGCGTCTGCCCTAGGGCGACTTTTGCCCAATATGGGTGGACCCAGCGTCGCGACAAGACGGCTGTACACGGGGGTTGTCCGGTCAATGGCGCTGTACGGTGCACCGGTGTGGGCGGCGGCTCTGACCGCCCAGAATAGGGTACGCCTCTGGCGCCCTCAGAGGGTAATGGCGGTCAGAGCCATATCCGTTTCTACGGAGGTGGCATGCGCGTTGGCCGGAACTCCCCCGTGGGATTTGGAGGCGGAAGTGCTCGCCGAAGTTTATCGGCGAGTGGCTGACTTCCGGGCGGAGAGCGGATTTCGCCCTCCGCCCGAGGATGTGCGCGAGTGGCGCGAAGCCGCTCGCCGAGCCACGATGGCTCGTTGGTCGTTCCGGCTGGAGACTCCACGCGCTGGCTTCGCCGCCGTGGAGGCTCTCCAGCCGGTCATCGCCGAGTGGGCAGGGCGGCAGCACGGGACCCTTTCCTTCCGACTGACGCAGGTGCTTTCCGGGCACGGTTGCTTCGGAAGGTACCTGCACACGGTCGCTAGGAGGGAACTGAGTCCCGCCTGCCACCACTGCGACTGCAGTGAGGACTCGGCCCAGCACACGCTGGCGGTCTGCCCCGCATGGGCGGCGCAGCGCCGGGCCCTCACTGCAGTCATCGGAGTGGATCTCTCGCTACCGGCCGTAGTACGCTCCATGGCCGGTAGCGACAGTTGTTTTACCGCGGTCGCAACCTTCTGCGAGGTAGTAATCTCGCGGAAGGAGGCGGCGGAGAGGGCCCGGGAGGACGACCTCCACTCGGACCCGATCCGCCGCCGGCGAACCGGGCGGCGGAGGCCCGCCTACCACAGCCTCATGCCGCCCTGAGTGTGGCCGCGGGTGGACGGGGTGGGTTTCCCCTCCACCCGCATTAGTTTGGCCAGCCGCGAGGGGGCGGCGTCCGCGTGTGCCGGACGTCGCCTAAAGAGAGGAACATCAACAGTGAGACGGAGCCCGCACCAGGAGCGGGCTGGCGCTAGGAGGGGTCCGGATGTCTTAACAACAGCTGTTCCCGGATCCCTCCTGTTACAGGCGCAGAGTGGCACACCGTGTGGTTTTAGTCGGTCCGAGTCTGACACACCACCCCGCCGCAAACCCCGGAGGGGTGACGGTCCGAGGGGATTTCCACACGTAAAAAAAAAAAAAAAAAATGGGCTCCGTTAACCTCACTCAATCTTCGGTGAAAAGCAACCAAGGAATTGCCTAACACCGGTTTTCTGTACTCGTGGTATCCCATGCCAAAGCTCGAACAGTTCCGAGTCGTATACCTGTCCCTCCGACCTTTCTGTTCGTCGCCGGAAAATCGGCATCTGCCCCAAAGATTTCTTCGTCTTTATACCTATCTATGATTCGGTTTCTTTTCATTCTTATCAAAATCCGGCCGATAGCAGACTATATATCGACTGTTTTGAGAAATATTTACAAATAGTTTTCTTCTTAAATTACTATTTTAAATTATGCTATGCAATTTAAAATAAGGGTAAACCAACAATTTACCGGAATGGAGGACAAACAATGAGAAAAAACTTCATTTTCCTTCTTAGTGTTTTGTTACTTTAACACAGGGATTTCCAAGGGGTCGACATAAACGAAAACTGATTTTGGGGATCATTTCTGAATTTTATGTCTATTTATTTTGTTAAATTTTGATGAGAAAATGATGTCAAGTTACTCACCTAAGCGGTTTTATTAAACCAAGCAACTTATGCGGTTTTAGTAAAAAAAAACTATCTACTTTATCTACTACAAATATATAATTTGATAAAAGTAGTAAATCTTAATTTGGTTTTTCTAGTTTTATGATGATTTTCATAAGACTTAGTATTAATATACTTAATGAGTGTTACAACTCTTGTAGGTAAAAAAAAATATTACTCAACCCCTGCCTTACCCCAACTCTGACTCACCCTCATATGTAATAACGTAATATAAACACAGTTGCCATTGACAATTTACGCGAAAAATCCAAAGACAAATTTCTCGTTTCAGTACATAGTGGAGCGACACGGCAAGACGCTTCTTCCTCAGTACCTAGGCATGTACCGGTTAACAGTGGACGGCATCGAACACTACCTCGTCGCCACCAGGAACGTGTTCTCCAACCATCTAAATATTCACAGGTAATACTTTTCTAATGCATTTAAATTATTTTTATACTGATATAACAAAGGTGAGGAGTTTGTTTAAATGTGTAACATTAATTTCCACTAACTTTTCTGCAATCTGTGATAGTAATTTTGTGAAAAGGGACAGAAATGTGTAACAGGCCGGGGAAGCGCGCTCCATTTGATTTGACTAATGAGTGCAAGCATTACTAGAGTTATAATCATAATAATAACATTACACATCTCACACATCCATCTGATCCCAAACTAGGCAGAACCACAGGTTCCCGACGGCTGATAAACATACATATATATTTCCAAAACATACATGTCATAGATAAATTACACCCAAACAGAACAAAATGATCATCACACAATTATTTGTGTCGCATTTTTCTTACAAATCGACGATGAGCCAACCAAGCTTCCGTATGCTAAGCGCTTTGTGAAGCAAGTTTTTTATTTTTAATCATACTTTTGCGCCCTCTTATACTGGCGCCCGGGGCGCTGGGTGCCCCGATTCCTTCCCCCCTTACCCCCTCTAGATCTGAGGCTGCATATTATCATATACGACTACTTTAAGGGTCGTGATATTTTTGATTATGTTATTAACACGCTAATCTCTAAAACTATAAGTCGGATTTAACGAAAACGTTTTTGCGTTTCACAGTCAATTTCTCACGCAGTGAATATAAACGCGCGTGCAACGGTAAAATGGTTGTTATTAATGCGGGACTTTATCTCTTATCTGCCTAAGGGCTTCATCAAATTTTCATATAAAAGTGAAATTTATTATCGACATATCAGTCTTATCTCTGATATAGCAAGAGCAGTGATGAATAACACTTGTCAAGATATTAAAGGACTCTGACCAAATACATTAGGTATACAGATGTGGTTATTATGCCTAAAATGTTACCTAAACGTCCGTATTACGAATGTTTGAAAACCAGTTTGAAAGCCAGCTAATTCTTTTTTGATAAAAAGATAATCTAAGAAGACTCGTTTATTTCGTCCAAAATTAAATTGCCCCTACTTCCTGTTTACTCTACCTCACCCAATGGTTGCCTTGTAGAGAATGCCTTAGGAATTAAGTCGGCCAATGCACCAAATGTACATAATGTATCCATAAATAAATACATATATTCATGATAATCCAACCAAAATGAGTTATTAAAAAGTATTGTATACTAGTTATTATAAGGATAAAGATTGTTATGTAAGTTAGATAATTGTATGTACAGTATCTACGTCATTTATAATTCAAAACTGTTACTGATATGGCACAAGGAAAAATATTAATAAAATGAGCTTACAAATATTTAATTAATAATGTGGCATTATGGTTTGTGTTTAATATTAGATAAACAATGATACATCAAAATGATAATCCATACATTTGTAGTTAGCCGCAAAGTAGATTCCAAAAGATCCTGAATTCTTAAAAAAACACTAACATTATCTCAACACCCTTTGGCACTTTACTGCTGGGCATAGGCCTCTCCTTAGTTTTTGTCCTACTATACCACGCTGGCCAGACGGTATGGTATAGGGAGTTTTCCTTCTCTTTGCAGTGCTGTCGTCCTGCATAGTATGCTCCCTTAGTCGGCTCTTACACCCATGTGGTGAATACGGGTTGGTGACACTCCATATTCTTAATCCGTCAGAAGACATATAATCTTCTTTTAGAGACGATAAATATGCTCGGATGGAAGTACACATAGTGATATGACTGTATCAATGTTTTATTAATTGCTTGCAGGAAATATGACTTAAAGGGCTCAACGGTAGACCGCGAGGCGTCCGAGAAGGAGCTGGAGAAGGAACTTCCCACTCTTAAGGACAACGATTTCATCAAGCAAGGTGTGCGCATCGATATCGGTGATGCGGCTAAGGAAAAATTATTGGAGACACTCACGGCCGACGTAGAGGTTAATAATATGTTTGTCGGTATTTTTGTAGTACAGCGGACAAACGAGCAGACGGGTAACCCGATGGTAAGCGAACACCACTGCCAATCGAAACCTACAACTCAAAGATACGAGTGCTCTGTCACAAAATACAGAATAATAATGAATCATATTTATGCTGGCAGTTCCTAACGAAGCTTCACCTGATGGACTACTCGCTGCTGCTGGGCGTGCACGAGTGCGGGCGCGGCGAGGCGGAGGCGGAGGCGGCGCGCCAGCGGGACGCCGAGCGCGACAGCGACAACGCCGACTCCGACACCGACAGCGACACCGACAACAGGCACCACGGGGACAGGTACACACCACTCACGGCACTCACTGCTAACACGATCCTTAACAATGGCAACTCTCCTGAGGGCCTAGTGTGACTTTATATTACTTCTACTCGATCGTCACGATTTATGCCTCCCGCCGACCGGCGGTGTGGGAACCCTCTTAGGACGTCACCCCACCGAAGTGTGAAATCGAACCGACTAAACCACACGATGTACCTGCCATTCTTAAGGATAGTGAATGAGTCTTGCATTCGCTCCAAGAGATACATTTAAGGCTTTGTTTGCTATGTCTTCCATTAATAGAACTTTCTATCACATCAGCACTTCCTAAATTCCGGTACTTTTTAACTGTAAAGTCTAATACTACTAATACTAGAAGGAAATAGCAAAATTTGGTTCTTCAAAAGAGGATAGGGTAGACGACTGTCGAGTCAAATCAGTATCTTTTTATTAAATATCAAAAAGTAGGTACATTTATGTATGTAATACTATGGCGTGACGTCATACCTAGCTATTGTCAAATCGTTTATATTTAATGTTGATTGGAAGATATCAAATATTAAATTGGGAATAGAGTACAATTTAAGCTGTATTTAATGATGCTAGGTTTAATGATTCTACACTATTAAAAGGTTTTCTTAGAATATTCAATACAAAAGACCTTAAAACATTCTGAGATATAAAATAACTTTATGAATTTTTTTAAGTGAGAACTTCTTTAGGCGCGTTGGGGGCGTAAAATAATGTATTTTTTGAGATGGGAAAAAACCATTGAAGTCGCGACATAGTTATCGTTACCGACACCTCTGTATATAAGTATCTACATATATTGGCCCCATTTACACGAGTTGAGTTTGGGTTGAAATATATTGATAATATAACTATATATAATATAAAAATTGTGTATATTGTGTATATACGTACAACATAGATATATATTCATATCGGAACTTTTCGAATTGAAAAAAAAACGAAAAAAAACCTGTTATTATAATTTAAAAAGAAAAAGTTTTTACTTCCGTCGGCACTCCCGGAGTCCCACTGTTATTTTTTGTAATAATTGTTCTGATTAACAGATGGGGCTACAACACCCCGCCGGACAGCCCGCGCGGGTTCGCGCGCCAGTCGTCCTTGAGGTACGAGGGTATCATTCCTGAGCTCGACATCTATGCCATACCCAGCCAGGAAGGTATGTACGAAGGTAATATCGCATGCTGCACGATCTTATTTTTTCCACCTTTAATTTCTACAAGGCACCTGCACCATGATAATTTTCTTTTATATAATATATATATATATATATAGATATATATATATATATATATATAGATATATATATATATATATGTATATATATATAGATATATATATATATATAGATATATATATATATGTGCTTTCTTAATATTTGAATCATTATCACATGTATCTGTTTAAAATTAGAATTACCTTAGTGAGAAAAATATTAACTTTCGTTTATTATATACCTATGTGTGACTATTGCATTCTAAGGGTTACGCTTTGCTTGCTCACAAACTATTGCAGAGAGATACGTACAATATCTTACAAATCTTGCAAACCCTTCAATTTGTACGAACCTTTAGTAAATTTGTATTCAGTTTGATATGACACAGATCCAACTCAATGGTGGTTTTGAGGAATAATTTATACATCCAAAACATAATAAATGTAAATATTACTAGGTTAAATATAACCCGTTGATGAATACCAAGCTGGATACTGGCAATTGGTTTCATCAAGTTATTGAAAAAGTTAATTATTCCTTATCTAAAGTATAATCTTTGAAAAAATAAGCATTATAAAACAATAATATGACTTTTTTAATTTCTGTTATTAAGTGTAGTTTTATTGTTTGCAGGTACCCCCAGAAAGGAGATTTACTTCGTCGCCCTGATCGATGTCTTGACGCACTATGGTGTTAAAAAACAGGTAAATATGGCTTTTTATATCAATATGGCCGGTCACTCTATATAATAAAACTGAAGTATGCGAGTTAATTCCTTTATAAGCTAATAGTGAAAGCATAACAAACAAACTCATGTTCAGTTTAATAATATAACTATGGATATTTTATATGCACTTATTAAATTATCTGTAAAGAACTATGCTTGTTTTTTTATAACTTAATGTTCTAAACTTTACATGTTCAAAAAGTCCGTACGACACAGAGTTTTAAGATGTAGATACTTTAAATATATAACTATGGAATGCGATATTTGAACGCATATTGTAATGTCCACTACAATCTATATATTACTATACAGAGTAGTCCATTTAAAGGTAGCCTGTGGGACTTTAAAATGGCCGCCCGTTGTACTACTGTTTTATTGTATTCTATACACTTGTGGCGACTTCAGAAACAGAAACATACTACAGCGCCATTTAACAAATTTATAACAAATAATTTATACAAATTTCCAACATCAACCGTTGGGCCGCGGCCCGCCTGACATGATCACCTCGCCTGATTGGCGGATCGTCCCTTTGTGTTTTTTTACACATTCATAGTGTGTGTGTGTGTGTATTCATAGTGTGCAATAAAGAGTATCTTTCTAAATTGGTGGTAATTGTATGTCAAATCTTCTTATTTATTTTCCAGGCGGCGAAAGCAGCGAAGACTGTCAAATACGGTAGCAACGTAGACGGGATATCGACTTGCGACCCCGAGCAGTACGGCAAGAGGTTCATCGAGTTCGTCGCCAAGGCCATCGAGGGGAACTAGGCGCCGCACGCCACGCCACCGGTGCTTCTTTTAGTACTTAATTACAATGGCAGTCTTACACGATGTCTACTTACATTTATTACTCTACAAAAAATGGTTATAACAATGACTATAGACTTCTTTTTATATTTTTGTTATTCTTTTTTTGAAAATGGAACATAAGCCTGGTATAACTAAAAAATATCCGTTCTTAATGTCTATTTGCTAAAGTTCCCTGATTACTCGTGACTCGATATTGTACAGCAATTGGGTATTTTTTCAATTCATACATAGCGATATGTTTTTAATAGGCAGTAGTTTCTACATTTAAAAAAGTAAACGTGTCTTAACCTAGTTAATAGACCTTACATCGCACAAATGAATCTTTAAAAAAAAAACTAAGACACGTTTCTGAACTTTAGCTATACAGCAAATAATAATTAAAACTAAATTTAATTGACTTTTCTCGAACTTTATGAATTGAATATTAACTTGTAATAATGTTATCTTTCTCTCTCTGTATTGTGGGCTATGCCTATTATTTTGTCAAGTATGTAGAGAAATATTAGTTGCCGTGAATTCGGTAGATGCAATTTGTTAAGCTCATGGATTTATAAAACTAAATTGGAGTTAACAGGGTTCAGTAAACCAACAACGCAGGTTTTTGTTATTTAATAATGTACTCAATGTTAAGGTGGTTAAAGTTCAGTTCACATCTATGAGTAATTTGACGCATCTGACACTTATCTACTCTGTTCTTTTAATTAGTGAAGATTTGACTAAAAAATCCTGTCTAATATTATAATCGAGAAAGTGAGTTTAGTTGTTTATATGTCAAGCTCTTAAGGCCTTAACTACTGAACAAACTACGAAAAGGAGAATGGATTAAAAAAAATGTAGTATTTTGTTTTGAGCACCTGAAGCTTTCGCATAGCGAAGAACAAAACATGTCTTATTGAAGTGTAGTATCAACTTCAGGAATTAGTTATATTTGTAAAAAAATAATTATACAATTCACTGAATAAATTATATTAAACAGGTTTCAGAATATTTACTAAGGTAAAAGTTAAAAAACTTACAAATAAATCCTTTCTCATGCAGAGAAAGGAACTGTTTGTGTGTATACAGATTAAAAAATATTAGGTTTCTATAACAATGAGCTCAATTGTATTATTACTATTTTTAGTCAAATCTACATTGATTCTAAATGTTTTCTTAATACATTACTTAACCATGTTTTTTAGTCTGTGACCAAGTTGTTTCAAAAAATATTTTCTTATCTCTATTTTCATGTCAACTCTTATAGATGTGAAAGATCTGCTTCTACTCTTAAAGATTAGTTACAGAACTTAAAAACGTTATACAAGATATATTGGACTTAGGTACGTTATGTTTAGTAGTTAGGTACGGAAAGAAGCACTGCTGTAATGTTAGACCTCACTCCGCCACACATCAGCATCGGTGACGGTCTTCGTCTAAATTTTCGTACCTTTGCGTTACTTGCCAACTGACGATAATCTGATATCGTCAGGTGTCGAACGGGAACCAACAGAAAATTGTAGTTAAATCTTGTCCAAGACGAATTCCACTTTAATGTAAGTGCAATAATGTCGATTCTTAAATAAATCGATAAACTCGTAGTGATGAGAAAGTGAGATGGTAATATTAGACTACCGACATTTCACGAGGAAATGTCATTTTTATCAATTTATTCTCGTTATTATTCGCTTTGCATGCGAATTGGTACAATAGTATAAATAGCCATATGAATTCTGTTTATGGTTGGCCATAGCTGCACGCATCCACAACAGATAATATCTGTTTAGAGCAAGATCGTAATGTGCTGATGTGTGCGGCTGTGTAAGATTCAGCCTTTACCGGGAGGATATCTCTGGACCTGTGAATCTTGCTATCTCGCACGTCCAATGTTATTCCCGCCGTGTACTATCTGGGTCGTCTCCGAAACAGGGACAGGTACGGGTTGTACGGGACCCATTTTTTACATAAATTATGAACTACACTCGTCTCAATGTTTGCTATAATATTAAGCGAACCCTTTTGACAATATAATATTAATATTTTTTATTCTTATCTCACGTTATTGAGTCCCTGTTTTGTGCTATTTAATAACCTACTGCTTAGTTCGAGATTGCATGTTGTATACGAAATCGGAAAATAATAATATAATATATAAGGACGTGTATTCTGGAAGCTGTTATAATATATACCTATTCGTGTTTTTAAATTAATACAAAGACACGTGACGTCATAGTATTCTGATTTGAATACTTACATTCCTTTGTGATTGTTTATTGAAAACGTCAAAACCATTTTTCATTTGTATTATTTTACCTGTAACATTACTTCGTACTGTTTGATATATCAAATTTTTGTGCGAAAGTAAATTTATAAGGTGATACTAGGATACGCAGCAGTCTCGTATTAAGCAATGTCTCGTGGTATGTCCCAATATTCAACGAATTTTCTCACTTTTCACACGCCCACAACTTGAAGGAACGCTTTCTTCATTTTGTAGGTTTGCACATATTTGCAATAATTTCCATAACTCGTTATTAGCTTTTTATAATGTTCCGCTAATGCGTAGATTAGTATTGACAAAATATAATTAATAATGCCTTCAGTATTCTGGTTACTTATTAGATGCGAAAAATGGCTATTACGTAGTAGTATTATGCCGAGAAACAAACCTGTCACTTTGATAAATCGCTAGGCCGATGTGCCTCCGTGGTTTAACCGAGAAAATGTAACAGTAGGTTACATTTGAATATAATGCGTTATGTCTCTTATGTGTGCAGACCAGGTAACATTATATACCTATGTACCACTATTGACTTAAATATTAAGAGGTCAATTTGATCTATTACAAGGTCCATTTTACGCTGCATAATACAGGGTTCATACCACCCAGTATTATCCAGCATAAAATGGACCTTGTTATGCAGAAATGATCTAATCCCAATTTAAAAACAAAAACGTTCTGACCTTCATACTCATAAAATTTAACTCGATGAATCAAAGATGACTTTTGGTCAATGGTTTTTCGCTCCAAATAAGTAGTCAGTCTCGGGCTCTAAATAAAAATGTTAAATATCATTGAATTTAGAATGTTAAAATGTTGCGGTTGACCCAAGTGAAGTATATCTAAGGAATTCGATGTATACTGTCGGCTGTTCTAAACAATCTCATTATGCAATGCCTTGGATATGATATATACATAAATATATCCATAAAGTACATAGGATATAGTTGTTTCTCATAATAAAGGCATGCGCATGCGCTGGGCGATGTGGATTGACACTAGAATTAACTTATGAAAATGTCAATATACAATTTTATAACGATGTTAAATGCTGAATTGTAAATTTTAAACGAATAGCGTTAATCCATACTGGCCCATGTATGAAAAGTTATTTCCTTAACGTTCGTTAAGTATTATACACATCCAGAACAAAGTCGGTTATGAAGGCTTGTAAAAACCGAAAATAATGTTTTTAATTTAGAATTTTGCTAAAAAAAATTGATGAAGAAAGTCTTGTGCAATCTATTTACAGTTATCTTTATGTATGTACTATAATGTGTTTAGTTATCGATAGGGTTATATCTTTTCATACATGGGTGTTTCTTCGGTCTTTTTACATCTGTGTCATTGTTAGCTACACATAAATAATTTATAGATCTTGAAATCCTTGTTTTGTGCTTTAAATAATCATGAAGGACTATCAATGATGACTTATATTTATGTAGGAGAACAATGACGCAGTAAAATTAGATATTAAAAAGAACGAATATTCACCCACACGTATTCCCAGTAAAGATTGCATCGGCAGTCGCCTAGGTATTCTAAAACTATCAATTATATATTATGTATTCTAATACAAGGACGTTAAAGTCTATAATTATGTAAAGACGGCCATTGTTAAGAGTCGGTGTTTCACTCAAATAAAAATATACATACGTCATTTTTGCCAATTTACCCATTACCTAGTTCGCTTAGTTTCTGTCTAGAGTAGTGTTTTTAATAGTACGATATAAGATTTTGTTATTTATTATTCTATATTTCGAATAAGACTTGGATTGTTATAAAGTCTTTGTGATTTGTTCTGTGAAAATTCACGTGCCGTTCATGGTGGTTATATTCTATTTTATAATTAGTAGACGACGGTTTCATCGTACCACTGTCATACATATGTTGTAACTAGATGAGTCGTAGGTTTTGTGACTTGAAATAAAGGAAATAAGAGAAAGAAAAATGGACAGAAATTGAAACTCAATATAATAAATATTGTTTACTGTTCCTTCGATGGAATTAACCTTTCTGGTGGTTAACACTGCGCGTTCTACATAGTTTGTTACATGGCAAAAAAATAACACGAGGACCAGCCAGTTATTTGACAGCATAATAATTATTATTAACGGCAATTAAAAACGCTTAATAGACATTGAGCGCAGGCAGGTCAAGGTCAGACAAATAAAAAAATCGTATGTACGTTTTAATTGGCTCACGTGCCTGCCTACCTATCATCGCCTATTAAGCGTGTTATGTATTTATTATTTAATAAATATTATATACCGTAAAACGCGAATGTCGAAAAATGCCATGTGGATACCAAGACAAGAGTTTCAAAGTATAGAAGTTAAAAATGACTTACCTACCAGCATTTTATGTTGGAATCTTTTCTCATCTAGACAGCAAAGTTATGACTAATGGCGGATGGAATCCTACTGTTTGGAATCGTTAGTGACGAAGTAATTACATTACTTTCATTTATTACTTTTTAATTTTGTTTATCGGGGAAATATATTAGGGATTATCAATGAAAAATCAGTATTCAGAGCTGGAGTCGCCTTCGATTTTAAAATGTTTTGCAAAATATCGTTTTTCTTTTGTGATAGATATTGTTTACTTTTAGATATTAATTTTAATATTAGAATTTGGATTAATCACATTTTCGTGTTTCTAAATTACGTATGAAACTATTTTGTTATCGAGGTGATCGCTTTAGTGTTACCTTTTCACGATCGAAGTGATAATCAATCTAATGGAAAATCATTACCATGAAAATACGTTTTGTTCTTATTCCTTGAGGCAAATTTCACCTGCAGGTTCATCTTTAGTATAGAGATGTCTTATTTAAAAATTTTAGGATTTTACATTAGATCGATGAATCATTTACGATTGTTGTGAAAGAGCCCTTGTTTATTTTTATCCAACAATTTTTCTACATATTCCTGAACAATGCGTTAGTCATGAAATGATTCAAATTATGTCATATGTGTTGCCATTGTTTAGGTCGGTAATTGTATTTAATTTGTAGTTATGTTATTTCGAATAGGTTTTATCTTGTTATCGGTGACGGTTAAGTCCGCGAGCCCACATTGTACGGCATATATTTATTAAAACGATAGCTTCGCTAAATACAACATATTCGGCATGTAAGCGACACGGTTGAAATGTTAATTCTCTAGTCTAACTACTCTTGTAAAGACAAAAAATGTGTATGAAAAATTAAAACTTAATTTTTTTAAATATTCGGTTTATAAATATTCTGCATTATATGAGTTTTATTTATTACTATATCTACAACCTCCTTTTGCTTCACAGTATTAGGCGCACGGTGCTATAATACATTTATATATAAATATTGGCATTTGTATCTCTCTAGCTAAAAGTGCCTAGTGGGAAAGGTGCTGAGCCGCTGCTAGCCTTATGTACGCCTTTTTGGCCATTTGAACACACCAGAAAATGTATAGGCGTCATGTTATGTATGGATGAAAAAGTCCATGCGGATAGTAAATGTTGGCCATGAGGAATTAGAACATCTTGCAGAGGCTCTTTGTTTAATTTTTATGGCTTATTGGGGGTCGTGGGTTCGATTCCCACATAGTGATAATTGTAAGATGAGCATGATCATTTCTTCTGTGACTGGATTTACATTTGCTAATATGTATTTAAAAATGTATGTATATCAGGAGTCCAGTTGCCATAGTACAGGCTCTTATGTATACAGTATAGTTTGGAATCTGACAGCTGTGCGTGAGATGTCAACTTATTAATTGATAAGATGTAGGTATGTGTGCATACTTACTAGGTTTTATTATATCTATCATAAGAAAAACTTACTATTTACTCGATTTTGTTTTTTAAATAACAAGGCAACCATAAAAAATAAATTTTAAAATATTTTTATTATGAAAAATGCCACATCCAATAACGAACTAGTCCATCCTCGTCTTGACGTGCTTCTCTGTGATCTTGTCCTTTTCGATGATGTACACCACAGCTCCCCAACCGGAAATAGCGTCACGGTCTGCCGCATTCACCAGCGCCTGGCAAAAAAAATGCATTAAGCTTCCATTCTACCTAATACGTAAAATATTATAGAATTAGATTTTTAAAATACCATAGAATATGTGTAGAATAATAGCGCAGTCTAAAGCCTTACTGCATTTGGATTTTGTATAAAATATTTAAATCTTTTTGCTACATACATAAAAATTGTTTACATGCATAATAATTAGGCTTGCAACGAATATTCGGTTACTATTCGGTATTCGGCCTATTCGGCTGCTTTTATTATATTCGGCCGAATACCGAATATCTACATATTATTCGGCCGAATACCGAATACTTAAATAATATATTTTGTCATTGAGAAATAATTGGTAAAATGAAAAATTAAAATCGATTGATTACGTATATATTCATATTTTCATTTCTGTTATAATCATTTAAGTAGTCATTGGAGCATAACACTGGTACATAATCATCTTCTGAATAGGAAAAATGGAGGATTCTATGTATTTGAATTATTGTGGTAATCAAAATTTAGAAGGGTAAGGTTCTTATTTCTTTTATAATCATTTATTAAGTAGTCATTGGTACATAAAACAGGTACATAATTTAATTCACGTCTGTACAAGTTTTTGGCGCTAAAATCCAGACGAATACTTTTGCCTAATATTCGGCTATTCGGTCAGGGGCCTCGCCGAATATTCGGTATTCGGTATACTGCCGAATATACTATTCGTTGCAAGTCTAATAATAATGTATGTATACAATTTTTATGTTAAATAATATATAATGATAATTTAATTTTGTGCGAATTTCGAATTTACAAAACAAACATCCTATTTTGAATGGGTAAAACAAATATTACATTATCTCACCTGTGAAATAGTTTCAAACAGCTCATCGGGTGACAGGTTGGGTTCCCACAGAGCTTCACACATACCATATAACTGTTCTGAACAAGTTCCTGATACCACAAAATCTTCCGGCTCATTGGGACAGCCAATCTGGGGAATAATAGTGTAGTTTATTTGTCTATAAGTGGCAGTTTATGCCCTTCATGTGCAATAAACAGGCAACCTTCAAAAATAATTTCCTATTATAGCAATTTTTTACAGCATTTAATTGAAAATGTCATATGCGTTCTGTGCATATATTCATTATGTGGCTTATAAATAGATTCTAATTGCCAGATGTTGAATTAGTGTCATGGAAAAGAGGTGGTGCATCTGCACTCAGATGGTCAACATAAGGTTTTATTTGGTCTGTATGATTTTTTTTTTATAACAATGCACCAGAAAATTTCTTTATTTGAAACAAATGCCAAAATGGTTTTTACATACTTATACATAGTAGACTTGACAAGCTTGTGATATAAAAGAGTGGGCATGAATTTGCCTGGACTCTTTTCATAAGACTTGACAAACAGGTGACTATGAAGTGACACAAGCAGATATCATTGTATATTATAATTTTACGTTTGACAAAGATGAAGCCATTGCAACATTAGGTTGTTATTTCTGTAGTAACCGTTTTTATCTGTAATTACCAAATTTTTTTAATGTTACCAACTAATGTAGAATAACTTCAGAAAATTTATAGAATTTTTACTTGTAGCCATTTATTTTACTGAATTATATAACACTCAGCTCTTACCTTAGCTTGCTATCAGTGTAGTTTATTGATTAAGAAAGAAGTTTATAAAAATAACTTGAAGTAACAAAAAAACATGCACTGTCATACATTGCAATACCATATTATGATATATATTAATCTTACCAGATCCATATTGCATACGTAGGGCTGGTTGTCCACAGGGTCGAGTCCAGCAACCACAGGCTCAATGAAGTATGGTCCAAAGCGTCTCTCATATAACAGGTTAGACAACATTGCGGAGAATGTTTTTGGTCTCATTACTCTGTTCTCTTTCAGCTCATACAAGTTCATCCTGCAAGTGAAAAAGAACTAAAAAATGACATAATGAAACTTTTTTTACAAAATTCATTTATTGCAAGCATTGTGTATCATAATAAACATTACCTACTGTGTAGTATGTTTATTTATAGAAGGGCAATAATATGTAGCACCATTTTTAAAACATTATTATGCTGTGTATGTATCAAAACAGCTGCAGTCTTATAAGCCTTTCAATAATGAAAGTATATATAGTGATTAGTTCCATGAGGTGATGGATTGAGACTACAGAGTGACTCATCACCTCTATTCACCCTGTGGGTATTGTCAGAGCAGACTAAGAGAACAAATTATGCAGGACAACACTTCAAAAAGAAAAGGAAATTTGAAACAAACCCTATACCAACCGTCTGGCCAGCTAGGTAGATTAGGTTAAAACTTCCTTGTTTCCAGACGTGGGCTATTAAAGGCTGTTGATGATTGACGATGAAAGTGATAAGTATGAAATTGAACATTATTCTATTTTTTTTCTATTATGGTACATACCTAAATTTTAGTCTCTGGAATACTGTCTGTGTATCAGTAGCTAAACCTGGCAGACCAACATACAGTGTTGGGCCCATTTGATACACCTTGGGAAAGTTGGTAGACACTGTTTGCGCCTGAATACCGAAGCGCTTGTCTGTCGCAATAGCTACGCAGTCTTTGCCCTTCATTGCAACCACCGCACCTCCATTATAAGCTAAAATAGACTGAAAAAAGCCATCTCATTGAAAACTATTCTCAAGACATATTTACAGAATAATAAATTAAAATTATTACAAATAGACGTTTTTACAATATGAATATTCAGTAAATGATTTTCTTATATCTATTTGTTTTCAAAATAAAAAAAATTGCTTTGTAATGTTCATGATGCTACCTCTCATAACCAACCTTACCCTCGATAAAAACTACCTGAAGACGTATTACATAAAGCGGTTATAAAACAAAAGTAGTTTTAATAGTTCTTACCATTATGTATTATTTATAATAATGCAGTTATTTTCCTAAAAAACACCAATAAAGTATCGGAAAGCCGAAAAGTGACAATTCATCGGCCACAATTTGAAGTACACAATAATCCACAGATAAAAAATATGACGATGTTAAAATGGTAGCTATAAACAAAATTTTGCACTGAACTCACAAATAATGTAACTGTCAATAATTGTTACAAAAGATTTTTCGTTACTTTATTATGGTGAAAATATAAATTAAGAATAATAAAATTTCAATAAGATACTTTTTGTGCTTACTTACTTGTCTATAAAAACTACTATTCTTATTTTTTTACCACTATTTTTTTATAATCGGAATCACTCCATCACGAAATTGTGTAAACATAGTAACAGCCTGAAACCGTACAAAAGAAACATAAACACCTAAAAATTATCATTTGCAACACAAGTGTATACTGTTCAAACGTGTGGTTCGTATTGTAAAACTACATTTTCATTTTTATTTTATGGTGCATTTAGAGTCAATTGATATTTGTAGGTTTTCGAAAATTTGAGCTATACCACCATTACCTGATTAGTACTTGAACTTTTTAAGATGCTCCCAATTTAAAATGTTTAAAAATGTGTATTACATTTTAGGAGATTTAGGAGAGTCCTTCAGCTAGAGAGTCAGCGATTCAATCGCTGACTCTCTAGCTGAAGGACTCAGGCGCTATTTAAAGAAGTACGATATTATTCAGCCTTGAATTTGAGGCACGAAAAGGGGCCATTAATTAATTAAATAAGGGTCCCCAGGGGGAAGGGGGGGGGGGGGTAAGAAAATCTATCATCATCATCATCAACAGCCTTTAATAGTCCACTGCTGGATATAGGCCTCTCCTTAGAAATGAGGTTTTGGCCCACTATACCACGCTGGCCAGACGGGTTGGTATAGGGATTGTATCAAGTTTTCCTTCTTTTTGCAGTGCTGGTGTCCTGCGTTGTTTTGCGCCCTTAGTCGCCTCTTACGACACCCACGGGATGAATTGGGGTAGTGACATTCCGTATTCTTAATCCGTCACTACACGGACGAGAAAATCTATACAATTTTATCTATACAATATTTATTAGGCAGGAGAGGGAGTAAAACCCATTCTTACGTAATGTTTCACAATTTATTATTAAAAATCTATTTCTATTTCGGATGCTGAATGATTTTCTTCATTCTATAATATGCACTTCTCATTTTACAAGAGTGATTTAATTAAAACTGGTCGATCATTATTTTAAAAGTTATTCGTTTAAAGATTGTTTAACTGATTTATGTTAATTTAAGATTATTTAAAAGCTTACTTTTAATTTAAAAAATAATATTTCGAAGACTAGATAGTTTTCTAATAATATAAAGATTATCTATATCTGATAGCAATGATAAAGTATAACCTTAATTGTCTGAAAAAAAATAAAAATCTTTGATTTACGTCAAACTGTGAACTTTAGTGTAACTGGTCCTTTTCTAACAACGTTTTATTATTCAGTAAAACGAGATTGAATCATCTTACGTAAGAAAATCGAGGGGCACTTCAAGAAATCTTATGTATCCACATGGGGCAGAAAATAGAGGGGGTCAAAAATCGTCAAAATCATCCTTACGTAATTAATGAATGGCTCCTAACATAAAGCGTCTTTGTCAGTTGTCAGAGATGTTTATTGTCCACGGATATAGCTCGACAGTATAGCAGGTATAGCTAGTAAGAACTTCCACTGTAAACGGATCTCATAAAAGATAATTTTAAACACATATTTTCAGGAATCTGTACTAACTGGCACACAAAATAAACTTCTAGTAGATTTGTGTTGTATATCTGCATTTTATTTATACTTAAAACCGTAACAAATATACGTAAATGACATAATAAAGTAATGAGAAATTTCATTGCCTCCTACTTAATTCTTAGAGAGTGTATCATTTAATTCTTTCGCATACATTTCTAGACGAGACGTCAAGTTGTATCCAGTTTTGTCTCTAACTTGTCGGTTTAAGTTTAAATCTACCTGAGCAATGAGCAAACCGTCCAGGCTCTTAGATAGACCTGGAGTTCGGCATCCATTGGGCGCTGTGATGTAACTCGAACCGTAATAATTCCTCGACACAGTTTTCTTATCCCCTTTAGTAATAAAATCTTCTGTTCCCACTCTATTTATACTGCACGTAAAATAACCGTTAGCAGCTGCTGCACTTCTAGCTTCAATACCCCAAAACGACTCGCCAAATTTGGAAATAGTTGCTGCGGGGTTAAAAACAACTTCAGCTCCGTTGATTGCAAACATTAGCCAATTTAAAGCGTGATGACGACCATAACAAATATTGACTGCTATTTTCGCGAACTTGGTCGCAAACACAGGGTGGCCTGTGTTGCCAGGTGAATAATATGTGGTTTCATTAAAACTGCCAACACTAGGTAAATGATTCTTGCGATGTTTGCCTAAATATTTACCATCTGCGTCGATGACAACCGCTGTATTCCACCAAACACCAGCCTCGTCTTTTTCTAAAATTGGTGATACTATAACCAAATTGTATTTTGTAGCTAATTTACTTAGAAAATGAAAACTCGGACCGTCATGTGCTAATTCTGCAAAATCTTCCCATTCTTTAATCTCCCGAGTACAGAGAAAAAATGGCATATACCAAGTTTCTTGTAAACAAAGAATTTGGACGCCTTCTGACCCTGCAATCTGTATTATCTTTTCAACTTTCTCAAATATGGCCTCTCTTTGTTCGTTAATTGGTTTGTTTGTTGGTAGAACGATCGCATGTTGAATTAAGCCTATTTTTATAAGCTTTGGAGGTCTAACCTCTTTATCGGCGTCGAATGAATATGCTGCTATCTGTATATTCAGTTTCTTACAAGCACTTGGAGTTGACTCCTTAAGTTTTAGCTCACCATGATCAGTTCTTCCGTAATATATTCGATTAAACTGTTGTAATTGATCTTGATCCAAATTATTTGTTACAATTTCATCTAAACTTTGCACTAGTACACCGTCCATGTTCTCTTTGTACAAATAATGATCAAATAAGGTTACGTAATGTTGTTTACGCGCTGTAAATAAACGCGCAGTGGACTTAATCGATGTTTAACAAGTTGCCAGTAAACTTGTTATGAATTGACACTGGCACAATACAACGTTTAAATAATTTATGTAACTTTGTACGTTATCGATCAAATATTTAAACATTATGTGCAGAGCTATATACTGTGATGTATTGAAAAAGAAAACTAGTTAAATAGCTAGATAATTATCATTAAATAGATAGATTATTATTATAATTATAAAGCAAAACATAAGTGCAAACCACTTTGTATGTCATCATCCTCACAAATAGTACCTAAATGAAAATGTAATCATTTATCCCTATGTAGTACCCACCTGAAATCCTGTTACGATTGTAGGATAAAAACTCTTAAAATAGATTCACTGTCACCATCAACTATTAAAGAAGTAAATCAAGGAACTCATAAAAACTTTATTATATTTCACTTTAATATACTTATAGGTAAATGTTAAAGTAAAAAAATATTTGATTTATTAGAATGTGGCCATTGGGGCTTTTTAGTTTTTGTAGAAACTTCCAAAGATAAAGTCCAGTATCAGAGGCATGGATAATAGGTCAAACACTCCCAAACATGATACGGTTTTGTTGCGTACCTACCTACTAGTGTAAAAGTTATCATGGTCACTTCATGGCTGCATCATAATGCAACAGCTTTATGGTATAAGCTCTAACTACCTACCACCAAACTACTTTTGAAATTTTTTAGTTTAATTAGATTTCAGTTAAGTCCTTAAGTTTTTTTTTAACATTAACAGCATAAACCTTGTTTATATAGGCTTGGTTTAAACTTATCGGCTAATAAACAAGTTTAAATAGACAACGAAGATTATTTAACTTTTTGAAGTCAAATCATAATATAGTTAAATAAATATTTGTGTAGTATAATATACACAAATATTTATTGGGCTAATAAATTATACTTAACAATATTTGATTCATTTCAATTACATACCTCTTTACGTGTTAAATATTCATTATGATTTGTCTAATAGAATATAATAAGCGATAAAAAACCTAACACATTAAAAAGGGTATCAAAACAAATAAAAATGAATTCATTAAACAACACAAACAATTAAGTGTTGGAAGTTTGCTATCATTTTCCCCGCCTACGTGACAAGTGGAGCTAAGTGATAATTAAATATTTTTAAAACTTAGAGTTCTAAACTTATCACAAAAGGTCGAAGATCACTACATCCAACCGGACCACACAGATAAATCCTCCCACGATCGATGTATCGCTTACAAACCCCAGAGTAATATATAACGCAGTTGTCCGCTAGAAAGCGCAGTCTTTGACGGGCTATACGGTGGTACGGACGCATTGCAATCATGGAGAACGAAACTCTTAGCTTCGAATCTATTATCAACAACAATCTTAGCGGCCGTGACCTCGAGGAGTTTAATAGAATCCACTTTGGAAGAAAAGACAACCTTGAAGTAAAATTGAAAGAATCGTCGATCGCCGCAGCAAAGGAAAATGATTTTGAAATCTCCGCATATGCGTTCCCCGCAAAGAAAGAACAGACTCGTCCCCCCAGGATTGTGAAGGTGGGCGTGATCCAGCATTCCATCGTCGTGCCAACAGACCGCCCCGTCAATGAGCAGAAGAAAGCTATTTTGGAAAAAGTCAAGAAGATTATAGATGTTGCTGGTCAAGAAGGAGTTAACATTATCTGCTTCCAAGAGCTATGGAATATGCCTTTTGGCTTCTGCACAAGAGAGAAGCAGCCGTGGTGTGAGTTTGCAGAGTCAGCAGAGAACGGCCTTACCACAAGATTCTTGAGCGAACTGGCTGAAAAATATGCAATGGTATTCGTTTCTTCAATTCTAGAAAGAGACGAGAATCATTCTGACATCCTTTGGAACACATCTGTCGTTATCAGCGATACTGGTAAAGTTATTGGCAAGCACCGCAAGAATCATATTCCGAGGGTTGGAGACTTCAACGAGTCGAACTACTACATGGAGGGCAACACTGGTCATCCCGTTTTTGCTACAAGGTACGGAAAGATTGCTGTGAACATTTGCTTCGATCGTCATCACGTTCTGAATTGGATGATGTTTGGACTCAACGGGGCAGAGATCGTCTTCAATCCATCGGCTACCATTGCTGCTGAAGCCGGAAGTGAGTACATGTGGAATATTGAAGCCAGAAATGCCGCGATAACCAACTGTTACTTCACTGCTGCTATCAATCGTGTTGGTTATGAAGAATTCCCTAATGAATTTACATCGGCTGATGGCAAACCTGCACATAAGGACTTGGGTCTTTTCTACGGATCAAGTTACTTTACAGGCCCTGATGGAGTAAGGTGCCCTGGTCTGTCCCGTACAAGAGACGGTTTGCTCATTGCTGTGATGGACTTGAACCTGAACAGACAGATCAGAGACCGTCGTTGCTATTACATGACCCAACGTCTGGACATGTATGTAGAGAGCCTAAAGAAGGTTCTAGAAATTGATTACAAGCCACAAGTTGTACACGAGAACGATAAGTGAGCTGCGACTAAATCAAAACGAAACCCACACAAACCAAAAAAAAAATTGCTTTCATGTTAATCTATGTGTACACGCCTTTGATTAGCCTGTTGTAAAATATACGTACCTGTTTAATTAAATCTCTTTATTTATCCTTGTGACGACTGAGTTATTAGTTTAGTATGCCTACGATTGGTGTAGGTTTTGTGAGACCGACACAGGTGTAATAACAGCTTCAAACATCTTACACACGGTAGTCTGGTCACAAACTAGTCATAACTACCTACTATAACTACCTAGTCGTAACCAGGACTGCTGATAAACATTCTAAATACATACATATTATAGATAAACTATACCTTGATACAGAACAATTGATTGTGCTCATCACACAATATTTTATTCTGTTTGGGAATTGAACCCACCATCTCCGACTTAGCAGTCAGTAACTACACAGTACACAACAATAACTTGTATTTCATAAAGGCCTAAATACTTTTTCATTAATTATGCACAGATTAGTAGGTAGTTGTCTTAGATAAAACAAACATTTAATTCAAATTTATACTGGAAGGTGTGAGGAGTTTATTTGCACATATTGGTACGTTTTCTGAATAAGAAAGAAATAGGTTAATATGTTCTCTTATCTGTATAAAAACATTATATTCCTTATACAGATAATAAGCACATATTTATAAATCATTGAGCGGGAGCGCCAACTCAATTAAAATTAAAACAAAACATACGTATATACATACACTTATCTCTTTATCTTCGAAGAGGTAAACAGAGCCCATTTACGTAATAAGTGGCAAGCCTATTACCGTCAACCACGCACATATATTTCTAAATAAAATACATACACACCCTTGCTTCCATACTTATATTATAAAATAGCTTTTCGCCGCGGCTCCGCTCGCGTATATGTCGGTTACCGCGGTAAAAAGTCTAAGTCCTTCCTCAAGAATGAAACTATCTCCATACCAAATTTTATCGAAATCGGTTCAGCGGTTATTGATTCCCCATACAACCTTTCACCTCCTCAAAGGATGATTTTTGGGTTAAAAACTATCCTACATTATTTACATCCAACATCCTCCATTTTAAAAATTCTTTCACCATTGGATAGCTTCATTTTATGTGAGTAACATAGACTACTTTTTACTGGCTGAACCGCGAAAAAAATTATAGATAAATTACACCCAGACACAAATTAATTTTCCAAATTCCACCTTAAATAGTTTATGAGAAATGACAGTTTAAAGTTTTAGGGTGATTAACAGACTGTCCGTGTAGTGACGGATTAAGAATACGGAATGTCACTACCCCAATTCATCCCGTGGGTGTCGTAAGAAGCGACTAAGGGAGCAAACTACGCAGGACAACAGCACTGCAGAGAGAAGGAAAACTTGAAACAAACCCTATACCAACCCGTCTGGCCAGCGTGGTATAGTAGGCCAAAACCTCCTTTCTAAGGAGAGGCCTATGTCCAGCAGTGGACTAGTAAAGGCTGTGAATGGATGGATGGACAAATTAATTATACACAAATTACATGCTCATCACTCAATGTTTGTCCTGGGAACAATCTCCTGATGATGTCCTGATTAGAAGTCCTGGGAATACAATTAACTGACGAACAACATTTTTTGATAAGTTTTCGATGTTGTCTGTAACTAGGTTGGGGAGGTTTGCTGGCAGTCGCGCCGCGTAAAAAAATCGAAGTAGACTCAAAGCCGGCCTGGTTTGGGAAAAGGCTCGGAGGAGTAGGTTGCTTTAATTGTTGTTGGTAAAGTGATGCTGTTACATAAGATGGTAGTCTGGTGACTGAAGACTCGTCTAGCAATAGAGATATAAAATATATTTAAATATGTGACGCTTATGATCTTTCACTTAGGTTATCAGGACCATCTCATCTCTGTTCTTCTAGTGTCTCTTTTTTTTAATGTTAACAGCAACGTCAGACATTTTACACATGGCCGTCTGATCCCAAACTAGTGAGAAGGCGCTCACTAGTTCGATATGTCATGCCATGGTAAATCGACCGCTGATAAACATATTTATATATTTCTAAATAATACATTCTAAAGATAAATATCTACACCTAGACAGAATAAATGGTCCCGCTCATCACACAAATATTTGTGGGAATCGAACCCACCAACTTTGGCTTAGCAGCCAGGATCACAAATTATTATTAGGATCACAATAGTTTGAAAGTGCACTCTGACAAGGGTTACTCGAGTCTGCACGTTTCTCCAATCTCTTACCGCATGTGTTCCCCGGAGTACAGTAAAATTAACGTGTTTGCGATATAACTTCGTCCGGTACAGGCGTCAGTCGCTGCGTATCCCGAGCGAAGTAAATATAACAGCCCGGCGTTATCGAATTAATTGTTTACACCGCGCATACATCGCCCCCTTCGGATACCCTAGGGTACACAGCCGTCCTCGGTCCCTGGTCTGCCACTCAATCTGCCAGCCAATCTGCCATAGGAGCGCGCACGTCACAAGAGGGGATAAGAAGAAGGGAACGACGCAGGTCGAATAGATAAACGCGCCTCGTAACGACGTCCAGGAAGTCGCCCTGGTTGCTGTCCCACCAGAGGGGACCAAGGCGAAGCGGACTGTAAAACCCAATCCCCCAGACTTACCAGCATTATCGGCACCTTACAGAAGGTACTGGTAGCGCTACTGGAGAAGCGGGGCAAAATGGGTGGATACCATGTCTACTGGGAGAAGAAGGCAACCCGAGAACCTAGCTTTAATACACGAGAAGCACTACGGAAGACTTACTCAGTAAAAAATGTTTGAGAAATCGGTACCGTCGGCTATGAGCACTGACGAACTCCATAGGCATAGAAAACCTGCTTACCCACCTATGTAGAAGTTATGTATATTTGGCGGTCCTTCGTTATTTCTTATTTCGTACGTTTGTAGGTAATTATGGGAGTTAGCTGTTTTAAACCTCTGTACATTGTGTGTTTGTAAGTAGATATGAATTACATATCAATTCTATAAAATTGTTAGCTGAGTTGAAATATAAAATCTCTTGCCAATCGCTTTTCTCACAATCAATTATTTCTCAGGGATAAAATAAGATTGTTCTGAGATTTTAAGGAAGTTTTTAATGTTTAGTATAAGCAAGTTTTTCGTTTGAGTTTCGATAAAATGTATAGGATTTAATTCTCAGGAATTATAGGAGCCATTTTCACGTTTTTTCGCGTACACTTGTGTTACCTAGAAGTTGCTTTGTTGTATAGTAGGTACTCCTAGAATAATAAATTCTGTGTGGTACAATAACCTCAGTCTTATGACACGTGGATTTTTACACAACTCTGCTTAACAAAGATAAGAATAATTAAAGAATAATAATATTCAGATATGCAGAATTAAAAAAAATAACGTGTTTGTGCTTGTGCAATACTTATACGGCACAAAACAGTTCCCAAATGATTAAATATAACCCAAACAAGCTTTATTTTGTTTAGATAAGAAAAATATTTACGAGTATTTGTAAATAATTTAATTTGACATGATATGACATTAAGTTATTATCACAGTTTAGGAAAATCTTACTTTATTTGTTCAACCTCTTATTAGAATTGAGTGGCGGATTATGAAAGCTATGAGCACCTTGGACAGCTTAAATAACATTGTGAATTGAGAACCGTTGTGAGATTTGGTGATCAGACTTCGTGAGATATTGTATTTCTTTGGACACATGGCCACGAAAAAATACGAAAACCTAAAGAAAAATACAGGGTAAGCGGTCAAGAGGGAGGAATCCTATGCGCCGAACTGATCAGATCTGTCCACTCTGTCCAGCGTATCCATAATGTTATTTTATCGAAATAGAAATATTATTTTTCATGAAAAACGCTGCATGCCATTTTGTCAGTGACTCCTGTGCTTGCACAAGAACCACCTATTCAAACACACACCATATATAAATTATCAATGTATAAAATCAGTCATGAGAAAAAAATCGAAAAAAAAACAATTGCCATTGAGATCAGTTTAATTAAAGTGATTAAATACGTGTGGTGACGGATGTCCGTGTGGTGACGGATTAAGAATACAGAGTGTCACCACCCCTATTCATCCCGTGGGTGTCGTAAGAGACGACTAAGGGAGAAAACTACGCAGAACAACAGCACTGCAGAGAGAAAGAAAACTTGACACAAACCCTATACCAACCCGTCTGGCCAGCGTGGTATAGTAGGCCAAAACCTCCTTTCTAAGGAGAGGCTTATGTCCAGCAGTGGACTATTAAAGGCTGTTGATGATGATGATGATGATTAAATACGTAATTGTTATTGTATCCCTTAGACACGGCTATATTACAGTGATTATAATGCCACCCAAATAGCTGATTAGAAAACGTCCTTAACTCTTATCAATTCAGTTTTATTGTCTGCAATAACTGCTGTAAATAGATGATTAGAACTCATTAAGTATAGAACCATTCATTATCTTAATAATTATACCAGCAAATAGCCATAGCTTCGTTTCCGTTGTTATCTGGTTTCATTGAAGATTGTGAGGTACTAAACCATAACAGAATTATTGTTTATTTCAAGGTAAATACAAACCCGCGCTTATGAAATAATCACATTTTGTTAAATTATAATTTGGTCCTACTCACAGAGGGGCAACCATGGCCAAAATTTAGTTTCTAGTTTTGAAACTGAATATGCGACTACACATTACGTATAGTACAGTATACATGGCAGTATATTGTAAAAGAATTATCATAACCAAAATATTGCTTTTATGGAAAGATATTCGAACTTCAGTTATTGCTTACAATCAATATCAGTACCCAGTGCTAGCTCGATGAACCATTTGTTTAAAGCGCTAATTACACGATCTTAATATGTAATAAGTCTAAATTACTTGATTTCAAATTCAAGGGATTGTAACAAAACTTATAGGACGCAATAAAGCGAGTAATTGCAACGAGAATAAATATTAACTGTTAATTATTATGGGCAACATACAAATAATTTTTGTATTCAATGC